TTTTTTTAAAAAACATACAAACATTTTGTAAGTTATTTTTGACAGAGCAGCCCAATGTGATACATGTGAACGTCCAATGTGAGCCCAATGTGAACATCTTACTTGATTTGCTAGCATAGCTGAAGAACAAGTTGAAATGCCTGATTCAAAAATTAAAATTATTAACTGTTAAAAAGCTATTCCCAACACTTTAAGGACCAAGTCCTCTAGCAGTGGCTCCTAGTAAAAGGTACTGATTCCAGTTCAGAGAATAGTACTGAATGACAACATTGTCAGTAATGTTAGAATAGTATCAAAATAATAATAATTGGGGGAAAGATTACAGAGACAAATTTTATATTCCAGATTATTAACGTAAGCCTAGATTTATTTTTACTCTTATGATGCCATAAAAAATGAGAAAAAAAATATTTCTGGGTTGGAGAATAAGTAGCTAAATATAAGATTTACGTTTCTTGCTATTGTGTAATACTGCTGGGCTAATTCCAGCCACTAAACTCTTCAGCTGTCCCTTAACAGGTGTAAAAAGGGTTCGCTTTGTACTTCTGCAAAAACATGTTAGAACTATTTGGAGAGCCTGAAAACTTTGAATATTACAGCTATGCCACTCTCAAGGACTAAAAGCCACAATCCCCATGTGACTCTTTTGTCATCTATCTATAATCGTAAACTATCCTTCCAAAACAATGTTCAAATGTACCATTACCAATACATTTGTGTCAGACTGTTGAACTATATTCTTCCAAAGCTATAAGCATATATGCAGACTTCTAGCATAAAGACTAACTGACAAGCCCTGGGGCAAATATTAAAAAACTCAGAATTTTCTTAACATCTCCCACTGATAAAGCTGGTTGAGAAATATATAAGCTACATATTTCATCCACTTATTCTTTCTCAATTAAAAAAAAAAAACTTGAAAGAAGTAACCACACACAATTTGCACACAAATTAAAACAATCTGGGTTGAACTTAATCTTTCACAGACAAATTCTACCAGCTTTTATGCAATATAGAGTTTAACAAATATGCTTTGCCAATTAACTGTTATACAAGCATTAACTCAAAACCCTGATACAGATGAGAGTTACAATTTAGAAAAAAAATTTACCTCTCGTAGTGCTGCTTCCCAAAAGAACGTCAATTATATATGGTTTTAGTTGTGTTAGCAAAGGTTTCCCACGTCTTAGCCTTACAGGTGCCTTGTGAGAAGTAACACAGCTTAACAATCTGTGTCTAACCGTCCTGAGTCATTTAATTACAAAACAGTCTTTGAATGAGTCTACTCACATGATTACAGGTTATTCATAGTGAATGTCTGCTCTACTACCTTAAGCATGGAAAACACGATGAATATTGTTCATATATGTGTTAGGAGCTCCACTTATTTCGATAAGGAAGCTTTTTATGTTTTCCTGGAAGGATAAAACTACACTCACATAATTTAAACAATGCAAAAGAGACTATTACTTCAAAAAGGTGAAAGACAAGAACACATATCACAAGTGTGACCATAGCATAGCAAGGCCACCCACCTACAGTGACAACCCAGGGAGGTGCCTGCAGCAAGAATTAAAAAGAAACCCCAAAACGAAACACAAGGAAGGAAGCACTGGACACAGGGTGACATTCCCCTGGGGTCCCCCAGATCCAAGCCCCCCAGGTGCCCTGCTGCCTTCAGACACATGAGGGCTGCCATACCAAGCAGGCAGCTGCCATCACAGGGGCAATGGGGCAGGGACAGCTCCTGAAAACAGGCCTGCCTCTGCCCCTTGTCAGAGGCTGTGGTTGTTGGTGGAGGAAATGGCGGCCTTGCTCTGCCCCCACAGAGGGGAGGCCTGGGCGGAAGCCATAGCGGCACCTCAGTGGGATGGAGCACCCAGGGGTGGCACCATACTGTGTCACCACGCTGTCCCTGAGAACTGTGATGTCACCGCCATGACACACCGCACTGGAGGGGGACCAGCAGGCTGCACCAGCCTTCCTCCTCCTCCTCCTCACATAGGAGGTGGGGGATGGTGCAGGCCAAGGCAGCCTCCAGAGGGAGGAAAAACTGTACACCTGGGTCTCTGCACCGGAATGAAGGGCTATCCCACCTCGTCCTGGGGCCACCCCTCACACCTGACTAGCACTGGTGGTGACACAAGTCGCCCAAGGTACATGTTTTGTGATGGTTGCTTCATCCCTTTCTAAGAGGTATTCTCCCTGCTGGAGCCTTGGGCCTCTTCCTCAGGTTCTCCAGACACTAATTCACCTGCATGTGTTCCCGTCCTGTGCCAGGGACTTCAGCAGGGCTGAGAACACCAACAGCAGAAGAAAAAAGCTCTTACACCCTTCCTCGGCCTCTGCAGGGCTGAGTTTTCTCCCTTTTCCCTTGATGTCTAGATTTGAAACAGCTCTTCCTGTGAACATCAAGTAGTGCTAACTGTAGAAATGTCTTTTTTATTAGCAGGTAATCATACAACAGGAGTAGAAGATCCAATTCACCCGCAAACAGCCCTCGAAGTAAGCAGATTTGATTCTGTCTGCAGACAGGAACAGGATGACTGGACGTAAAGACAGTCTTAGCTAGCAGGATTCCCATATGGTGCATTTATTTAAGTATACAGATGTCCCTGTCAGAATAGCCAAACCTCTGCTGGCAAACTGGGCTGTACCAGACTTCACCAGAGCAACAGGAGTAGCTCAGGCTAGTTACTGATCAACAATGCCTTACTTCAAGTTCACAGGAGCTGCTAGGATGAAGTGTTAAATCAGTGTTCACAGAGTTATCTAATTCAAAGCTAGTCTCTTTTGTATTGTTCTTTATGTGTGAACTAGTTAATATGAATATAAAGACAGTGACTGATTGATTGCTTCAGTGTACTTATAAACTGTATGCAGACTGAAGACCATTGGAGCTGTCATTCTCTAAGGATATTTTTTTTAACTGATGTAATTTGCTGAAGTATTTTGAAATTGACAGCGTACTTTCAAACTACAATTTCCATTTGGATATTGACTAGCAAAGTAGATTGGTTTTGTTTTTAATAGCAGTATAGTCACATAACTCAGGTATGGGATGTACAGTATTCTCTACCTGCCCCTTTTTCTCCTCTTTTATGTTGTGCAGAATTTTCTTCCAAAGCAGAATACATAGAAAACTACACATTTTGCTCTATGCACAAGTTCATTCCTTTAGCTAAGGTTTTGACCGAGTCTCTGAATTCCTGTGACCTCATAATGATTCATTCAGAAAAACATTCTTTGATCTTTGTGAAGCATTTGTACTATTTATTTTAAAGCACTTTTAAGTCACTAGAGCTTAGCTAAGGTTAGTTCTGTTAATATAGAACACTAGGGCTTCTCCCTTCACTAGGCCAAGAAACAGTCTAGCTCGCTTTGTTGGCCAACCAGTACATGTCAGTCTAAACCAAAAGATGATCTTTGGAACTGGAGTATGAACACATTTGGTCTCACAGCAAAGACTAAGGTGCAAGGTAATGCCACATGTGACAGCCCTTTCTGTGATGTGAGCAACTGTCCAGGAAGAATGATGCTGAAATCCTTCCAGTATTGCAAATAATTTTCTAAATGGCTGTTGAATGGTAAAAGAACCATTTGATGAACTCTCGTTGACTCAGGCAAGATGAAAACAATCTTAGAACTAGAAAATAAACATGAGTTAAACTGAGAAAATAACCTAATTCATTTCAATATTTTAAGAAATAAGCAACTACCTACCAGTTTTCTGACTGGTAGGTAGGTAATAGGTTTTCTTCTACCAGTTTATTTTCTACATTTTAGGTTCTTCAACAACAGCTGGAATCAGTTCAGACACTTCGGCAACAGACTCTGGAGCACGCTAGCATGGTAAAAGAACAGAAATGTTCTTAAAATATAAACACCAATTCCTGCATTTTTAGATATGGCCTTAGGTCTTTTATATTCTTATGTACAGTAGTTATACATTGAAATCATCTATTCAATGATAAAATAATTTCATGTCAAGGTTCTCGCTCTTTCTTAGTTATAATAGTATTTGGGGACTTAGAAAATCTTAGAAAAACAAAGAGGAAGAACAAAACTGAGTTCAAGGGGGTAAAAAAAGGAAGGATCTTTCTCTAATTTGTACTACTATAAACTCAAGGAAGCTCTGTTGTTTTCAAGGAAGTTAATTTCACCTTGTCATTGTCAATAGACAGCAGAACCTACTCCATTGTTTTAAACTGCCATGTTTCACCGAACACTAAGCCACCCTTACAGGAGAATTTTCCTACCATCATTTTATCTGATTCATTATATAAAAGCTAAAGATTTGATGCAGGAAGCTTTACACTTTGCTCGTTATACACAATTCCATGTTCCTACACCCCACTTCCATCCAGTCTGTCCATCCCAGGAGAGAACTTCCTAATAGGATATTTTTGGAAAGTCAAATACTTCTACATTTTTCTATAAACAATCCCAATCTCTTTCAGGTACAGTATAAAATCAGTGAGATACTAAATAAAAATATATTTGAAATGAAAACTACAGTATGTACATCATGACAAGATTTTGATGACTTGCACACCAAGTGATGCATCTCTGGTATGTTTAACAATTTTTACCAACAAACAACTTATTCTTTAGATGGATTTTGGATTTGAGAGTTATGTTTTTTTGAAAAATAACCCAAAGGGTAATCTGGGTACAAAAAGTAACAACGGTATATTTTTCCTGAGAAGCCACAGATACATACACTGTTCTGTCCAACCCATTGTGATTACAGTTCAGTTTCTTCTCTGCACAGATAGAATGGTAGCTTGATCTTCCCCATATTCATTTGGACTATTTACAGTGGATATGGAATGCAATACAAAGCCTATAGTGTAACAGACAGAGCCAAGGAACGAAAAGAGAGAAATGAAGAAAGGGAATAAATACTGCTCCTCTCCTAGACATAAAACCTGCTTCTGCCTCTATTTTGGGTAAATCCAGTTTGCCCTTCTTTCAAACTAACTGGGATGACAAAATAATCAGAAATAAGCTATAGTCTCTTTAGATCATCCCTCCTTTGCTTGAAATATATTTAATTGATTTAAGACACTTACTCAGTATGTTATACCTGCTCCAAAGCCCAGTATTGAATTAAATAAGGCCCATGAAAATTGTTTACGTTCTTTTAAAGGGTAAATAGCATTCACAGAGATAAAATTGTACAAGTCTTAGTTGAGAAGTGCTTTGATAATAACAACTTGTCTTATGCTTCCAGTACTGCAATGTTTCACAGTTCTTACAGTATGATAGTTTTTTGTACATTTGTTTTTAATTTTGTGGGGTAGCCTATGGAAAATCCCAAATCGCCGTCTTCTAAGAGAAAAGTTCACCATGACCAACAACACTGTTCTGAGGAGCATATGGAAGCACATTCCAAGCCCGCAAATGTGGTCAGTGACATAAAAAATTCACATAGGATTTCACTGCAAAATACAGCAACTGAAAAGGTTGAATATTCAGAAGATCTACTTGGAAACAAACTGTTACTTGCAATGAAGAATGAATATAAATTGGGACATTTGGTATCTGGCACTGATCTGGAGACAGAAAGGTTGAATTCTGCCCAGGAGAAGGTAATCTGGAGTAAATCTAAACTTCCTGTACCTTCTCCCAAATATGGGAAAGAATTTCATAATACAGATGATACTAACTATACTACCAAGTTGCTGAAACAAGAATTTTGGAAGTCAGTCAGTACTGACTCCGATTCGCTAGCACAGAATACAGAAAAATCTGTCTTTTTATACAGAGAAGAATTAAATAACTTAAAAGAAGTTGCAGAAACTGTTGCCTCTTTAAATGAATCACATATTACTTTAACTCCACTTAAAGAAAATCAACTACATTTTATTAAAGAATATTATAAAAACTCTGAAAATGCCAGTGTTTGGGGTTCTTCTCCTACAACAGTATGCAATGAAAAAGCAGAATCTGAAAACCAAGATGTACGTAAAGAATTTAAAAGTGAAGGTGACAGATTCCAGGTTAATTCTTTCTCCAAAACGGTGAAAGATAAGCTACTAATGCTTGATCACAAAGAGCAATTAGAAAAAGAAAAAGCACAACTGACTGTTGTAAATCAGACACCTCCGAGGCTAGGAAATCAGAAGTTGAGTGAAATCACAGTAACCTCTGAATATGATGGGAAAACTGAAGCATTGCAAAAGTCTCTGAAAAATTCCGAGCATTTGCAAAAAAGAGTACACAATCTTCAGAATGAAAATTTAGCTCTCAAGAACAAAGTCAAATGTCTTGCTGTTACCATACAGTCTTTGAAAGAAAAAACATCAAACTGTGACATGCAAATTAAGCATTTAGCTAAAGAAAAGAAAAGTATGCTAAAGCAGTTGGTTAAATCACAAGAAGACAACAAGGAATGTATTAAGGAAGTACATAACTTACTAAGAAAATGTAAAGAACTCCAGAAACAGCAAATAATCCTTGAGGAAGAGAAGAGTCAACTCCATCATGGAAACCAACAAACAATACAGGCACTACATGATTTTCAAATTAGGAACAAGCAATTAGAAGAAAAGATGACTACTGCTATCTGTGAAAAAGGGAAGCTCAGTGCAATGCTGGAGTGCTTGCAAAAGGAATGCTCTACAGTACGAGAAACAAATAAAAAACTTGAGATAAAAATATCCCAGCTTACAGAAGAAAAGAGTTCCCTAGAGCAAGAGCTTGAAGGAAATCAGAATGAAATACAACAAATGAAGGAAAAAGAAACTGCAACAAAATCTGAACGGGAGACTCATCTTCAATTAATGCAAATGTTGGCAGACAAGAAACTTAACCTTGAAATGAGCCTGCAGGAATGTTCTAATGCTAAACAGATGCTGCTGAAGGACTTTAAGAAGGTCCAGTCAGATAAAGATTATATAGAAAAGAAACTTATGACTGAACTCAGAAATGCAAAAGCAGATATTGATCTTTTGAAGTCTAACTTGACCTCTGCAAACAGAGAATGCAAGAGGTTATCAATGGTAATAACAAACATCACAGAGGAAAATCAGGTACTTAAGAAAGAACTACAGGAACATAGACAAGATGCTTTCAAATATGAAAATGACATTAGAAAACTGATTGAAGAACACTTAATACTAGAAAATCACCTGTGGACTATTGAAAACGAGAGAGATGTATTACAGTTTGAATTCCACCATTTGCATAAGGATTACGTTTATCTCCGAGGCCAAGCTACAGCCCTAGTCTGGGCACAAAAGACACCCAATTCCAGTTTTGGCACTATGCAAGATGACTGTTCTGAATATTCCTCTGGAATTTGTAAAGAAATTCCTGATTCTCAGTATGCAGCTTTGGAATACCTTTCACAAGGTAAGAGCTTTATTTTGCAGTAACAACATTTTTTTTGTTTTCTAAATTCAGTATTTTTGTTTTCTAACATCATTGTACACAATGTGTCCTTCTCATCTGATTTTTCTGGTAAGCGTATTACTGAAACTGTATGCTACATTAGGTTTTAACTAGAAAAATTATAGTTTTGCTGTTTTTAAGTCTTAGCAAGTTGCTAAGGATAAAAGGGCTTCTGAAAAAGAGATTGCGCAGAATGTATATATTCTTATACAACAAAACCTGAATGAATTAATTGCTCCAGCGCACACAAAGCTTGGGAATTTTTCCGTTTGACTGCAGTGAACTCTAGACAGGTGTTTAAATGATAAATCTTGGAGCTTCAGGGGTCTTTGCTACTATTTTCTGGAGACACTCTGGAGTACTTTCTTCCACCTTTTAAAGAAATAAATTGATTTTCTTTTCCAGGCAATTCCTCATAATATACAACAGTCTATTGCTTCAAATAAATTGTAATAAAAATGTGTTTTGTTTTTTTTTTTAAATGCTCAGTCATTTCCATTTTTTGTTAAGTTCTCAAAACTGTCTCCTCCTTTTGATAATTGGCTGAATTTCAAAGATTCACAAGAGCAAGTCCTTAAACAATTGTAAGTAGTCTACAGAAATGTAATAATACTGTGACAGTATTACAGGAGATGGAATTCTGTTCTAAGATTTCAGTATCAGGAGGGAACCTTTTTTGCTGAACAGCTTAGTACATGCCACATTTCAGAGCTTATTCTGCAAGAAGTCCTAAGTTTCAACTGTGTTTCCATATGTTTTAGATGACATCCAGTTCTGGTCTATGTTCAATTAACACAAGATACCTTTATCTTTTTATGCTAGGTACTGAAAGGTTATTAGTTAAAACGTGAACTTTAACATTTTAATTGTAAACGTAGTGAGAATGGTCATAGCTATTAAAGACACAAAAATTAGCCTCTTAGATATAGTCACTGCACAAATAATCCGATTTTCTCAACCATGGGAACAGGGGGAGGAAGAAATTTCACAAAAGTATTGCATATAATATTCTATGAAGCTAAAGTAACCTGTGTGTCATGTCACTACAACACTATTTCTCTTTATTCTGTTACATTTTTAAGTTTGTTTGTTTGTTTGTTTGTTTTTTACCTCCTTAATAAATCCATAACAGTAAAACAGTTGCTGGTGTTTCCAGAACAGACTTAGAGGTAATTATTCATCTTCACTTTCCTACTAATACAACACTGTACAAGCTCAATATCTTCACAGACTGTTACTACATGGAAGTAATCCTTTTCTTCAATAATTCATAAATAGCAATTGCAACAACAACAAACAACAATTTTTGTCTGGTTTGTAATATAGCACACTAAATGTAGAGTATGTTTTTGCATCAGCACTGATATATGTATCAGGACAGCTATAAACTACATTAAAGATTAAAGTCTACCTCTTTAATGGTTATTCCTGTAAACACATTTTAAAATACAAAACACATATAAACAATTATATTTTATTTTTAATGGAGATAGGCAAAATTATTAAGTTATTCTGCACTACACACACAGATTCAATAAGGACATTAAAACATAAATACTTGGGCAGCTGAGTAGATGGTCAGGCATTTAATTGCATTTGATGCTTACAGAAACATGAAGTTGCTTCAGACTGTAACTGTTAAATTTTTGTAAGAATTATTTATAAAGGTGACTGGCTATATCTATACCGTAAGGGAAGCTGTAATCATGAAAATGATTTAATATCTGACGTCCTCCCTATCCCATATAATTAGGCAATGAAATTTAAGAAAGTTCTAAATTCCACCATCATGATGAAGTGCAAGAAGCACTGCCAAGAAGCTTATTGTATCAAAACAATTGTTATTTGTATTAAAACAGCACATTGTGGCCCTAATTAGAAACAGGCATTAGATCACTGGGACCACGCATTTTCTGACAGGGAATTATCAGGAGAAGTAATTGGTCCTGTGATTACCAGATAAGGTTAGCTCACATGCACTAAAAATTTTCTCAGACTGGGTTGTCATGTTTTTTGTTGTTTTTTTTTTTTTTTTTTTTTGCTGTTGCTGTTTTGTTTTTTAACAAAGCTCCATATATTTTAACCTCGTTTCCTCATTTCGCTAGGGAATGACAAGATTACTGAAACACAGAAGAAAAATTGAAAAGGCAGAAGGACATATAGTAAAACTTCAGAGCAGTCTTCATCAGCTGTACTACATCAGAACAAGTTAGAAGTACAGTGCTGATCATTCTACCTAGGAATGCTGTACCTACAAAGTTTATAAATGAAGAACATGACGTATCATCCTGATAATTTGTACAAAGAGACACTGCAGTACCTGAGGCCAGCACCAGTACAATTATCTACTATGAGGTATAAAAAAGAAAGAAGGAATTCCATTATAGGTCTTTGGATAAAGAAAACATCAACATTCTTGTAAAGGTTAGTATTTTAAAATATGGCTGGGTCCTCTTTTCTCAGAGGAAGGGGTTTTACACCTTAGTAAGTGCTGGTAGACCTGGCCAACAACCATTGGTTTTATTTTTATTTTCTTTGATGGAAATGAGAGATCCAGTCTAGAAATTCTTAAAAAAAAAAAAAAAAAATACTCATCCTGTGAACAGCAAAAAGGATGTTTACAAAAAAAGAATAAATGTTGTCTTCATGAAATAATTTGGATATTTTGATTTTATTATTTATTTTTTTTACAATAAAATAGCTTTGTTTTACATGAACAAATTTCTTGGACCTCGTATAAAAATCTGTCAAAAAATAGTAAGGTAGAGCTAAGGTGTTCATTTAGGATCACAGTTCCATACAAGAAGAAGCTAGTTTGAAAGTTGGATCACATATGTTAGGATCCTTCCATACACAAAAAGTGAAATTGAGCTGCTCTTGGAGAATATATCAACACTTAGGGCTTAGTGCTGACTTAGGTCTGTCAGGAAACACAGGAAGAGTGTTTCACAGATGCTGGTCAATCGATAGGACTCCTTCTATAATAGGCTGATTGAGGACAGGTTTCGAACAATACCTGATATGGGTCATTTTGAGAAGGTCATCCTAACTGAAGATTTTATACAACAGTTTTTACACAACGTACAGTTGAAATAAACTACAAGTTGTAATTCTAATAAAGGTAAACAATGACCTTAGCTTCACTTTGGGCAACAAATGAATTATTTGGTTGATACATACACTAATACTCACTGTGAAATATGCATCCTTTCTTCCACCATAATATATAATGAATTTGCAACCTAAATCACTCATTAGAAAGTATGTTTTGTAAATTACATATCAAAAAGTCCAGTTAAGCAATAAGATGAAAAAATATTTACCCTTGGACTTACTGAATGTATGATTTCAAATTATTATAGCCTTATAACCAAATATTGCACTCTCAATAATTAAAAAAATAAGATTGTATTGCCATATATACTCAAATTCCACTTTTCCCATTTTTATTTGCTTTGAATGCCTATTAGCAAGCATACTGTTAAGAGCTGACAATCTAAAAAGTATAACCTTCGTTTCATCATGTTTACCTAGTCAGATGTCAGGTGTGCAGTCTTGTAGTTATTTGCATTTATTGATCTGGAATGTAAATTAAGAGTGAAATATTAGCTTTTGGTAGAGTATCACTGTACAAAATAGGAGAATTTTTGTAGAAATTAAAAACTGTTACACCCTTCCCTATAATTAGATTTAACTTTAATCCTTGTGGAGTCTAACTGGTATCAACAGAGCTCTGTGTGAGAGCAAGAATCTCAAATCCAATTGCAGGATTATGGTAAAAATATCAGAAAATTAGCTTTGCACTGGAAAGTATATAAAAACTGTAATTCAGTGGGTAAGCAGATGATTTGAAAAACGTCTTACCAAATTTCTTAACTGTATGAGCTATAAGCTTCATACTTATAATATATGCTGTTCACAACTCTCGTTCCACTAAACCTAGGAATAATGAAGCAAAAATAAATACTGTCTTTAAAATTGTGAGGAGAGAAATAGTAGCAGAGAATTTGAAATAGTAGTTTTAATTTCTCTCTGTGGAATTTCTGTTGGAACTGTGTGTTTTGTGTCTCTTTACAAACACTTTTAATGATTCCATCATATTCATATCCCTGAGCACATGGTGATACTTCACAATCAGCCACTCCCTTTCCATTTCAAAACCTACTTCACATGCAGCTCATTTTTTCCAATAAAAACATCTCATTTGGGAACATGAATTTTTATTCTGTTGATGAAACAACAATTCAAACAATACACTGATAAGGTTCCTCAGGCCAGTATTCCATTCTTTTTCTCTTTCACTAGTTTAAAAACACCAGCGGGCATATGGAAGGCTGTGCTTTCTTATATCAGAGTTGGTAGCTAACAGGCTTTTAGGTATACAAAGTTACTTTCAATTATTTCTTAGTTTCCATTAGTATAAGAAGTAATGTGGAGTAGTAATAATGTAGCTTCTGGTTTTGCCTTATGAGCATAAATATAAATTTCAAAATATTCCTGCAACTTAAGTGTTTATGCAAATTCAGATACATGGTGAAATAAACTAAATAGAATAGTAATGGGTAGATAAAAGAGCAGTATTTCTTAGACTTCACATATGATATTTAAAAAAAAAAATCACAAATGTGAAACAGATGCCTCTAAGACAGTTTTAAAAATTTTAAGCAAACATTTCTAAAATATTTCATGTTGTTCATGAAGCATGCAAAAAACAAAAAGCACATCGGTATCTATGTTTAGCTGCTGTACATGCAACCTTAGAAATCTGCATTTGAAAGTGGTTTCTCTGAATAAAGAACACGGCTGTGATTATCTGCTTGAATTACAGTAAAGCCAAACACAGAAAATAAATTTATTTAAAGGTTATACCTTAGCATGAAAAAAAGTAAAAACAAAGAATATGATTATATACCTATCCATAGTACTATAATGTCTCTTCTAACATTACACAGAGACATGTTTATAGTCAGGAATCTAAACTGAGTGCCATCGTTTCCAGAGCTTCACGGGCTTAAATTAAATAGCATTACTTTTGCCAGCAGAGGGAGCCAATTTTATTCCATAAACAAGGGAAAACAAAAGCAGATTTTGTTTTTAATAGGAGCATTCCTGTCTTTTTGCATTTATTATGTCAGGAAAAAAATACATTTTTTTTTAAGTGGTAACTGTACATCATGATTTTGAAGATCTCTAGGATATGTATAGTCGTTTACAGTAACCTGAATTTACAAAAGTGTAGGAATAAATTTTGAAAGCCAGGTTCTTTACACATTTCTTATCCTTTTGTCAGTAATTAATTCCTTCAGTTATTTAATTAATTTAGACTGTAATAAACAGTTGTGCTAATGAATTTTGGTAGATGGCATATATGAAACACAAATTAAAGTGGCTTACCTTGTGACATTTAAAGTTATTATGCTTGTAACAGGTCTGCTTCTTGGTCCAGGAGGAGGATAGAAAATCTTTCGTTCTTTACTGGTTGGGACAGCCATAGATTTTTTAATTACATAAGGATCAGCAGAATGGCTTGGATAAGGATCAAACGTGCCTCCTTTCATGCCCCCTGACTGAAAAGAAAAAAAAAAAAAAAAAGAAAAAAAAACCTTCAAAGTGCCAATCTACAAAACAATTATGTTAATTAAAATGTTTCTCATGCAAAAGCAAGTAAGAATACTGAATAGCAGACTGCATCATATTATATAAAAAACAGAAACCAAATGTTGCCTAAGCTTGCCTTGGAAACTTTAAGGAAAATATTAGTAATTATTTAGATGACTTCACAGTTTAAAATGTCCTTTGTAAGTCTGGATTTTGAGGGCAGGATTATAAAAATGTGATGGAAAAAGTAAAATTATAACTCATAAAATGAGTTATGTTGTGGAAAAAATAAAAATAGGGAGAGAATTCTTATGCCACTTTTAGTTCATTAGCACACCTCAATGTCTGGTGCAGGTGTAGAGATCATTCCACACAGGTAAGATTTTGGCATTATTATCCATATGCTTGATTGGACTGAATACAGCATTGGCTTTTCCTGTAATATTATGTCCACTAATACTACAACAGTGGGAAATTTTAGTTAAAAAGCATGCAGGGGCCTTATTAACTCTTCGCAATCCACAAGTACAGTTAAAACATACCATCTGTTGAGGCTGCATCCCATAAAAGTGCAACATTAAATGATTCAATCTAAACACTAAAGCAATTTTTCCTATAAGGATTTGCATAGCAAAGAGGGACACTGTGCACATAATTTAAGTATCTGGGGACAACATATACAGTGAGGAGCACAGAGAGCCAGGAGCAGGATCCCTGGCATTGTCAGCCAGAAGAAATGCTGACTGTCTAGCAGCTGACTTCTCAGAACGCTCTGCCCTACTGAAGGATCTGAGCTGCTTCATCTGTGAGGCTGAACACCTGACAAAATTTCTCATGTGTGTGTATTCTTGCTATCTCTTTCTAAATAGTTACATTTTCACTGCTATCATCACCTTTCTCAGATGAATCAGTATCAGTCAAATAAGTCAAGGGTGAAGGACGGAATAATTGTGAAATGATGCTTAGCGGAACATTGTATTAAATGACTGAAAATGGAACTCCAAAACAAAGAACAGAAAGGGAACCGATTAAGGGGTGTTACTGTATTAAGTATCTGGAGTCATCTAAGAGAAACAGATTTACGCATCTATATCTTAAACCCATTTCAAACTGGAATTAAGATTTAGCCTGAAGTGAATGACATGAACTCAGTATCTCATCTCACAAAACTATCAAGATGGAATGCTTTATAGAATGCAAAAACAGCCATTTGGATTTTAAGAAATAACAACACTAAGCACCTGGAACAAATGAACTATGTTCCTCAACATTAACCCCAAGCCTCACTCCTTACGTCCTCTGAGCCCTTCCACATGCATTTATTCCCATTCATCTCCTCCTTTTCTCCTAACTACTGTAGAATTAGAAAATTCTAAAAAAAAATAAAATAAAATTTAAAAAAAAGCTGCTTCCAAATCTGTATCTTCTGCTGCTGCTAACTCCTGAGTTATCTCCTTCAGCCTAAGTTAAGTCCTGCAGACCTTCCCTGGGCAACAGCCCTAACCTGAGATTTTCTGCACCTTCTAGCTATCCATTCCCATGACACTTCCAGTAATTACCTTATATGTATATGGGTATATATATACATATATATGTATATGTAAATGCATATATAAAAAGGTGTATATATGAAGATATATAAATATAGAAGATATTTATATAAAAGATAATTATATAGGCTGGTAGTAATCAACAGGTTCAAAAATTGTATGAGTGACTGACAGAGTCCAAAATAGAAGAACATTTCATTTTGCTACAGTAACCCATTCTTACTGTTATTTATTACATAACCTTCTGCTTTGGATGTTTTTCATGGCATATGTAGTCATTTAAAGGTATGTTAACAGCACAATGCAGATTTCTAAAACAAAAAAGGCTTTTTAGGCTTTTTGAAACAGGTTATCAGGTAGTATTGGGTCAAACAAGATTTCATTACCTTGCAAATTGAAAGCAAAAATAAACTGAATAGTATCTTTTGTATTTTTAACAGTAAGAAAGTAATAGCAAAAAGAAACATTCGTTTCTCTCTTATGTACTACATGCAAAGCTTTTAACCAGAAATATCTGAATATTCATCCTTTGTTTCCAGTAACTGTAAGATAAACTAACCTTTTTAGCAGGAGAACTTGGTATAAAAGGCGGTGCAATTGGCTTCTCTGGAGGTGGTTTCTTCACAGGTGGCAAAGGTTTGTCATTAAAATAAGGATTCACATCAAAATAGTCCTGGGGATACAGATTGATCTTGAAAGGCCCTCCTTTAACCAAACGCTTGTGTTCCTCTCGTGCTTTCTGTAAAACAAATACTTTGAAAGAAAGAATATTGATCTTCCATACTGTATTTTATTCTCCTAACCGAAAAATTGAAAGCATTTAAATTCAGAAGGAGAATGTTCACTCTGTCTTCTCTCATTTGATCAAGGTACACTTAAATACACACCATGTATGATGGAGCATACAGAGACGCTGACCAGAAAGCACACCAATCACTACAAAAGTGTAGGTAGAAAAATGTCAGGAAAAGCACTATTCATTTAAGACGTGTCTAACAGTACTGTTATACCGGTATTTTGGGCATACATGCATATATACATATTGAAAATTCTGCTTGCATGCGTCCCAGCTGCATAGCAGCTCACAGTTGTGAACAGTCACCACTACATTTCCCAGAATCCAGCACCTTACTACATTGAGCTTCTCTATGAATCAGCAATTTTGTATCATGGGAGATATCGACTTCCCAGATTCTACTTTAAGATAATACAGGTTTGACTCTGAATTTGTCTCAACTGTGGGTAACTGAATTGTTTCTTCTAATCTTGTTCTTACTCTAGGCCAAAAAAACGTACTTCTGCTAACATTTTTCACTATATATAATGAAAATACATAGGAAAACTAAAATCAGTGCAAGGAAATTTAGGAGCTGTCTTAGATTTATGAACTTACATGATAAAAAGGAACAGGGTTTGGTTTGGTTTAGTTTTTATGAATCTTCTAGAATAATAAGGTCCCATTTCTGACAATGACAGAATTATGACTGTTCTTACTATATGAATTGTTTGGTCATTACTGCTGCTTAATGCCTTCACACATAAAAAAAAAAAAATTAAGGTCAAATCTTGAATGGTAGAACTTGTGTGGGATATTCCCAGTTGTCATGAAAAAATAATGAAGCAACTAAAACTAAATCTTTGTTTTTACAGTATGGTGATTAATTTGTTTTCCTTCCTCCACCTTGTAAATAAACATTGTAACTTCAAGCTAAGGAAACATCATAGAGAACAAAAGTTAATGTAAATTCTAATAAATAAAAATGACTAATACTTAATAAAGACTTTTTTTTTTTTTTACCTTTGCAATTAATTTTTCTAATTCATACCCATCTGCTTCATGTGGATATTGTTCTCCTATGGTAAGATTTGCATAACTGTAAAAAGAGAATGAATTAGTCAGATGTTCAAAACTCATGACAGATTTAATAAATTACTCTGCAAAAAGTAGGCAGTGAAGTTACCCATATCCGGTTCCTTTTTTTCCTGGATTAGTATAAAAATTCTTTCCAGGAGGAATGTATCTTTCTCTGGCTTTCAGTTGTGCACTGAAGTATGTAAATGGACCTCCTATAGTTCCATAATAGGTGCCCTTTCCACATCTAAAAATAACAAATTAATACATTAATTAGACCTTTGCAAATATTTCAGGCTTTCCATATCTAGTGTGCCAAAATGTGTAGAAAACCCAAACAAGTAATATCTCCAGAGTTAAACATAAAAACAGGCCAGATCCACTGTGCAAGTAACTACAATTACAGGAATTCTATGTATGGTCAGACAGAAAAGAACAAGGTGTCAGCAGAGATGAAGTTTGGACATGCTAAATATTAGTTATCTTTCTGCCTTGTCACAGAAGGGAAGTAAAAGGAGGCACAACTCATTTAGGAGAAACACCTCTGCCTAGAAAGCTGCAGGAATTCACAGACTGGTTGTCATGACCAACCTGAAAAATCAGTATTTGCTGATAAATGTATGACAAACTGATGAAATAGCTGAATGGCAATTTGGTCCGCTAAGCTGCAGCTACACTGGTCACAGAACAACCCCAAACAAAGAACCCCCTGCCTCTGTCATCCAAAACTGAACAGAAAAATATAAACAGTGACTACTGGATGGGATTTGTCAATTACTCCAGACAGCTCGGGTAATCTGCTTTGGCTGGGCTGTCTGTAATTATTGCGGGGAAAAAGTGAAGTGTCCTATTTAAAGAGTTTCTATTTAAACAAGCCATTAATGAATACTGACAGGATTGGGATGCCAAGGTAACATTTGCCATCTTTGCACAGAACACTAACCATTGCCTGTTCATTACCCTCCCTTTACTTTTGGGCTTCATAAACCCAAATACAGGGGAAAATGGGCAAACTGACAATGCACAGACAACCTCCTTTATCTTGGCATTTCCCAGCTTATAAGTGCTTTGCTTCATGTTCTTTAAACGTCTTTTTTTTTTTTGCAAGCAGGCTTTTTATATGCCAGTGACAAAATAATAAAGAAAGGAAACAGGAAGAAAATAAAGGCCTAGGCTTCAGTCACATCTTATCGCTGCAACCTCTGCATTTGAAGCCAACGATAAACATGTAAGGAAAAGATTTACAAAAATTGTTGTTATTGAGGCAGCCAAGAATAACAACATCAAGAACAGCAACAGATACAGTTCTGTTCTAGTTCCTTAGGTGAAATATGAGTCAGTTTCAGATACAAGAAAGGTACAATCTCTACATTACTTGCCTGAGGATCCCATTAAAAGAGAAGATGGTGGTTACCTTCCCAGCCTCTGCTTTGTACTACTGTGCCAGTACAAATTCAGGAGAGGATAAAGAACCTGTCCTAAAGTTATTTCTAGAAGAACTCAAAGGTCTTACAACCCAAAAAAGAACATGAGCCACTAAACACACATCAAATAAGTGCATTTGTGCACTTTGATGGAGGAGGGAATGCTGGCAGGTGTTTGTTGTAAGCAACTTAGTGGAGAAGAGCAAGACTGAACCCAGAAAGCACGTGAACAGGACTCTAGACTGACACAGATTTGAAATTAGTGCCTAGGTGTTTCTAACAGTTAAACTCCAATAAATTGTTTGCTTGCTATAAAAGTAAAGTTGAAGTAGAAAGAAAGTTTTGAACACAGCGCTTGCATATTTTCTGTCACCAGAAATAGCACGTGTGTATCCGACAGAAAGCCAACACACCAGGTCTTTCGATCCTGTTAACAGCCAAAATGTTCCTGTAACATATGACAGAACATGCCTAATCCTTGCATCTCAAAATAGTTATACAGAATAGACAAGAGGTTACTCTCTAAACTTTCCAAAGAGAAAGCTGTAGAAAGATATGACTAAATATAACCACGGGACTGTAAGAACTAGGCCCTGTACATGAGCTGAATCCTGTCTCTCATTGCAGCAACAAGAACACAAGATTGTACAGTCATAAACAAGTCACTAGACTCTGTTTTTTTTACATGTTAATCATAGTAGTTATAGGAAACCAATTGCACTGATATCATTTTGTCATGCAATTAATGTTGTGCAAATAGGAAAGGTGTATTTATTTGAATATTATTCTGCATATACTCCTCAACTCTATAGCATCTTCTGATCATCCCATAGGCTAATTGGCATTTTCTTCTTGCAAAAAGGTAATGCATATGAATTCAAACTGTTAACAGCCCCTTTTCCTGCTGTTTTTGCAATATACATGCTATCTATATTTTGGGAGGCTCAGAAATGGGAGAAAATACTGTATCTGAAAAGTTCCAACAGATTTCATGCTAAATTAAAATGAAATATTAATTTGTTAGTTATCCAGACCCTTTTCCCATATTCATCTTAATTTTCATTAAAAATGAGAAGCTAAAAAGTAAGAAAATTGTACATAGCATTAGACAGATACATGAAACAGTGGTTAAGGGCAAGCATCAAGTCCTTATCCCTACCTGTGTCCAGCCTTCAGTCATCTCCAGTTATGGGCTGCTGCTCATAAGTTCAGTACTGACTAACACCACATTGTATAAAACAACAATATTTTATTCCCATTACAGGTTTTATAAGAAATCACCTATGAAAACTATCTTCAGTGTACAGAACAGAAAAAAGGTCAATTTAATATATTTTCATAATACTTACGGCAATTTGTCTCCATTACTGGGCAGGAAAGCTTTGCCCAAATTTTTCTTTGCTTCTGCCAATCTATAGCGTCTCCTTAGCTGAACAGGGTTTGAGTAGGCTTCACCATCGAAAATCCTTACAAACTGAGGCTCAAAATAACCTTCTTGAAGAGCTGACAATGTTTTGGAACCCCCAGGTAACATTTGTCTGTTCTTGCTTGCAGCTTCATTAAAAGGGCCTTTAAAAAAGTACGCACTGTAAATAACCATTCGATGTCAGTGCTTCCCTTAGACTACATTAGAAAATAAGGCTTGGATCTGGGTGGGTGGGTGGCAGAAAGAATGTACTACCGAGCATTTCGTTCATATATCATACATGCATATTGTATGATTTATACCATATAATACACATGGTGTCTGAAAGGTATTCACAGCACCCACCTTTACTTTTCCAGCACCTACTCTTGCTTTACAGGCAGCTGAGGGAGGTCAGTTACTGCAGACTAAAATTTGGAGCTAGAGCTGATGCAATTTATATACTACAAGTAATACATCAGGGGTGCATCTCTCTCCCTCCAATTACAGACCAGGACCCAGCTTTAGAGCCTCCTGTTGGGTTTTGAATCCCCAGCAGCTCTGTGTGGTAGAAGTGATAAGCTGCTGAGCCAGCCAGGGTTCTGGCAGACACACTCACTGACAGAACATCACAGCAGAAACACCTGAACTGAAAAGTGAGGATTATTTTGTGTTATCATTTCAAAGCAGCAACCTCTGTCACCTTAATGAGTTCAACGATTATCTTTTTCAGTGTGTATTCACATTGAAAAATGAAAGGAGGATGCTTCCCAAAAAAGACAGGATGGGGAGCCTCACACTCATGAGTGAGACCAGAACAGAATAAATAAATAACTAAATAAACAAACTTTAAATTACAACTAAATTAAAAATAATGACAATGTAATTGTAAATAACAGAAGACCTGCTGTAAGAGCACATAAAAAACACTGTTGCTTTATGTACGACCATGAAAATACTTGTAACTTGCATGAAAATAATATTTAAAAGAAATGTTCAATAAAACAATGCTAAATAAACATTATTTTTATTTTTTTTTATTATTATGCATACATATTTTTCAGTTTTACTCGATTTTTCCTTTCTTTGCTACATATTCCAACATATCAAGCCTTTCTGACCTAAGCAAAGAATATGTATGAAAAAGCAGTTGCTTCTAATAAAAAAAAAAAAAAAGAAAGAAAGAAAGAGAGAGAGAAAAAAAAAAACAGCAATTCTGAAAGTAGTTAGACACTGGAGGGGATCTCTATTGCTCTATGCTGATTAAAATTAAATACACTTACGCATATACTGTGATACATATTTATCTCCAATGGTAACATAACCCATTTCACTGAAGAGGCCAATCCTCTCCAGATCACTTTTTCCTTCCGCAGGCATGGCTGGATCTGTGTGACAGTGTACTGCACTGAAAAGGTAGAAGTATCCCTGTTTATTTGTGCTACTGCAAAAGTCTATAAGCAGTCAACACCTGTAAAAAAAAAAAAAAAAAAAAAAAAAAAAAAAGTAAAATGCAATAAGCTTTGGCTAAAAATATTAGCAATAAATGTAATCTGAAGAAAGTCATCTACAACTGTGATTGAAAGTTTTATTGCTTAAAGGACCAACAGACTGCATGGATTTAGAGACTATTATATTTCCTTTGTTAAACAAACTTGAAACAGAAGCAATGAGAGAAATCCAAATGCATCTTTAATACAACTGTTACTGAATATACACAGTTTATAACTGTTATCTTCCAAGCGCTAAGATCAGAGGTTTTGTGGTATTAATAGCTAGCAGTGAAACATGCCAAGCAGCCTCCTTCACCGTGTGGGTCATCTCTAGCTATGGTTTTCAGGCACTTTTAATTAAAGATACATCAGGATATCATATGGACAAGTCTGAGATGAAACACATCGGTAGAATTTTGGAAGCCCTCTAGCTGCAGTCCAAGGCCTGGTCATGGTGAATATCTGCACTTTCTTCTTGATTTCTGTGCAATGATTTATAGCAAACGTTCATTTTTCCTCACCACCGCCCTCATCCGGGCCTGGCAGCAGGAAGGCAGGTGCCAAGCCCACAGGTCTGAGGAGCTGGGGGCCTCAGCAGAGCCCAGGCCAGGCACGAGGATGACGAGGGCTCTGGCTGGCAGAAACGGCAACCGTGACGAGGCCGAGCGAGGCCTGCCTCGAGGTGGAAGCTAACAACATGTGCTCGGTTCACCAGGAGCAGAAATAAGGTAAGATAGACGAAATTATTTAACCAGTTAGGAAAGCTGCTCCTGGAAAATCATGAAATGTAAGAATTGATGGGAAAAGATCCGTGATAGGCATGATATTAAACAAATAGCTCAGGTGTACAGCCTGAAGGAAGTTAAACCATTAGGATGGAATAGGGATTAAACACAACGTAGATCAAGTCTGATACTGGCATTAACCATGGCGACAAGGGCAAGAAGGAAGAGGCAAGCATGGAAATAACCAAGGCAGCAGAAAACTCAAGAGATGAATACCACACATGAGCCGTATCTGGCGTGTGGGCACCCGATGAGGAGAGGCACCAGCGCCACGCTGCAAACAGCTTTGACGACGTGGGCTGTTTTCACAGGGCTGTTACAAGCCCTGCGGAAGGGCTGGGCGCACCTCGTACGTTTCACAATTTCACAGACCTCCAGCTGGGGCTCCAGCCGCGAGCTCTGCGGCAAGCTGAGGCGAAGCAGGCAGCCGGGCGAGGAGGGAACCGAGGGGCGCCTCCGTGCAGCCACCTCACCCTCAGCGCCCCTCCGCCCGCCTCTGTTGGCACCGGTTGCCCGGGGCAGAGCGGCCCCCCCGCTCCCTACATTGGTACGGCCCAACGCGTATGCGGCTGCGCAGGACCGCACCACCGAAGGGGAGAGCTGGGGGGGAGTCAGGCGGCCGGACCGTTTTCCGGAGGGTCTCGGTGAGGCGCTGAGGGACCTGGTGAGGCGGGGGGGGACGGGGAATGGGGCAGTGAGGGGGGGCGCTGCCCACAGCCCAGCATGGCCGCGGGCCGGGGCCCCTCAGCAGCACGGGCGGGCTGAGGGGGGAGGCCTGGGTGAGCCAGGAGTTCCGCGATAAGCCTTTCCAGAAGGGCTCGGAGTAATTGTTCCTAACCGAATTATTCTTAATTCGCAGAGCAATTAACGCAGTGTTGCTTCTGGGGGCTGCTAGGTTAAGCACAGCTCAGCCTCCTGGGGGCTGTCGCGTTTTTGTTGCTCTGTCCTGGCACGGCTGTTCCTGCCGCGGTGGGTTAAGCTTTACCAGGAATTGATCCGGACAAAGAAGAAAAAAAAAAGTCAATTCTCAATAAAAGGCTGCTTTTAATTTTTTTAAATTGAGGCTGAGGGATGCCTGCGGGCATAAGCAGCACTGCTGTCAAATGGGAAACATCTGCCTGGCTTCTGGAGGTTATGCCCCACACTGCATCTTCCTCCTCCCAAAATTATGACTCCCTAACCAAGGTGAATGTGAACCTAAAGATAGGCTTAATTACCTTTTTACTCTAACACTCAGAGCAGTCCTTGGTTTGCTTTCACTGGAAGATGGGAAACGCATCATTTGGATTGAAGCAATGATAGCCAATGACAAATGTCTTAAAAAATATTTATAAATGGTATATTAAAAAAAAAGAATAGGATAAATGCTTTCATGTTGAGGTGGGAAAGGTGTTTTAAGAACTGTTTTTGTAACACCACTTATGCAACTGACATATGCTAGTGTGCTGCATCGCTGGCCTTACGTACCCTGAGCACCCGTAATAATTGCTGGTGTGCTTGCACGGTGTGGCGTGATGACAGTCAGTTTTAACTGGAGAGACAGCATGCTGAAATAACTTATTTTCATTCCTTCTTTTTTCTCCTTAGGTGAATATGGAAGCCATGGACATACTCTTTCGAATAAGAGGAGGCTTGGATTTGGCATTTCAGCTAGCAACTACCGATGGTGTGTCCATAAGACTGTCATAGATTCTTTAAAATTTAAAAAAAAAAAGTTATATAGGCAGAGACACTCCCCACCAGCCCAGGCTGCCCAAAGCCTCATCCAGCCTGGCCTTGAGCACCTCCAGGGATGGGGCATCCACAGCTTCTCTGGGCAACCTGTGCCAGTGCCTCACCACCCTCTGAAGAATTTCCTCCTAACCTCTAATCTGAATCTCCCCTCTTTTAGTTTAAAATCATTCTGTTCAGCTCTTCATGTTGCCCAGAAGCTGAGAGAAACAATATGCTTTTGTTAAGGTAGATGAGTGTGAATGTTTAAGACAGGCCTGCTGAATGAGATCTTATCTCAGGTTTTGTTTACATTGTCATTTTTCTGATCATCACAGCATTTATATTTTTACTTGATGTCAAAACTTACTGATTTTTTACGTTTGTCCAGCAGCTATCACAAAAGTGAGAGAATTTTCTAAGCTAATTGTATCCTTGTGTTTCAGAGGCATCAGCAAAAAAGGCATTAAGATATGTGTTCAGTGATCTTGCAAACAAGCTGTCCTCAGATGTTCTTGTGTTAAGAATTTGCCATAGTCCAGTCTACGTGTGGCCTAACAGTGGTATCAACACTGTTCCAGAGCTGACTGATGATTCTGCTTGTAAAGAGATAAAACGATTTATACAGTGAGTAGATTAAAAATTATATATATAGATTTTAAGTAGATTAATTACATTTTATAGAAATTGTTCTTTCTGTTGACACTTCAGCCTTGATCAAGATGACGAGACCCGACGAAAGCTTGGCAAAAAAAAGGATAAAAAGCTACAAGATACGGTATGTGTCTCACCACACTAATAAATTACATCAGACAACCTATCATTTGAGTAGTTAATCTGCTCTCTCCAGCCTTATCTGTAAAAATAGGCATTTAAATGACTCAGAAGAATCCCTTTAAAATTATTTAGACTCTGCATAAATGCAGAGATCTATTTACAGTTGATCAATACATACAAGTTTTAGTCTTTAACCCAATTATTTTATTACTGAGTTTGATCTCAAACTTCTACAGTTTTCCTTTTGCCTTCTTGGTGTATGCATTGTTGGAGATGTACTAGTGGTGTCTTTATTCTCTGCAGCAGCAGATAATCAATATAGACCTCATGTTAGAGATGACATCTTCACTAGATGCTTTGGCTCCAGTCATTGAAAGGGAAAATAAAGAACACCACTACATTAATATGACTTTACCAGTTGATGTTGTTTTGTCTGTTTCTCCAGAAGAAACATGGGGAAAGTAAGTGTTATCCTGAACTTGGAATTCTTCAGTTTCTTTTTGTTTCTGTTTTTGTTTGTTTTGTTGTTGTTTTGTTTTCCTTGAAAGTATCAAAGGAAAGCTATTGTTATCATTAATCGGTTTAATAAAATAGCATATAGTATTCTTGTACTAGAATTTGACTGTGTAAGTAATAATAGCTCCTTCAGATATCTGTTAGTTTTAAATATCTTGAAACCCAGTCATTTTGCTGTCTACAAAAAATACAGTTTGTCAGTGTCTGATCGATTAGATAACTAAGAACTTTGCGTAAAATGCAAAATATTTATAAATACTTAGTCATATATGTAACTTCTAATTCAGCAAACACTCGGTTGTGTTTCTGATAAGAGAAAGTGCAGCTGAATCTTCAGACGGCTGAATCACTAGGGAGTAATTTCTGTGTGTAGACGTGCTTAGAGCAAGCATTCTGAGGTTTTGTCCTCTGTGGGAGTGGACTGAAGGGGGCATGGAAGTAAGAAGTTCATCAGGGCGGGTGCAAATGTGCATATGAGTATTGTTTGACTTGGAGCTATGAGAGAAAATGAGTCGCCACCACTGTTCTTTTACTAAAGTATTCTCCCTTATACTTCACAGGGTACAAAATCTCCTGGTGAAAGCAATTCACAAGCAATTAACAGATATGGAAAGATGTATCATGAAATATATGAAGGGAACGTCAATTGTGGTACCAGAACAATTTCATTTCATGTTACCAGGAAAAACTCACCTTGTAACAATCTCTTATCCTACAGGTATTTCAGATGATCAGCTGGAAAGTTACAGAAAGGTAACATTTTCCATTTAGCCAGCATACAACAAATACTAGCAGAACTAGTTGTGCTTTATTTATTTATTTTTTATTATTATTGTAGCTGAAGCAGTAAACTGAATGTATAAGATTGATTTATTGGAAGCTATTTTATAAAATATATCAGATTGCGTTTTCTGTAAGGGAGCAACAGAAATATTAGAACTACATGGGCCTCATCTAAAACAAATGCCTAGTCTAAATCACACTTCTGGTGCTGGATTCTTTGAATTCTCCTCTTCCATTGTAGAATATCAGATTTCTTTTAGTACATTATTGCTTCCAAGCTTTAACAAGTTGCCTGAAATGATATGGGGTTGGGTTTTTTTGTTTTGTGTTTTGCTTTGGGGTGATTTTGTTGTTGTTGCTTACAGTTGACCAGCCTTAGATTTTGCTTTTGCCTTCGGGTTGGCACATCTAGAAAAAGGAATATGGATGAAGTGTGAAAATGTTCCGATGTTGCAGTCCTTTCACATTGAAAGCTCTCAATCTGGTGGAAAACATTCAGGTCATGCAGTTTTACATACTGAGAGCGGGGAAAGAATCTTTTACCTGTTTAGATGTGCTGCGGGGATTTTTCATTCTCTTCTGGGTGAAGCATTACTGGGTGTATAAAACATAATCTGTTCCTTGCGTTTGCAGGCACCAGTTGCACATAAATCTTTCCTGTTCTCTCTCTCTTCTGTTCACTTTTATCTACTGATTGCTGAGTGTTTCTGTAGCTAATATAGTTGGTTCAGTGTTGGATCATCTGTGTAAAATCTATTACCTGTGATATAGACATCCTAGATGATCTCATTATTCCTCTTACTCTTAACCCCTCTGAAATAAGATAATTTTATCATACTTTCACAAGGCATTTGCACTCATGATATCTTGAATGGGGCTCCAGAGACAGGCGTTCTGTAACAGGACTATGTGAAATAGCAGGCTCATCAGATGGCAGGTAGGCCCCCATGAGCTTCCTTAGAGAGGTGAGGTCTAGCAATAAACATACATGCTGAATAATAATATATTACAATGTGCCTAGCTACATTAGCTAAACTGTTTGTTAAGAATGGTTGTTTCTATTATTACCTACAGTGTGGTGTTTCTTTTAATCCAAAATTTGAATTGTGCTTTTTATTTTCTTCTAACTTGCATGCAGGAATTACACACGTTGTTCAACCTACCATATGACAGACCATACTTAAAGAGAGCAAATGCTTACCATTTTCCAGATGAACCATATAAAGATGGCTATCTCAGAAACCCCCATTTACATCTTAATTCACCTGGGACAGAGTCTGGTATGGTACGTTTAAATTGAATCACTTTAAAGAAATTACTTTTTATTTTACTTGAGATTTGTTGTTAATATAATTAAATTATTAATTATACTGATTATTAAATTATCAATTAATAATCATCAGTATCAGTTGAGAAAGAAAGGGCACAGGAACGGATCTGGTCTCTTAAGCAAAATGGCTTCTCTGCACAAAATGGTATTGCTGTAGCTGTAGTTGTCCTGTGCTCGCTCACACCTCAAGTGCATTTTCTGGTAACATACTGTACAACATTTTAAAGGATACCTCATGTTTTTGTTATGTATTTTAAAAGTTTCTTAGAACCAGTACAAGAAAATAAAACTGTGAATGGAGATATTGAGGAGACAAAACAGGAGCGGTCATGTGTGAATAACACAATCAATTCTTCCAAAGACTTGTAACCCCCTAACTGAAAGATATGTAACAGTGCAAGTAACGTAGTAGGACTTCTCTGAAAATTGATGCAAGTGCAACCAGGTTAATTTGTATTCTCTCTTTCTGTGCAGGTTTATTTAGTACATGGCACATACAGCTATCACCACTATATGCAGGATCGCATTGATGACAGCGGTTGGGGCTGTGCTTATCGGTCTCTGCAGACTGTCTGCTCGTGGTTCAGGCACCAAGGTTACATAAATGCACCTATACCAACACACAAGGAAATTCAACAGGTACTGAACACGTGGGCAGAGTAATTCTTTTATACACTTAATTGTTTAGAAACATTTATAGATAATTTTTAAGTGACTGATACATTTTAGACTTAAAATTTGTGTGATATTTTTCTCTCTTAAATGGAACTATAGTGCTCATCAATTACTGTTTAACAAGGTCTATAATAGGAGACCCGTCTCCAAATGTTTATGTGCACAAGTAAGATTCATTAGAATAGTTTTCTAGTATTTCCTTGTACTAACATTCTTACAGTCTTTTGTCTTCAGTGGCAGCTAGTTTGAGTCCCCAGACATTACGCAGTTGACGTACTGCTTTCTTTTTTGCAATTTTACCTTTGATAGTAGGCAGGCTTTTTGTTTTTTTGAACCTCCTTTCACTTCATTTTCTTCTGTGAATTTGAATGTGTACCTGAATATGGTCAGTTTCTATTAATGGTACTGAAGAAAAAGAGTTATGTTTGGGTAGCTAATACTGTATGCCTAGCAGGAAATATTGCAGTTATCTTCAGTCTTCTAAAAATGGCGTTTTGTATCATATTTATTTACTCAACATTTCTAACCAACGTATGGCTCACTCTGAAAAATGACTTGCATCCTATCTGACAGGGATGTGAGCATTAAAATAAAAATTGCATTTCCTGATGATTTCTCAGTCTGCCCCTAAACATAAAACGATCTCAATTCCATAGACTCCTGTAACGTGCTGGACAGCAGCCTTTGGGAGACTTAGTGGGCTGTCTATCCTGAGCAGAAAAGGCACCTCAAGAGCTGCTTGTAACATGTAAACCTCTGAATTGGAAATAGTTTAAAATAAACCCCAACCCTTGGTGTATTTTGGTGGCCTCTTCCTTAGGGCACTATTTTATGCATCCTTTTCTGAGGTGTCTTGAGTAGGAGTCCAGTCTGTGAGGTGGTTTCTGCAGCACAGATGGTACATTTCAGTGCTAGGTAGCTTGGTGCTCAGCTTGAAGTCTGCCTCTGGATCTGAGGTCATATAATGTGCTTACTGGGACTGTCCTGTGTCAGTGTCTAAGTGGCATCTCCAAAACAGAACCACAATGAATGAATTCAATAACCATTTCTTTGCTTTTGACTGGCCAGATATAAAACATATTCCTGTCTTTATAAACCAACTTTATTCACAAAAAATGGTGGAACTGTCTACTACGTGTTGTTGAGGTTTGCTTTTCTTCTTCATGTTCACCTGGCAAAGGCACTGGTTGATGCCGGAGACAAACCTGCAGCATTTGTTGGGTCACGGCAATGGATTGGCTCTATTGAGGTACAGCTTGTTCTGAATCAACTTTTTGGAATAACATCAAAAATACTCTTTGTCAGGTAAGAATCAATATCTTTCTAGTAGTTCAGTAATTATTAAAGATATTGAATGCCTTACAATGCAAATTACCCTTATAAAATGTGGGATAATAGGGATAATAACAGATAATTTATATTTTAAGAGCTCACTGTTCATAAACCCTGTATTCCTGCCTTTGGTTGTTCTGAGGTGAATGGGAGGTGCTTACAAGTTAGGGTATTGATGAATTTCTTGTGATCTTGGGGTTGAGTTTGCATTTTCTATAACTTGCTTAATTATGTGCAAACTGATGTGAAATTAAAAAAAAAAAAGGGGGGGGGGGGTCTGCCTATTGCCTATCCATCACACAATTTTTGGAACAGGCCCACAGCCTGGCAGTCATAATGAATGCCATACATGTTGACGGTAAGTTATTGCCTCATCCACAGAGCTAACCTTTTAGCTCAGGATTGAGGCAAACTGCTGAGCAGCCTAGAAATAGTGCTCTCTGTCCTGTATTTGTGCGACATAAAACAAGGTATTTGTTTCCATTCTGACAATCTGACACTTTTATATGCAATAAAGAACTCTATAAATGTATGTGGGAGAAAAAGAATAATGTTCAGTATTTATCAGAAATAAAATTACTGGACTTCTGTCACTTGGACAGCAGTAAGCATAATAATAAATCCCTGAACATTTTGTGATAAATACAATAACGAAATAGAGAATGAATGCTAATCTAGCCCGTATGAAAATGCTAGTCAAAATACTGCTCATAAGTTATGTTTATTTAGACTAAAGTCTACTGGGAGTATTGTAAAAGGGCATGTAACCATGGTGATGGTTATTCTTAATGGTAGGAAAATAATTGATTTCTTCAGTATTTTTTCAGGCTTTATACAGCCAATTTTAATCTCCTTGTTCCACAGCTTATATTTGCAGATGATCCACCTATTATTTATAGCAGCTGTGACTGTTAGTGAGACAGTTTTTATTCCTGTGCATAAGGATACAGCACACATTCAGTTGTGAACTGGGTAGAATTGCTCACAGTGCTGCTACAAGGGAGCACCAGTGTTCTTCGGGATTATGAAATGCCAGCCTTGCTACCATGCTGAGAAGAGATGTCAGGCAGCCTTTTTGAGCTGGTCACTAGCAGTGGAGAGCATTTTTTGTCTTGGGCTTATATCCAGCTAGCACCTCTAAGTCTTTATGGAAATAGAACTTCACAGCTGCACCCTCAGTACTGAATCCTTTACTGCAAATGTACCATCCCATTTCCCAGCTTTCCTGTTTTGCACTCTGCATTTAATCCATCTCTCCAGGAATTGGAAAAGCAGGCGAACAACTTGTCTGAAACATTAACCATGGTATCCTGTCTTTGTTTCTTTATATTAAACATATCTGTATGTGTTTTCTTGCCTAGCTTCTGCCACCACTTTTGGAAGTACTATCCGTCTTCTGAGGGGACCGTGAGGCTCCTTCAGAAGAAAGTGAGCTCTGAGTCTTGGAGTACGTGCACGTGTTGTGTGCGTACGCCTTTCTCTTCCGTGTAGACTACTCTTATCTGTGGCGAAGCTGAACAGAAAAGCAGGGAAAATAAATCAAGCCAAGCTCAATGTTGCTTTGACCAGATGCCTAATGGTATTTCTGATTTAATTTTTTAAAAGCAAGCTGGGTATGAGTCCTACATAAAGTTGCATAAAGAATTTTATTCAGACTGTCCCAAGGAGTTCAGTTCTTTTAGCAGAAGAATTCTAAGCCACTTTGTAGTCAGTTACTTATGCAGTTAATGAGTATAATGGATAATTGGAAAATCAAGCATAGTGAGGATGACAAATCTCTTGTTGTATTTCTTCCCTAGCCAGGGTTCTGAACTAGCTTTGCAGGGAAGAGAGCTTGCTAATCATTTCAAGACTGAAGGAACTCCTATTATGATTGGTAAGTACTTGCGTATCAGAGACTGCCAGTGAATGTTTGTAGCCTTCCTCTGCTGCATTTCAGTTCAGTTAGTCCTGTTTCAGTTTACTGTACAGGAGTTTATCAAAACTCCAGATAAATTAAAAGTGATCCTCTTTCCAAGGCAGCATAGGAAACCATGAATTCAGTCTGGCTGGTATCTTTTGCATTTGGTATTTCACCCAGCCTCAAGCTGAAATCTAGTAACAAAGATCAATCTGAATGGTATTTTCAAAAGCTGCTTTTAAAATCAGAACTCAAGAGCTGACTTGTGCTTTCTAGGTGAGAGAGGTTCATACAGTTCCCCAAAACTTCCCACCACAGAAGAAGAGGGGTTTTCTGGCTTTGAAGAGATAAGCATCATTCCTTATCTAAATTCTTCCTAAGACCAGTATGCATGTTTAAATAATCTAAAATATTGATATCATTGGAAATGCCATTCATAAGAACTTAAAATTAATGAAAGTATTTCCAAGCAAGCAGTGGTTCAGAAAATGAAGAGTACTTATATTAAAGCTGAAAAGTATATTTAAAATATAGCAATTTGCATATTTAGCCAATCTCAGTGATTTTTTTTTTAACAGTTTGTTTCTCTTCTATTTTAGGTGGAGGTGTTTTGGCTCACACGATATTAGGAGTAGCTTGGAATGAGATTACAGGGCAAATAAAATACTTGATTCTAGACCCACATTACACTGGAGGAGAAGATCTGCATGTTATTTTGGAAAAGGTGAGATTAACGCACGTGCATATATACACACGCATATAGATACGTTTTGGCATTAAACCAATGATGTATAGCAAACTAGGGATTGGCCATTTTGCAGCTTCTCCATTCCTTATGGAGGAAGCGTTGATCCCAATTAACTTGCCTGTATGTTAGTCATTGTTGGTTTCCGAAACAGTCTTTAACAGTTGTAGCTTGAACGGCTACAACTTGTATAAGGTATTATCTTGAATAAGGTGTTCAAGAATACTTTTGTCCAGCAGGACAAAAAGAAAGGCAGAAATCCTTTTATTCATCAAAAGTGGCAGGGGAGAAGAGGAACTGAGGCAGGCTGTAAATTGGCAGCTTTTTTTTTTATTGGAAACACCTGATATAATTACATCCTAGTCTTGTAGGGCTTAAGAGCTTTATTAGACTGATTTGCTGCTAAATCATGACAAACAGCCCACCCCCCACCTTTTTAAATTAAGAGCTCAGTTTGGCCCTGAAATTTGAACTATTTCTAAAGAAGACATTCTTCAAGACAAAAGAAGTGGAAACTGAGTGACACCGTAGCAGCAGAAGGCAGTGGGGTATAGAAAGAAGATGCTACTACTTAGAAACCAAGCTGGAAAGCTGGGTGAGGGGAATTGGAGAAACTCTTGTTAAGTGTTTTCCATTAATGTGTTTTCAAGGCGTGCACAGAACTGTCTGAAAATTGTCACTGCTTGTAGGTATTTGAAAATAACTCATACTGCTTAGATTAAAATTAGTAAGATAAATACAGTTGTAATAGATAAGGAAAACAGAATTCACATTAAGTAGTTTAAATTGTATCTTGCTTTTTCTTGGCCAGGGTTGGTGTGGATGGAAGGGCCCAGACTTCTGGAACAAGGATGCCTACTACAACCTGTGCCTACCTCAACGACCGAAAACTATTTAAATTCCACTCTTGGGCTGGAACATGCTAAGCCAGAATACTAGCAGATATCTAGATATAACTTGTCTTGTTAGTTAGACTAATGCTTTCAGGTAATCAAAACCCAGCTGAAATAGAAATATTACTTACATAATTTAAAGCAAGATTATTTTTTTTAATGAGACCTCTGAAAAATAAGGGAATTACCTGCTGTGAACTGTATTTCCTACAAATGTTTATCAAGTAACTTAAACTCTTTCCTTTTGGCTAAGATAACTTTGTTTGTATAGCGATTTTATGCTAAAAAGCTTTACAGATTAAGTGTCTGATCCTTTTATTTTATGAATTTTTTTCTTGCCAAAAAAAAAAAACGTACTTCAGGTTCTGTATAGCCAGCTGGATTTTGCTGTATGAATCTGTTCAAAGCCATCATTCCCTGCTGTTACTGCTGGTAACAGTATTTTAGATAAGGGTGAGGAAAAAAAAAAAAAGCATGTATACTGAATTTTATGGTCTTTGTTCTCATTTACACAGAAAAAAGGAAGAGACTAAGTTATTATATGCTTATTTATTTATAGCTGTATGAATACAACTATTCTGGGAAAAAACAGTCTTCTGTAAGAAGTAAAAATAAATGAGCTTTGCTCCTTCTCAGAAGGAGACAATGTAACAGCATGCAACAAGTTACTCAATTGATAGTCCAGTCATGTTTTCTCAGACTTTGGGTTCCCCTAAATTTGACAATGAGGTGACAAGCCCTTTCTTTTGTCAGCTAAGAGACAGATCTGTCACATGAACACATACATGTAAATAAGCCTGTATCTAATGTCATCAAAAGACACAGTTGTGGTATGGGTAAAACTGCTATCTTTGTCAGCTACTCCATTCCTACATTGTTCAGAGTACTTTAACATCAAGAAAGAAAAAAATTATAGGTAAACTTTTCAGTGCCGTTCTAAACACAATATCCATTTTTTACAAGACCATAACCTTAATTACATATGCAAAGCAGGACTTACTGGCAGGCATCTACATCCAGCTTACCTGCATCTATCACCAAACTTATTTACTTAACTGCTAAAAGTACAAAAAAGAAAAAGATTAGAAATACAACAAATAGTAAGCCACTGGTATTACACACCATCTGACCTTCTCCTCTTCCTGCTTGTTGATCTGCTTACTTCCCATTCTTGCTCCTGTGCTGCTAGATCCTCACTCAGCGTGCTGTGGTTGCCATTTAGTGAGGAGCTAGACTGTCCTCTCAGTTTCATAGTTTGAGTGTGCTGAATTGTTTTCAGGAACTTGGCACATTCCAGAAAGCCACAAGCCAGTGCAAGGTCTGCTGCTGTTTGCCCACTGTTGTTGCACAAGCTGAAACACAAAATTAATAGTCACAATTCATATGAATTGGAGTATGTATTATGAGCAAACAACAATCAAGATTCATTAAGTGATAAGTTTAATCAGAAGTACAAAGAATCAACACCAAGAAGGTTTGCCAAGGATAGGGCTCTAGTGATAGTGGGTGCTGCCACTAAATGCAAAAAGGAGTAATTATTTAAAAACATATCTGTCACCAAACTATGACTGGCTTAGTGCATCAGAAAGGTGTGAGTAAGATGAGTACAACACTAGAATGGAAAATCAACAAGAACCTATGAGCAAGAACATTCTCTTAGCAGTTACTTCAACACGGAACTGAACAGCATATGGTCTATGTAATGTGTTCATGTGTATAGCTGTTTTTGAGACTGCTTGTATGTCTACAGCCATGCTGTCAGCTTTAGCTGACAGCAGCTTTTAGCAGCACCCTCAACAAGAAAGTGTACAAAACATGCATCTTTTGAGAGCTGATACAGAAATGATTAGATGTAGCTTAACTTACTCAATTTTGGCATCACCAGCAACCAGGAGAGCAAGACATTCCAAACTCCCAGCTTTTGCTGCTTTATGAATTGGGGCTTCTCCAAGGCAATCCTAAACATATAAAACAGTTGTTTACATATATATATTGGTTGTTTGAAAGAAAAGGAATAGGATGAAGCTACTTTGTTCTCCAACATGACTGTTTTGAGTGGTGTTCTGTATACCGGTTGGTTGTGAATTGAAGAGAGATTAAAGGAATATGGCTAGTGAAGCATACCCAGTAATTGCCAGTAAACATTTGTTTAATGTATTCTGATAATCCAACAGAGCAGCAGGACTGCTGTCCCATGCTATACTCAGGGTTTAACCTTAGCTTTATAAAGATTATTTACAGAGAATACGTTTTGGTGCTGATTAAGGTGCTGATCAACTGCACCTTTCAGCACTGTTCAGGGACTGACAGCTTGCTGCTACAAACTCAGAGGTATGGACCAATTAAAAGCTGCAGCTAGAGGAAAAATCCACACACTCAGAGGAAGCAGGGGCAAAATTTGAAAGGCAGAAAGAATACTCATTTCTATTAAAAGAAAATTTTGACAGCTGCGCGCAGCACCGTGTGAAAGCACCATATGCAGCAGTACGAAATAGCTACGGCGGTATAGATAGGGTTGCTGGTTCACGATAGAATAAAGCTGCTATAAAATCAGCAACCCCAGACACCTCATGCAGTGCAGCTGTATATATACAAAACCTCTCCCAGGTGAATCAAAACAAATAAATAAATATAAAAGGCGAGCTTCCTGACGTGAGGTTAGAAGCGGGAGAAACGACACCCGTGCGTTGTTACCTGCTGGTTCAGGTCGGCGCCCGTCTGCAGCTGCCACAGCAGGAAGCAAGCCTCGCCGCCCCCCGCGGCCAGGTGAGCCGGGGACTGGCCGAAGGCATCCGCGGGTGCGTTCACGCCGCTCCCCGCCTCCAACAGGGCGCTGAAGCCGCCGCCCGGCTGAAAGGGAGCACGGGGGAAGCTGCAGCACCACCGCCGATCCCCCTCGCCACCCACCGCACTCATCCTCCGAGAGCGAACAGCGAGCCCGCACGGCTTCGCTGCCATGCTCCAGCCTCACCTCCCGCATCGCGGCCGGCTCCCGGAGCTCGGGGAGGGGACCCTGGCGGCCACAGCCCCCGCCCAGCGCCGTCAGCCGGCCCCGCACGGCCGCCACGGGGCGCCCATGGGAGGGGAGGCAGCGGGCGGCCGGCCCACAGCACAGCCCGCACGGCCCGCGGGGGGCGGCCATGGCGCCGCGGCGCCGCCACACGTCCCGCACGGAGGCTGCTGAGGGAGGGGACCCGGCGTATGTCGGCCCTGGGCTGTGTGGGAATGGCCGAGGTCGGCAAGGGGCCTCGGAAGGTCACCCAGTCCAAGCCCTGCTGAGCAGGGTCACCTGGAGCACCTTGCGCAGGACGACATCCAGGCGGGGTGTGGGTATCTCCGGGGAAGGAGACTGCACGACCTCTCCGGGCAGCCTGTCCCAGCGCCCTGTCACCTCACGGTACAGAAGTGCCCCCTCATATTCACCCAGAACTTCCTGTGCTTCAGTTTGTGCCCGTTGCTTCTCCTTTGCGAAAATAAATATAAATTATTTAAGTAGTGGAACATGAACACACATATAGTTGTTTTTTTTTTAAAGGTGCAGAATTCCAGGTAAATATGCAATATGTTAGCACAATTGAAGCATTTCACTATGTAACAGTTTTCACCTCTCCTTTCATACTACTTTTTTTTTTTTTTTTTCCCCTGAACAGCTAGACAAGCAAACTAGTTAATAAACAAATAAAACCCCTACACTCCTAATTGAGAATTGTTAGGGACAGAATACCTCCCTCCACACACATGCCAGAAATCCACAGTTGTTTTAAGCAAGTTTTAAGCAACTACAAGCACAAACCTCCAGCAGTCACATAAGCCCAGGCAGCCTTGGATCACCCCAGCATGTTCCCCTTTGAGGGCCTTCCCTCCCCAGCACTAATTACCTCAGTAGTGCACAGGTTTGCGATTCCCCACCTGAGCAATCCCATCTTTCCAGCCTAACCACCTCCATCCCACCAGCTGCAGATCTCTTAAGACTCTCGCTGTTAATTAGTTCCCGAGCTCTGTGTTGCATTGCGCCCATCTCATTTGTGCCCACAGAAACTCTCCTGCCCCTGTGCTGGCTGTCTCAAGCCACTTGCTTTGCATAGGTATTGAGCTGGTGAAATTGGAAAAACTGGTCCTAATAAATGCATGTGAGCAGTGGGATACACCAAGCTGAGCTGTGGGACCTCACACCCACACCTGCATGGTCCTGCAGAAAGAAAAGCAGCAAGGCACCCAGAGCTGCCTTTTCTGAAGGGTACCTTGGCTTCCACAGAAAGCACTTCCTAAATTCAGTAATTTGTCTGTGCTGTCAAAAAAAGTTTATTTTCCTGCACACTTCTTAGACTATGCCATATAAGTAAAATGAATCAGGATGAGTTTTAGGACTTTTTTTTGGCACTTAGAGTCACTGGGTCTGTCAGAAAACACGATGTGCAGCCCGCAGGCTTAACCGTGTAACTCTGCAAGCATTCCTTTTCTATTTTGACCGCGTCCTCTGCCTCTGTTGCTATAGAAGCAGATTGCATTGCCAAAAATGGAAGAACAACAATTGCTAGGAAAAAAAAAAAAAAAAGAAAGAAAGAAAAAAAAGGGGTGGGGGGATGTAACTAAAGACTTTTAAAAGCACCCTTGTGGCCTTCTGGTATTGTATATCTTTTTATAAGGGAGACAGCCAGAAGCTATCAACAGAGGTGGAAACAATCTTTTGTGTTTCTGTTATTTTGCCTGCAATTGCTTCCCATGAGGTATTTTAGCTGTGTTCAGCTCACAACAGGACCAGCAGCTAGTAGGAACGATCTGGGCAATGCCCAAGCCCCAGCCTGCGCTAGCCGGGCACGTTACTCCGCACACTGCTCGGAACTGGCTAACAGCCAGAAATGTCCTTTTCCCTTCCTCCCGCTCCTCCCAACAGCTTTTTGGGCTCGGAGCCCCAGCCAGCTCGAGGCAGGTAGCATGACCACAGCCCTGGGCCACCTCCTGTCATGGCGCTCCTGCTGCTAGTGCCAGTCGCCAGCCCAGGCCCAGGCCCCGCAGACAATGGTCACCATGGCGGGGCCAGGCCCGCTTCTCGCTGCCGCGGGGCAGGTGGGAGGGAGGCAGGCGGCCACCATGAAGCTGCGTGGGGAGCCCCTGCCCCAGGCTTGCAGTGCCCTGCCTGCCCTTGAGGGGCCAGGTAAGTTAAGAGAAATGGTGGTATTGTAACCCAGGTGGGATGGAAACACACCTTGTGTGAAACACTTCTGGTTTTCCATGTCAAACTTAGCTTTCAGTGAAGTCACCGTGTCTTTACTGATCTTTATTTTCCGTTTTATGAAGCAGCACTATGTCACAGAATCACAGAATGGTTCAGGTTGAAAGGGACCTCCAGAGATTGCCTAGTCCAACCCCCTGCTCAAGCAGGGTCACCTAGAGCATGTTACACAGGATGGTGTCCAGGCGGGTTTTGAATATCTCCAGAGAAGGAGACCCCACAACCTCCCTGGGCAGCCTGTTCCAGTACTCTGTCACCCGAACTGTAAAGTTCTTCCTCATATGGCAATGAAACCTCCTGTGGTTCAATTTATTCCCATTACCCCCTGTCCTGTCACTGGCCACCACTGAGAAGAGTTTGGCCCCATCCACTTTGCATTGTCCCCTCAGGTATTTATAGAGGTAGATAAACACCTCTCAATCTCCTCTTCTCTAGGCTAAACAGGCCCAGCTTGCTTAGTCTTTCCTCATAAAACAGATGCTCCAATCCTTATTTCAGCTTAGTCATTTAAAAGCATAGTGAAAAGGGGACACCACTAGCTCCAGAGCTTTAGTGTGCTTTTTGATGCTGTTCCATCTGTTCTGTTTTGGAAAAATATATATATATGTTTATTTTTAAGCAGAGGACTACAGCCATGCTGCTTTATTTGCAAAAGCAGAGGAACTGTTGGAGAAGAGAATAAAAGATGGAGATCCTCTGGCATGTTTTCTAAAAGGACAGCTGTACTATGAAGAGGTTGTGATTTCCTTTTTAAATAGACATTATAAAGCTGACAACTTTCAATACAATTTCAGTGGGAAAATAAATACCTTTAAAAAAAGCTACAAGAGATGTTTATTCCAGTTTTTCCCATTAAAATCACCAGGTGTTCTCACTAAATGTATTTTTCCTCCACTTTTCCCAAGTGTCCCAGATAAGTAAGTGGCAGCCTCTGCTACAGCTTCCAAACTGAGTTGTTTTTTGGCCAGATGACTGGCCAAGTACAACATACCATGCCTTTTGTTATGGTGTCAGTGGTTCCTGACCTAGGACACAGCTCTCAATCTTTGTTCCCTACCTAGCCACCAGTTTTCATCAAACTTGCTGAAACGTTATCTGCAGGATTTCTGTCCCTGCCCAGATAGACTAAAATTGGCTCATGTATTTGGAAGTAAATGCTCAGGGAAGAGCATCAGATTAGCTGGCAGATGAAGAAAAACTTCTACTTCTCGTGAAGCCAGATTTAAAAAAGTGCAAACATGACTCTAAGAGTAGGTGTGTCTAAGGACCCGAATCCTTGGAATAGCTCAGATCAGAAGGATGGAAAAGGATATTGTACATGTTCCAACTCATGTTTTCAAATGGGATGTGCATGGTTCAGTACTGCTAGTAGTGCCATATGTGGCACAGTGTACATCAGCCTCATGGTTAGCAGCGGGAGCAGAATTAACTTGTTCAGGGCTTCAGCTTTCTGTAACGGTTTTGTTACTGCACTGGCTGATCTCAACATGAGCAAAACTGGTCCTGCGGAGCAGCAGGCCTGTCTGTGTCTTGATGTGCTGGCCTAGATATCCAAGGTAGATATTGCTGTCCACCATAAATTTATTCTTTGAGTAGGCTTTGATTTCCATATTTAGGGATAGATGTCCGTATTACCTAAAAATGTGTACCGGCATAACACCGCAATTGCCTTCCCATAGATCGAGGACTTCCGTGCTCCTAACTCCTTGTTCCCTACTGTGCTACGTGTGGCTTCCCCGGGGTCTGCTCTAACAGCATCCCTGCACGTGGCAGGGCACATGCTGTGAGGAGGGATCTTAAGGCAAAGCACACACTAACTAGCTAAAAAAAAATTCTGCAGAGCACTTTAATTACTTTCCTCTTGAGGCTGGCATAAATTTAGATCCTCACGTATATGCATGGATTTTCATATTACAGGATACAAATGATCTTTGAGAGGTTCATCTGCTTTTCATATTTAATTGAAGTTAACCAATGCATTTAAAAGCTTTATATGCAGAAGAAAAAGGCTAGGAACAGCAGATGGAAGCATTTACAGAAACCTTATTTCTTCAGGAAATCAAGTTTACTCAAAAAAACTAGTTAAACGTAGGATATTTTAAATGTATTGTGGGGGCAGAATACATGCGGTCGTTACAGAAGCATGAGACGAAGACTCGCTGTAGTTTGCAGGCCTTCAAATCTCTTGAATCTGGCGCAGGTTTATTCCTAAGACCTGTTTCTCCTGCCCTTCTGGTACCTCTGCTGTTGCAGGTAGTGCCCTCATAAGAAAAGGGAGGCAGACAGCTGAGCCCATAAACTCCTCAAACATCCTGGTTTAGTCTTTGGGAACCCAGCCCTTAGCTGAGACGTTATGGTAGCTCTTAGGCCCTCAAGGCCACCTAAATTAAGGTCTGTCCAGCAGGACAGGGCATCTCAATTAGGCTCTTATCTACTTCAATTAAAAAGATGGCTTCAGGGGGGGAGTGAAAGAGGCTTGTCAGGACACCTTTTGGTTTCAGAGATGATGTTTGTGCACTACTTTCATTTGTTTGTTTATTTATATATGAAAATGATGAAACCTTATTTGGAAGTCCTCATTGCTTCCATCCTATTCAATGTTTTTGCAGTTATTGACTTACTCTACTTCTGTTTTCTGCCACTTGTGTGGTTGCATTTTTTTTTTTCCATGAGGGAAATGCTCCAGTTTGAAAAACTGTAAGAGGGTATCTACTGGAGAGTTAAGCTGAGGTATTTACTCTTTATTATGCGTACTTCATTATTCATTCTATCTTTCCCAGGGGTTGTACCAAGAAGCATTAATACAATTTGAAAAAATCAAGGATACAGATTTTCAAGCAATGTATCAGCTTGGCGTAATGCATTACGATGGACTAGGCACTAATGAAGACCCTGTGAGTAGCTTAGCTGTACTTCTTACTCTTCTTCTAATATCAATCTATAATTACTAAGAGCTTCTTTGTAAACTTGATCATTTAATTTAAAATAAATGGGTCATTGATTTAGAAATAGTTTCATGAGGTGCAGATGCTTACGAAGCACTGTAAAAGGAGGGTTCTGGGCTGAAGGATTTTCAAAACCAGCTATAACAAAATAGGTTTATCTGACAAACGCTTATGAGAACTTGTGTTTTACAGTTTCACTTACAAGGATTTGATTATACTTCATGGAAGCTATTTAGCTTGTTTAAAAATTGCTATTAGTTTGTTAGTTTTTAATAAGCCGTGTATATAAATGATAATAGAACCTATAAAAATGAAAATCAAACAACTACATTTCAAAGTGTAAAACATCTGTTACACAAAAAGTATTTTTAAAAATACTTTCTAATCTGTGAACGTAAATGCTAAAAAAAATTATGCTTGAAAATGTACTGGTATGCTAGATTTCATGCAGGAACAGAAGGAAAATTAGCTAATAATACCATAAATCAGTAGTAACAAATTTCTTTGAATTGTAAGTGAATAGCATCTTTTACTAAAAAGAGGAGGAAATTTTCTGGTGTTCTGAAGTAATGCAAGAAGAAAGGTAGTAGATGAGATTAGGTTCCAAGATGTCAAAGTGTAATCTTCATGGGTGCACTGAAAACTGAGTAAAGATTTATGCTATCTATTTTATAGAATAATAGCCATTACAAAACAGAACTAGTTAGAACAGTTATCAGACCCAGGTCCGCTTAAACAAAAATATCAAATTTAAAAAAAATTTACAAACACATAGGAAGTATTTAGGCAAATGAAATACCAGTCTAACTGGTATCCACACTATCCCCACATATTATAGAGAGAGGTTTTAGAACTGAAAAACTACCTGTCTTGCAGATGTTGACAGATTCTCAGGTTCGTTACTTCATCCTTTTCCCATTCTGTATGTAATGATTGAAATACCTCCTTTGTAGGAAAAGGGAGTGGAATACATGAAGAAAATACTCAACTCTGATTCCTCAAAAGCAAGACATTTGAAGTTTGCCGCTGCGTACAATCTTGGCAGAGCTTATTATGAAGGTTGTGGTGTTAAGCATTCAACTGAAGAGGCTGAAAGGTAATGGCAGACAATTTTCCTGATGAGTTTCAGCTGCTGAGATGCTGTGTTACTGAACGAACTTTGCCCCCATTTTCTTAGGTTATGGCTTATTGCCGCAGACCATGGGAATCCAAAAGCAAGCGTAAAGGCCCAGAGTACTTTAGGAATGCTTTACTCCATGTCAGCTCTAAAAGATCTGAGGAAGGTAAAGCCCGCTTATACCCTTCTGAATTTCATGAGTTCCAATTAACTTAGGATTTCACAGAAAGATTATGGTGATATATTTAATTCTGAAAACTGTATTTTAAGCACTGCTAGACATTATTGTTCATTTAAGCCCATGTGAACAGATGGTCTGAATCTCTCACTTTTGACTAGTTTGACACTGCTAGCTGAGATTTATTTATTTATTTAGTGGGAGTATCAGGGAGTACGATAGACTGCATTACAGTTTTGTCAGCCTCGGTGCACTTCAAAAAATAAAAATAAAAAAATCAAGCAGGTGTCACTGATTGACAGCTCTCACAGTAAATTAAGCAGGTTTAAAAGCCTTACAGAGAATCTGTGTTCTTATAAGCACTTCTTACAGACTGGTTGATGTAAAAGGTTTTAAGCAAAGAGTATGCAAGATAACTAATTAGAGTGAATATATCATCACATTAAAAAGTCATTTAGTTAATGCAAAACATCCATGGAAATACACAGAAAACAACTCTCTGCTTCTTGTTTAGTCCTTTTTCTGGCATTCAGAAGCATGCGGCAATGGAAGTCTGGAATCACAGGGTGTGCTTGGTGTTATGTATCTCTATGGACAAGGTATACGTCAGAACACTAAGGCTGCTTTGGAGTGCCTGAAAGGAGCAGCAGAACGTGGAAACATCTATGCTCAAGGTCATCTTGTGGAATATTATTACAATAGAAAGTTCTACTCAACAGCTGCTACAATAGCCATGAGGTGAAGTTAATTTGTTATTATTGTATTCATGTAAGACGATGGAACTTAGATTAAAGTGATTATTAAGTTTATGGTTTTGGCTCTCCAGATCAGGAGACAGTTGAGTTAATGAATTGCAAGACCTCATTTTTAAAGAGGGAATTGCAAACCACAGACAAAATTAAGACTATAAAATTCTCAGTTATTTGGTGCAGATGAACTTTTCTTTCTGATCCTGTGAAGCAAAACAGACTTGAAATAGAATCCCAAGTAGGAGCCCACACTCAACCCTGCCTTTCTGTCTCCTAGTCCACAAACTCAGCTGCCTTCCCTATTCCATTTTAAACCCCTACAAATATTCTGCTGCTGCTCTCCACAGCCCCTATCTTAGTGTTTTCTACCCACCATCTTCTCCCCCATGACTTCCCTGCTCTGTGGCTCAACATTTTGGTGTAGTTCCTGTCTCATTTATGGGAAATACAGGCCTCGATACTAATTGGGATCCCACAGCAAACCCTCTGAGCAGCGTGCAGACCTAGAAGTAGCTGCTGCAAGCAGTGCCAAGCCACCACCCTTTAGCTTTCCATCAGTTGCTGCTTACGGGGATGCCTATTACGTATGCATTTTTGAGCCTGGACCACAAACTAGTCATCACCTGCGTGCAAGTGGTTTCTGGTAATTATCTGCTTGCGCAGAGGTGCTGGACCGAGCCACAGTTAAGTAAGCACTGACTGGCGTTTTTACAGGCAGACACTTGGGGACTTGCTGCTCTATCTACATAACTCTGGAGAGGTTTGTGTATGGCAGAAATAGCAACTTCTGTGCCAGGCTGCAGTATTAAAACAGCCAGTCTGCATCAGGCTTCTCTACGTTGAACTAAGCATGGGAGGAGAAAAGCAATGGTGGTGCCATTCAGTGGCTGATCAACAGCACATTTCTGTGACAAACCTCCATAGCTGGTCAGAGGTTTTGTCAAGCAGTCAGATTATTCTTTTGCTAGAAATACCATACAAAGAGGCTAAGAACTACTTACACAAGCAGCACACAACAGCATTCATGCTTTCTGTGGTATGTTTATGAAGTCACTGCTGTCTGGCAATCAGATGTGTTACAATCTGAGAGAAGCTGCCCCTGTGCATGCCAAGGGATAACAGCAGCTCTGGTAATTCAGCAGTAGAGTTCAGCAATAAATGCTGTTTGCTGTGCTCATTGCTAAAAAGGGTTGTTTTCTCTCAGAACGTGCTGCTTTTCTTTTGCACTGTGAGTAAACTGTTCAGTCTAGTCTAGCTAGTCTTGCTTAGAACATGTCCCCTCCAGGTGATGCAGCAGGGCAGGTTATTCAGACAAATAAACAGGGCACTTCATTGGCTGTGACTGTGCTCACAGGGAACAGCAATAAAATCCCACACTGCAGTTAGAACTGACCATTTTTAAGCAAAAAGTTCTACCGACATATTTGGAACAGTTCCATGCAATTGGAATTGCATTTGGCCTTGAGGCAAACTCTCACAGCAGCTCAACCAGTTGTATCAACCATCAGTACCTTTTCTGTTAAAAGTCCTTTGCCCTTATACATTCACACCTATTACAGTTTGTCTGTACATTTGAATATAATGTTTGTGCATAACACAATATTACATGATTATGTATGGTGTACCACTGCCCAATATTTGAAGTTTTGATTAGCTACCAATATTCTTCACTGCAAAAAAAAATTATCCCATACGGTTTCACTTACCATTGCTATAGCATGTTCTTAAAGACAGGTGTGCTAAACTAGAAGTCTTGTCTGACTTGATTGGTATTATTATTTGCCTCAGTGTCCTGTTTTATATCTCTTGGAAAGGAAGGTAAAAACACTGCATCAGGAAAGATAAAAGAGGTAGTATGTTACTGTCATCATATTTAAATGTTCTTGTTAAGTGTTTCTTTTTTGTTACTGCATTTGTTAATGGGATTGAATTAGGTGGGAGCATATTGCAGCCAACTTGTTCAAGTGATTTAGCAGGCACTGACTTGCAGAGAGTCAGAACAATCTTTCATAAACACTGTTTTATAGGACGTAGCTATGACTTACTCCTTTCTTTTCTTTTCTGTGAGTCTGTGACTATTTGCCATGACAAAACCCTAAAACGATGTACAAAGAAACATATATTTACCTTTGTTACCTGGAAAGAACATGAGTTTAGGGGATTCCATTTTAAGACACCAGTTGGAAAAAAATCAATTTCCACTTTGAAATGCTGTACTTAAAAGTGTAGTAACAATTGTAATTATAACCTCATCATTAAGACAATGTTCACATGGTCCTTCTGGCTGCTTAAATGTTTTTAGTAAAAACAACACGCTGAAAACAAGGTGACAGCAAGCAGACAGATGCATGCAGAAGAGAGAATAATTGAGCTGAAGCAGTCATCAGTCATCTTTATAAGTAGGTCTTATAACATCAGGCTCTCAACATATGTCTAAAATCCTCAGATTACCACGGTCTGCCAATATCCTATAAAGAATCTGGGATATTGTTATATTTTAATAGGTACAATTAGTGTGAAATACTGCCTTTTATAACTAGTATAGATTCAGTGAAAGTGACTGTAAAATTTACCTTTCTTGTATTTAGTATCACAATATTCAAGTAATCCCAACTTCAAACCAGTGAATAGGAGAATGCTGTTTGGCCTGCTGATTACAAGTAAATTTCAGCTCATCTTGGATAATTACACATAAATGGAAATGAGTTATTATCAAGTCCTATGGGAATACAGTTGACTTAAATGGGTTATCTAACCTAATGCTGTAAATTCTACCACAGGACTACAGAAAATGACGACATAGATATGCTAGCAAAGACGACTGATTGTCTTCCAACCTACATAGCCAAAGGGGTCGCCATGGCTGCTTTCTACTTGGCTAGATGCCTCCATCTTGGCCGAGGTGTACAGCAAGACCAAGCTGCTGCTAAAAAATATTATTCTATGGTAAGCTAGCAAAGTCTCACAGACTAATTTATAGCTCCTGAGATCGAGTGATGCCTTGGATTTGAGCCTTTAAACTTGCTGTTTGGTTATATTAAAGGCTCCAACATAAATAACGTTAACAATCCATGCAAGAAAACGAAGAGCGATAAATTTATATTGAAAACTACTAAAAATAGTCTTGAAGGGCACTGCCTGCACACTTGCTTAAGTAAAACAATTCATTCTACCAAATTTAAAAATTCACTGTCAGTCACCACAATGAAGAGCTTGCAAAATACATTACTTAAATTATTTGAATAATTTTCTCTCTGATTGATTTGCTGTCATTCAAACTGAAAAAAATATATTTTTTCCTCTCTACTTCAGAATCTCTAACAATTAGTACCTTCATTAATGATATTTAAATCAGTCTGTTTTTCATGCTTATTTTCACATTTACATTTTTACTGATAGTTGAGGATCTACTATTACTGGTATGTAGAAGAAAAATAGGTTACATTTTTTAAAGTGCTGAAGTTGAAGTAAGATTTATTGCCTGAAGAAAAAGATTAATCGTGGCCTTTAAGAAACTAACAAGCAAACAAAATACTAAATTACATTAGAGATGCCTAAAAGTACAGGCAGGGAAATATGATTATGCCCTCTGAAGGGAATGTAGGAGCATGGATGCAGTCTTGCTAAGATTCTCTATGATCTCTGTGCAGAGATCATTTGTTTCCTTAATTAAAATACTTCAAGGCCCAGCGTGGCGCGGTCCAACTAAATGGAGAATTATGCAAATGATAAGCTATCAGCTGACAAGTTTTGTGGCTCTTTACTCAGGAAAGCCCACAGCAGAAGATACTTAGCAGAACAGGTGATCCTGTGGAGGAATTCATGCACTTTAAATACGTTGTTTCTCTGCTGTAAAAAGTGTTGCAGAGGATAGGATGAGGAAATCAGGAACAGAATATCAGGTGGGGTGGCATGAGCACTGCAGCCAGTAGTCCTAGGTAAGACTTAAGGCATGGAGGAAATATGTCAGGATTCCATTCCTGCATGGCTTCATGCGAGTATAATCCCATCTTCTGTCTAGGCTAGTGTTACCAACAGAACTGACCAAAATTCACAACTTTCACTCATCATTCGGTAGCAATACATTTGAGACTGACATAGATATGTCACTAACTTCTTAGTAGAAAAGGAAATTATTGCTGTTGACTGATGCCATGCATCGCTACAGCTACAACTCTAGAGGAGGGACAGACCAAGTAAAGAAGGAAAGTACCTGAAGGGGTAATGTTAGAACAAGTAGAAGACAAGTAGTGGGTGTGTTCAGTTTCTTTTGTGCCCAGTGAATAATGTTGTTAATTTTACAATTGTACTAATTTAAAATGAAAACTGGTTGCTTTTTTAAATAACTGACCAGCTGCAGTTTTGAAAGATTCAAGGAAGAGATTATGGGTGTGCAAGAGGGTACTGGCATAAATAATGGAAGTGAACGAAAACAACTCAATCTGTAAGTAGATTTCTGCTTTCAGTTTTTGGCTGTGGTGCCCACACATGCCACAGCAACAAATATTACAAAAAAAAAATTTTTGAAACCAAACCTAACACGGCAGTAGATTATGCTAATTTTAAAGAACTGAATTTTTCTGTTACTAGAAACGGGGACTTCATGCTGAATATATTATCTTTAGTATCTTAAGAAGTAGATTATCTCTGATGTCTACAAAACTTAAAAGACCTTACCAGTGTTGTATTTGGCAATGTATAATTTTATTTTACCTATAAACCAGAACTCTCTATTCTTTGTTTTCAAAGGCGTGCCTTCTGGATCCTGATGTTGCTTCTGATCTTGAACTGAAAGCTAATCTTGGGAGAATTTAGTGCTTCCTTTAGTTATGGCTGATATAACATGTACTTCCTACAATAAACCATCTTTAATATTCAGCAATTACAGCCTGCTCATCACTTATGGTTTGATTTTCAACTTTCTATAAGTTTAAAGCAGTTTACAGATTTTTTTTATTTTAAAAAAGCAAAAAGCTCATGCCCATAACTGAGGTGTGGCAAAGGCAGACCTTTTTAAAAGGGTATTGAGAACTTAAAATATATTAAGGACATTTTACTGGGATAGATGTCCTGTTTTCTTAATGTTGTACTGCTATACAGCACACAAATCAAACTGAACCAAATAATGATTGTTTACTTTTCTCCATTTTTAGCATTTAAACATTAAATTTTAATATTCTGAAGAGCTTGAACCCAAACTCATCTAGATTTCACGTATGCCCCATTCAAAGATTGTGATTTCATGCTAAATGCCATTTTTAAATCTCACATTGGTTAGGGGCATATTCTTTTGTTCACATGCTTTCCTAACTCATCTACATCTGCTGAAGCATCTTACCAGTATCACAGGATTGTAGGGGTTGGAAGGGACCTCAAAAGATCATTGGGTCCAACCCTCCTGCCAAAGCAGGTTCCTTAGAGCAGGCTGCCCAGGTAGGTGTCCAGATGGGCTTTGAGTATCTCCAGAGAACGAGACTCCACAACCTCCCTGGGCAGCCTGTTCCAATGCTCTGTCACCCTCACCGTGAAGAAGGTCTTTAGCACGTTGGTGCGGAACTTCCTGTGCTCCATCTTGTGGCCACTGCACCTTGTCCTGTCCCCACAAACTACCTACAAGAGGTTGGTGGCCAAATCCCTCTGTCTCCCACACCTCAGGTATTTATACACATTGTTGAGATCCCCTCTCAGTCTTCTTTTCTCCAGACTGAACAGACCCAGGTCTCTCAGCCATTCTTCGTAGGGAAAATGCTCCAGGTCCCGTATCATCTTTGTGGTCCTCTGCTAGACTCTTTCCAGGAGATGCCGGTCTTTTTTGTACCAGGGAGCCCAGAACTGGACACAGTACTCCAGGTGAGGCCTGGCCAGGGTAGAGGGGGAGGATCGCCTCCCTTTGACCATTTGGCCCTGCTCTTTTTAATGCACGCCAGGATCCCATTAGCCCTCTTGGCCATGAGGGCACACTGCTGTGCTGGCTCATGGTCAACCTGTCGTCCACCAGGACCCCCAGGTCCTTCTCCTCAGAGCTCCTCTCCAGCAGGTCATCCCCCAGCCTGTACTGATACTTCAGGTTGTTCCTTCCCAGGTGTAACTTGCTCTTATTAAATCTCGTTTGGTTTCTTCCTGCCCATCTCTCCAGCCAGTCCAGGTCTTGCTGAATGGCAGCACAGCCTTCAGGCCTGTCAGCCACTCCTCCCAGTTTTGTGTCATCGGCATACTTGCTGAGGGCAGACACTATTCCCTCATCAAGTTAATCAGTGAAGATCAATGGTCATCAATGAAGATGTTGAACAAGACCGGACCCAGCACTGACCCCTGGGGAACACCGCTAGTCACAGGCCTCCAGCCAGACTCTGCGCTGCCGATCACCACCCTCTGAGCTCAGCCAGTCAGCTGGTTCTCAACCCACCTTGCCGTCCACTCTTTTATCCCACACCTTCTCAGCTTTGCTAGTAAGATGTCATGGGAGACAGTATTGAAAGCCTTGCTAAAGTCAAGGTAGATGACATCCACTGCTCTCCCCCCATCTACCCAGCTGGTGATGCCATCATAGAAGGCAACGAGGTTGGTCAAGCACGACTTCCCCTTGGTGAATCCATGCTGACTACTCCTCATAACCTTCTTCCCTTCCAATTGCTTGGAGATGGCATCCAGAGCAAGCTGCTCCAACACCTTTCCAGGGACAGAGGTGAGCCTCCAGATTCCAGAGCTCCCTGCAGTCTCCAGTCTGGACTGCCACTTCACCCCTCAGGGGATCCACCTGAGTGCCCACATGAACCCAGAGAGGCCGTATCTCCTCCGTTTGAGTTGCCGCCTCAGCCCAGCTGCTGCAACAGGTGCCCTCCATGGTGCAATGAGGCAGAGTTCCCCGAGGAGAGGAGGGGAAGAGAAAGAGAGATGGGAAAGGGAAGAGAGGATCCTCCTCGCACTCCTCCCTGCCCTGCCTGAACAGCCCTGTGCGAAATGCCCACGCTAACTGCCAAGCCACTCCTGTTAGTGGCAGTCCCCAGGGACTGCTTTTATAGCACCAGGGGTTGGTTGGATGCTGTCATCCCTAGCTCTGTCCTCAGCATGTCAGCATCTGCAGCGGCACAAGCACAGCTCCTGCCTGCTTGGTGCAGGGGGCCGGGGCTGCAGCTCTGACCAAGCAGTTCTGTGCCGCGTTATTGGGGGGTTTAGGGGTTGGCTCTGTTCATCTCCCTGCCAGGAGCCATCGCTGCAGCCAATCCGTGCAAGGTCCTCATTCAAACAAACAAGCAAAAATGCATTTAACACATTTTGCCCCTAGAATTCAGAGGTTCAAAGTTTGAAACCAGTCTGTATGACAAAAAAAAATTACTGTTCAAACCATGCCAAGTTCTAATACCAGCCAATTCTACTTAGAGACACGTTTTCTTACTGATGCTTTTTTTTTCTTCCTTCCTGCAGCTATGTCCTCTGTACTAGGCCTGTCTTCCTCTATCCTTCTTCGTAGGACTGTGCTGTCACTTGAAATCTGTACTGCTCTGTTAAAAGAGAAGGCCAGGTATTACTAAAAACACTGATTTCACTACAGCATATCGATTTTGTGTTCCTTGAGCTACAGCCAGTCCTAACTGCAAGTAGTTTATCGAAAAGCACAACTGCGCTGAATTCAAAAGAAAGTAATGAATGTCACCTACGGGTTTTTGATGTTGTTTAATTATTTAGATGTGCATTAAGACCGTATTTACATATCTTTACATAAATTAAAAAAACACTGAAGACATTACTTTTTCCCTCCTTTGTATAAAATAAGAGAAAGATTTGAAGATTGTTTGAAATTGGGGTATTTGAATAAAACAGCCCTGAGTAATATCAGGGAAGCTATTCAAATAGTTTAATTAAATGTCTACTTATTCATAGAAGCAGTTCATAAGCACTTATCTCTGAACTCACATTTAACACAGGCGTTCTGGTAGGACATACCAGTTTACAATACATACTTTGGACACAGACTTCAAAGTAACATAAATATTCCTTATGAAACCTGCTGTCAAACTCATTCAATAGTTGTTAGCACAGCCTAATTATCAAGTACTGAAATCCAGTTTTGTTATTTATTGCTTACAAATGCTTCAAACTACAGGAAATCTTTGGTAAAAACAAAATTGATAAAATTTTCACAATAGCTTTACATGTAATATTGCACAACAAGGCTTTTTCAATACACAAGAAAAAAGGAATGCTCAAATCCTCAGTGAGGAGATTAGAACTGTACAACATTCATTAGTTTACCACTATAAGCAAAACTTCTTTTCATAAATGTTTAAAATATTTTCTGGTTTCTTTGAGCTTATATGAACATTTATTTTCCAATCTATATTTGAAACAGAAGAGTAGTCAAATAGAACAATTTAAATAAAAATTGGCTACTATACAGCATTGTTTTGTCTACCCTACTACAGCATCAGATCTTTTCAAGTCTGTTTACTTCACAAAAAACTCAAGAGGAAAAGAAAAACCCTAAAAATAATCATAGTCCTCAGCCCTCTATGGAAAAGAGGAAAATAAGTTTCATGTCTATTATTGGACATAGACATTTCTCTAGTGGTCCACTTGTGCAGATCCAAACCTAAGTGGCATTAAGCTGCTCTAAATGAGCTCGTAGCTCAGGACACAGTTCTGTTAGCAGCAGTTCCATCAAAACCTGAAAAATAGAGAAGACCTAACATGAATAGATGCCAAATTATCATTTCTTTCAACCTTCCTGACATATTCAGAACTTCACAGATAAAAGAAGCTTGTAGGGTCATCCTGCTTATCTTTCATGCAGCTACTTTTCATTCATCCTAAAATTAGCACGCACCCTACAGGAAAGGGGAAATGGCTTAAGGCTGAAAGAAAGCAAATGACACAGGCAGCAGTTTTCAGATGGGGATTTCACACCCTGCATAAACTGCTGTTGCTCTGTCAAAACCACATGAGCCAGCAACAGGAGGCCAGGGCTGCATCTGCTCCTGTGCTGGGGCTGTGCTACGGAACCAGCTGGCTGCTGAGGGAAACGAGTCACAGAGACCGACTGGGAGTGAGCCTTTGTGCCTGGATCCAGCCACGTATCCAGACCAGCCCCAACCAGCAGCACAGGAGCGGGACTTTGAGAGAACCATCATGTCTGTAGACAAGTCTAGGAGCTCTCCTTCCCTAGGATTCTCTAAGGTATGTAGCAAGTGTCTTATTTCCCTAGGATTCTCCAAGGTATGTAGCAAGTGTCTTATTTTTCTCAGCTATACAAAGAAGTTGGCATACATTATGGTATGAAGTCAGGCCAAGTTGGATGTGGTGGACAATCTATTGTAGCCAAAAGCAACACTGTACTGTAAACAGCTTTTCGTTAATCAAGACTACTCGAATGATGAAACGAGTATATTTTTTATGACTTACTTTAGCAACAACAAAACTAACAAACAACAGTCTGATAGAAATCTCTTCATGAACACACACCGCAGGCATTAATACTGAGTAGGCAGAGCTCAGCAATTAATAGTATCAGAAACTTAACAGGCTATTTTTCTGGTTACTCACGTATAGTAGATGCTTGTTAGCCTTTCTTTCTTGCAGCGCATTGAACACTTTCACTACACCGTGACGGGCATTTTGTTGTCCAACAAGACTCTGCAGAGTATCTGCAACCAATGTTACTTCAGCTTAGTTTCGCTCGTGCCAGGCACCGCATCCAACCAACATTACTGCCCACAAATACACACAGATAGGAAACAAAAATGCTGCACCTCACGTAAAACGATTAGAAGATGCATAATCCCATTCACCAACTTAGGTCACCGATTGAAAAGATACCCTTGAAGTCTCAAGATTCCCAAGTTAAATAACAGCTCATGCATCTCAGTGACAACGTTTGAAGTGTTTCAACATGATTATGTAGTGTGCCTTCTAGGCTTGTGTTCAACTCACACAGTCAAGTCTAATCTCATACGCTGTTAATCCATTCCCTTAAATACACCTTCAGCCACAAACAACAACAGTTAAAACAGATTTAACACTTTAATTGCCTCTCAATCTTCACAGGAATATTTCTTGCAAGCAGGCAGATAAGAGAACTTCAAGTCAATTATTTACGTTTTGGATTAAATTACAGTAAGGAATAAATAGTGATTTGGTGCTTTATCACGAATTTCAGGAGCATTCAACTATGTCCTGAAACATCTCAAATAAAAACAAACAAAAAACAACTAAGGAAGGCTATTCTAGGCAAGTGGGCATATATCATAACAGAGCAGATGGAGGATCGTTTACACGCCAGATGACCAATATTTTGCATGCATGCTTGCTGCAATTTTCACTGTTGAAGTTGATTAAACACCCTAATGCAAGGGGATATGAGCTACCTCGGTGAAGCTATAAAATAGCTCATTAAAATACATGTTATTCAGGTGGAGAGGAGATAAAAAGCATTCAAGCAATGTTTAAGTGCATTTCCAAGGGCTAAATGGAATAGAATACCCTTTCTTCACAGTTAGGTGCCTTTTGGTTTACACGCTCTCTGAAGAAGCAGAATGATCCAAATGACTCCCTGTGCTGTGAATGGCAAGGGACGGTGCCCTAGAAATGTGCACACTTCGTGTGGGGGAAAGGGCAGGCACAGGCAAGTACTGGAAGCCCCACTCAATCTGGGGTGCTTCTGCCAAGGCCTCTAATGTTTGGTGCCCTGAAACCTCTCCTCAAAAATGCACAGCAACACAACAGTGACAACGTGGGTAGATCTCCCTCTTCCACTTTAAAACATTAGAGCAAGAGGTAATTGTGGTGGTGCCGCTCTCCCTGTAGGTCAAATAGCTCCAGGCAGCAGAATCGCCTACTGCTTGCTGACGGAGAGGCAGCAGAGAGAGCCTTAACTTGGGTTCTTTGAGTATTGCATACAGAATCATAGAATCATAGAATCATAGAATATCCTGAGTTGGAAGGGACCCTTAAGGATCATCAAGTCCAACTCTTGACACCGCACAGGTCTACCCAAGTTCAGACCATGTGACTAAGTGCACAGTCCAATCTCTTCTTAAATTCAGACAGGCTCGGTGCAGTGACCACTTCCCTGGGGAGCCTGTTCCAGTGTGCAACCATACAGAGGACAGTAACACAGGATCTTAAATCCACCAGTGTTACCCAAGCCCACGCCTTTTACAAGACAGAGACAGGAGAGGCAAAGGGTAAGGCCAAAATTATGTTTGTGCAAATAACCGTAATTTACAACGCTACAGGAAAAATCTAAAATGTAGCAGAACAGTTTGTGGTTAACCAGTTTCCTTACTGGCATTAAATCTGTGATGAAGTGGAAGGAAAGTGTTCTCACCTGGAATGTTTTCAAGTAGTTTTTGCTGTGCTCTCTGTTTTGTTTCTTGCTTTTGTTCATCGCTCTTGGCTCTTTGTGGTGGTGCTAGCTTTCCATTCGGCCAAAATGCATCTCGAAACACACCAATATAATAAACAAGCATTGGTTCACTGAATATCCAGTGTACGGTGTCCCGGATTTGCCTACAAAAAAGTGTGGAAGGAAGCACATCAGAACTGGTCTCACAATTGATCCAGATTTATGATTTTTTTTTCCTACTAGAAGCAGTGGAAGCAATGCTTATCTTCATTATACCAATATACTGGAGGTGCTTTCACCAGCATCATGGCAAGTCATAATCAGCTCCAAGTGCTCTAGGATCTAGATCTCTCCAGATAACTGACTGAGATGCAAAGAAGGCTATATTTTAAAGTAGTCTGCAAATACATATGAGCATACAAGGATGCATAAGCATTTCGAGGATGGGCAGTGCAAAGGCTCCACTAGGGAAAAACAAAAACCGATGAACTCCAAACTAGATGTGTGCACAGAAGTTCCCGGCGGGATAAAACACACAAAGTTTTGATAGAAGTGCTGTACATTCAAAAGCACATTAGAAGTGGGATTATAAATGGAGGGAGCAGCCTCCTCCAGTGGCTGAATGAAGCCAAGTGCAGTCCTTGGTGTAAGGAGCCTGAGGTAAAGAGCGAGGTCCAGGCAGTACTGTTTAGCTGTGCCAATGACAGCTGAAAGCCTTACTAAAGGTAAGAATATAACCAACATGTAAAAGCTACACAGTGCACGCGGACTCTGTCCTATCTCAGTTGTCTTTCATGCTAGTTATTTGCAAATTGTGAACAAATGAACTGATCAATTTAAAACTCAGCAAATGTGTACTGTCAGAGACCACCACTGAGAGTCAAGTGCACGATTTTACATCACTTCTCCAATTTACCACTGTATAGCATACATAAAAGGTTTTATAAGCAATGCTGGCACATAAAAATCAGCCACTGACTGGACGAAGGAACAGCCTGTTCTGCTGTTATCTTCTGGGCTGTGACACCTACCTGAGTAACAGTCCCAATGCTACACCAAAGCAAAACAGTGCATTTCATCAGATTCTCAGCAGTCCTTCACCTGTTTGTGACTTCCATAGTATGGAAATCACAGATTCACACACTTTCATAAGCAAATCATCATCATGACGCATCAAAATGTCAGTCCTGATCAAAGGATCGTGGGAAGTGTGTTTGTATGAATCACCAGCTCTACTGAATCAAGTTTTACCATAGGCCTTTGTAACTGACAAAGAAAGTAATATCCAAATTTTTTCTGACCAATGAGAGTTTCCCACATAAAAAGGTCTGTACAGACACACACTTCATAGCCTCATCCGGACCTCACTTGGCAGATAACATCTTCATGCAGTACATAAAAATACATTTATGAAAACATGCATAACAGTGATGAGTTAAGCTCCACATTACAAATCAATGGTTCTCATCATGTAAACGTTATTTCAGTCACTTTAGAGAAATCTGCATTCAACTGGAAATAAATTAACTAATACAGAACCCTAGTTTCAGTTCTGACAAAAATTTCATGGGACTGTAAAATAAAACATGAACTAATAAAAGCTATTCAGAGGCAGGTCTCTGCAAAAGCAAAGCCCTCTGCAGGGGAAAAAATATTTGCTAAATAATCAAAATGATAATCTGCATGTCTGTGTCTTCTCTAATCAATTTATTCATAAATTGAGCTGTGGAAAACATGCAGATTATCATATACAGAGTGTCCAGATTATTATTATTTCAAACAATTCTGCTCAGCCTATAGTCACAGAACGACGTTGCAGGTTTGGTTAAAGTAACAGCCACTTACTTGTTGATAGTTCTTCCAAAAGTGACTTGTACTAGTGCAATCAATGTTTTTCTGACCCACTTAAACACTAGAACAATGAAAAAAAGACAGAAAATGAAGATTGTGAAGTTAGTAACGTTATGGAACCTACAATGACATCAAAAAAAATATCTCTCTACAGTACATGTATCTGTTATCATCCTTTCTAAGATTTAAATAATTGCACATGGATCTTTCTTTTTCATGACTGTTTTCCCTGTATTATTTGCAACAGGGTTTTTATTTTTTTTTGTTTTGCTTTGTGTTTTGTTTTTTTTTTGCAGATTACATAAACATATCTGCATTATGCATTTGCGCTTTACTCTGTAAGCTGTACTGTTAAAGAACTGTTTAAGTTTATTGAACAATATAACTACCCAAACCCTTTTTGTATAAGAAAACCCCTGAAAATTCACACCCTTTTTGTACCTACTGTTACAATGTTGCATACACAGCAGCAGCATTGAAATTCTGAAAACATTTTCACTCAAATAGTACAAGCAATTGGCTTTCCATTACCAATAAAAGAAACAAATGCGAGTGCTTCCTTATAATTAGTGGTTAATCCTTCTTTCATGCTGTTCACCAGCATCAGAAGAAAAGCCTAAATTTAGAATATACATCTGTCACTTTTGGAAGGGGCTGCATTTTGTAATAGTTAGCCTGTACATAATTTTATACAGCGTCAAGTATGCCTACATATTCAGTAGAATGAAAAATATGTTGGTTGGTTTGTTTTGTTTGTTTCTTTGTTTGTTTTTCCTTGTATTACCATCACTCAGTTACATAAAGAAGGAAAAAAATCTGGTGCCAAAAGTTGCCACAGTTAGAGCACCTTTTCCATTATACAAACTGTGGAATTAAAATGCATCCATAATACATTGAAACAGACATTAAAACTGTTGCTTTGTCAGTGACATGTTCTGTGACAAAGCCATCTTTCCTTCCTTGTAATTCATGCATTCCAATATGCAACCAATTTACGGAAAACATGCTTTCGTACTTCCTTGTGCTTTTTTTTCCAAAATAATTTTCTTAAATAAAAAACTTTAATATTATTGAATGCATATTTTCCTCCTTACCAGCTGCATTTTTACTTCCATGTTGTATTGAACTTAAACTTTAGTATAAAAGCTCCAAAGTTAGGAACTACTGCAAAACAGCTCCTTTCCAAATTAAATTGCTATATAGATTACACTTCTGAAATAGCAGAAAAACCATGAACTACAAAGTGAGCCAGATTTCTTGGCCACCAGATTCCACTAACAAACGAGCAGGTTTGCAGCTTACTTCCTCGCAGCTCAAAGATCTCCCCGATCAGCATGAAACACGGCTCAGCAAGAGAGTCCTTTTTCCCATCCACCTCTTCTCCATAGTCTGACAGGTCACTGTCCTCTTCCGTTTCTTCCTAGGAACAGAGAGACAGCACGTGATGAACCACAGCATGGGATGAACCCTTCTTCCAGCACGGATTTAGGTACTGCCATGCCACCGGGAAGAAGCACACCCAGCCCTCCTGGGACTTGAGCTTGGGGAACACAACGATACGCTGTGCCCGCCCCAGGAGATTATCTATCACTCCATGTGTAAACTGATGATATTGCCAAGAGTGACTTGCACCAGATGACAACTGAATAAAGTTTGGAGCTGGGTGTGCAGGTGATTCTCCTACTAGTTCACACGGGGAAGGGTCAGCTTTCAGCAACAAGTGCTCCTGAGGTGCATGTCTGGCTGCACAGATGCAACCCTCAGGAAAGCGCATCTCCAGCAAGAGGGAGACATTTCATAAACTTGGCTGAATCAGCAATTTCCCAGGCTTTGGTTCAGGAACGGTCACAATGGCATGCAGGCAAATTTTCTTTCTTCAGCTCTGCTTTTTATTTGTCCTCCTTCCTTTGCCCTTCTTTCTTCCTTGATATGCCATCATCTAACATTACTTATTTTTCACTCTCCTCTTCTAGTCCAGAAAAACCTCCTTCATGGATTTATTCCTCCTGCATTATTTTTTCTTTGTTTGCCTTACATTGAAAGTCTTTCAATCACCCCTTGCCTGTCATCTGAACCCTGCTATACAGAGACTAGCCTACAGTGTCTCAGATGTACATCAGTTTGTCTTTCTTCTTCCTCACATCCCTCAAACCCCGACTAAAGCCCATCATTAACTCTGGGTACACTTCCAGTCCCAGAATTTTCTCCAGGCATGGTAGTGCATTGTACTGTATGGATAAAATAACTCTCTGGTGTTGTATATTTCAACACTTTTCACATCCTGTACCCTTCACTGCCCATGTCGCATTTGTCATTCTCTATTCTATGCTATTTTCTATGCTATTTCTCTTCTCAAAACCAGAAAAAATGAAATAAAAAAAACCCTACCACACTGAAGTGTACCATAAACTTCACCATAGATTCCACTTTTACTTACTTCCATAGCTTGGTGAGTATCCAGCTTTTAAAGCGTTCTGTGGGCTAAGCTGTGATTTAGGGCAGCGAACAAAAAACCACATCGTACTGACAAGAAACACCACGCGAGGAAGCCACAAATCACTGCCTGTCCTGCCACACGAACACACAGATTTACTGACAATGAACAGAGTTTTCTCCAGGGACAGAGACTAGAACAAACTCCAGTCCTGCTCACCATCTTCCTCTGGCCAACAGACTTCTTGGCCCTTCATTATTTTAGATATTCAAGAAATTATATTTTATTTAATTTTCCGTAATAGATATCATTCCATATTTTCATTAACCCTTTGGGCAACAGAACAGAAAATAAGCTTACTGAATTTGCAGGTGAGCTCACCGGGTGCAATTTGTTAAGTACAGATGCAAAGCAGCAATAATGCAGGAAATGAAATAATTGGAATTGGTAATAATACAGAAAAGAAAAACAAACCCGAGGGCCTGTGAAAAAGGCAGGCATGCCACCATGATCTGTAATCAGGAATACTGCCCATACAGATAGATATGTGTGTATACATATATATATATATATATACACACACACACACACATACATATATAAAAGAGTTTAATACATGGGAATAGGAAAACCTAGTGGGAACAGCAGCTGGTGACTAATTTTGAAACATTTCCAAGAAAAACAAGTATTACTGGATAAGTGCAGAACAAAGCCTTAAGAACTGCATAAAACATACCAATAACTAGTAGAAACAGGCTGCTCAATCTAAGAAACAAAAGAACGGAAGACCAAAGGAAAGTAGTGGCTCCTGATAAATGAGGTGATCCTAACCGAACCAAAAAGGCTTAATGTAAAGAAAGGGAATAGACAGTTCTGTGTTTGCTGCAGACAGGACAAGAGCTAGCAGACTAAGGGAGATTTAGGTTAATTACAAAGAACAATTTTATAACCATGAAGAGAGCTGAGAACTGAGACACACTGCCTTGCTCAGCTGCAGAACATCAGTCACCGGAGGTTTAAAAACATTGCAGACGTGCCAAGAATTGTGCTGGTACAGTTGAGCCTATTTGGAGCAGAAGGATGAATCCAATGACCTCTCTGAGGTTCCTGCTCTATTTTACTGCCCTTCAGTAAATCCCCTCTCATTTAGAAAATGCAATGAGAAGTGTGAATTCTTACACCACAGTGAATTTTCTATTCATTAACGCTTCATAAACCTGAAAACCCTCTTCCAGATAGCTTTGGCTGTATTTTTCCTCTAATTTGCTTTCGGTCTTGAAAGTTAAGAAACATGTTCTGAAGTTAACCACATCCAAGGCATTGTTTATATGAGATTTAAAATTGCTGCAATATATAATGCTGAAAACAGCACTCAAGAGGTAATACTGTTGCTCTAACACATTTGCAGAAAGTCAGACAAGATGTAAGAGACAAAGAAAGCAGTAAGAGAGCATGCTCTTCAATAGAGCTCAATATGGAATAAAACAGGAATTCTTTGTTACAGAGAAAACCCAACCATAACAACTCTGTGATTTAACAAGTAACTGCGTTGATGATTTCAGACCAAACTATTTCTAACCCTACTTTAAATACTGTAGTAAATAATATAAATTGTGATCACTGAGCAAGACTGAGCTGATCTAAAAATCCCGAACTGAAAGACCAGCGTGTCTGAGAAAAATTGGAGCTTGACCCAGACTTGCTCACAATTCCCCTGCCTCCATTTAATTTTATCATTATGTGTAAACTAGGACAAGCCTTTGTACTGCACAGACTCAGAGGGTCTAACAGTTTCCTGTACTCCTCTATCTGTATTCTGTTCTCTCACGTTTATGTTTGGGAAGGAGGGGAGAGGAGAGGGAAGATGGATGGATGTGAAATGGGATGGACTTCATCTGCATTTGCGTAGTACTGGCATAATACAGGCTAGCAATATTAAGCTGCTAACCCTAAAGTAAGAAGAAACACTATTAAATTAAAACCAATTAAGAAGGTATGTTCTGACTCCTGCTTCCACATTCTCAGGGCCTTTTTTATTCCATTTCCTTCATTTTTCAGTTTCATTTCTGCTTCTTCGTTTCTTTCTCCTTGCTCCCTCCCTCCCTCATTACAAGTCTCCCATATTTCCTATCTCCTCCTACGCACTCAAGTAATGCAATACACTTGTGGTCTGGCTTCTTGCTTGCGGATGTTTTTCCATGCAACAGAGAAACACTAATAGCTTCGTGCTTCTTTGCTTGATGCTACTTCTACCTAACAGTTATTTTAGCGAACGCACTCTTCCCTCTTTAGAACTGAAGTACTTCTGTTAATAACTAGAATGAGTGTCTCACACTCTATGTTTATTACTCCAAAATAGCACACATATATTCAATATCTAGGTGGAAATACAGCACAATTTTGAAAAAATAAGAATATATAGGAAGGATTTTCTTATTCCCAAGAGATGCAAGGCCAACTTTGTGTCTATTAACAGACTAGACCTGCACAAGTTTCCCAAACTCCCTTTATCCTCAAGAAAGCCCAGCCACTACAGACAACTACAGCATTTAACAAAAGAATTATTTCATATAACAAATAGCTGGCAATGGAAACAGCTCCCTGAAGGTTGTGTATCTGCAGCACAAACCACACATGACAGAGCGACATGGATTTTTAGTCAATGAGCTATTTCAGTCACTAATCTATTCCTTCCTGAATCTTGAAAGACAAGGGGGTTTTGTTTGTTTGTTTCTATGACTTCGTATCAAATGCACCAACCCCATGGGCTACCACCTGTATACGTAAGCCTGCCCCATTTGCAGACATTCTTTGTCAAAAGCAGCTTTTCTTCAGAAGTTATCCAGAAATTATTAAAGGCACACAGCTGTTCCTGCCAAGAGAAGCTTCCTAAGAGATGATCATTTTTACCTGTTTAAAACTCTCTACAATATGCATGTCCAGAGCATAAGAAGTGGGAAATTCTACTATAACAAATAAGCAATCCCACATGGACTGCATTTCATTAATTTGTGATAGGTTACACACTTGCCTATATATATTTATCAAAGGGCAGGAAACATTTCATTAAAAAATACCTTCTGAAGTCATAAACAGCTCTCACTTCTGACTCTTTGTTCACTTACAGTAAATTGAAAATGACCTTTCAAAATGCCTTCCAATATTACCTGCCATTCAGATGTATTATAATAATGCCTCTCCTTGCTTACTTTGGCTAAGTAATTACATCTGGGAAGATTACTTTTCTACTACTTACCTCCTGATGAGAAAACAGATCACCAGGAAGGCGTTCAAGAAATGATGAGAGCGAAAAAGATGACTTCTTTCCTTGCACATCGATAACTTTGAGGTGTTCTGGAGAGGGGCTCAAGAAGGCATAAAGTGCTTCACTTTGACAGAGTCTTTCATCAGACAGCAATTTCTATGAAAGAAATACAATGACAGAAACACCACATCAGTTAAATATTTCTTGTTAAGGAACAAAATGTGTCAGGCCAGCCAATAAAACCAATTAAGATGTAGCTCAGAAGTAGAGAGAGAAAAAAAAAAAAAAACATGCCTCACAGATACTTCACTGTGATAACTGTATTTAAGGAGTCAGGTTTTTAATCTTACAACTTCCTTTTTAAAAACACGAAGTTTCAATTTGTAAGACACTTGTTGTGAAGTATTGTACTTTAAAGTGACAATTACAGGATTCGTTATTTACTCTTTCTTAGCTAGTCAAAGACAAAATTAACTTAGCACTCAAGGACTGGTTACTATCAGCCAAACTCATCTCAACTTCATGCACGTTAGACAACTTTGGCATTTACAGCATCAACCCTGACATCTGAGCCATCTGCTCTATGCTCTCTTTTTAGTCAATAGAGAGATAACATTGACTCCTGAGGCACGATTCAACTCTCCTGTTCAGACATCTGGCACACCCTAGGAGCACCCATCTGTCTGCACACAAGGACAGAAGGTTTGAGAAATTCCACCCTCCACGTCTTATGCCACAAATTCCATTCCTCAGCCGTCTCACAGAAGTTCTTTTAAGGTTACGTGCCCCTGCAAAGAACACACGAACTGCACGGACGGACTGCCTCAAGCTCTCACACTAGACCAGTAATTTCAGTGGGGTTACTGCCAACCTCTATTTGCCCACAGGACAGGAAAAGCCACTCTTTAAGAATGTTTCTGGTGACAACGCATGGCTCAGAAAATAAGAACAGTTCCCTTTCTGGTAGCCACCAGGCTCCTGCGTGCAAGAAATGGGAAGAAGGAGCACCAGTCAAGTGAGGAGCAGCTCACAGTGTTCCTGCACAGCATTTCTACTCATAACATGGGCAACCACTGTACAGCCATCAGGGAGCAAGGACTATAACAGCACCATCAAAAGCATGAAGGAAGACACAAGAGAGGAAGGCATAAAGCTTGCCACCTGCATTTTATGCATTTGCTAAAGGATCACAAGTGCACTTAAGAAAAAGCCATTAGATTCACAATTACTTAGCTTTATTTTAACACAATTCTTTTTACAAGGTTGGAAATCCTACCAGTATAGGAACAACCAGAGTTCATACTGAAAACCACAGGTGCTCAATTCCAGTTTAGCCCCATTCTCACTGAGAAAGAATCCAGATGGCCAATTACATTACCCTGAAAGGAAGCATTCCTGGCTTCTTTACAACAATGTTTGGTTATACTGTAGTCCCTGGCAAATAGAAAGGTAACTGAAGTCTAAAACAACACTTTTCATATTGGTATCACCCAACTACTTTTTTCTTAATTGCATCTTTTTTTATTCTGCAGGCTCCATGTCCCCACTGAACACATTAATTACATGTGCATTGTGAATTTAAGTAGTCCGTTTAAAAAAGCAGCCATACAGAATACAGGTTACCCTAAAATAAAAAGCAAACAGTCTAAGTGCAATTTGTAGGTGTTACCAGAGTCTAAAGACAAATTGCTCCCAATAAGCAAAATCACACTCAGGCCTAAGAATATCTTTTGATTCTAAACTAAATAATGAAGCTGTCCACCTGAGGCTCTAGGTGACCTAAAACCAGTAATCATACAATGCATTCAATTAAATTAAAGCATGTCTCAGCAGTATTAGCCTAGTTCACAGACACCAAAGCCAAGCAGAAAGCCAAGCCACTTCTCCTTTCACCCTGCTGGAAGCACAAAACCACTTCTCTGCTCAAAGCCTCTCAAGCTGACTGACCATGCAGTGAACCCAGACCGCGTGGGACTAAGCAGGAAAGCGCTCTGCTGTCATTGACCTTTCACAAAGACCTCCACAGAGCCACTGCAGGCTGTAGCTGAGAATGGAGTGGGAGATGCTGTCCCTCAAATGAACCACCTGAAGCCTTAATTAGAAAAAACAGAGGTGAGGATGGGTTTAAAAAACAGAAACAAACAATCGACAACAACAAAAAACTGACCACCAAGACCTGCCAGAGAGAAAAAGGGCAGAGTAGCTACTCAAACACTGACTTGCAGTAAACGTAAGAGAGGGATCGATCATTCATAAAACAGACGGTAAATAAGAGCACAACAGAGCAATAGGATTCTCCAACAGTGGCTGTAGAAGTGAGGTGTGAGGAATATAACTGTGGTCATCAAATCCTTTTGGCATAAAAGAGATGAACCTACAGCTATGTCTTAACTTCTGGTACCCTCATTACTCCACAGTCTGTCTTCTTACCTGCAGAAAGTTATTTAGCTGGTTCTTGGACTTCTCCATGAATTTCTGGTCTATGGACTTGAAGGGCAGCTTGCTGAGGGAAGGCAACTGAACTTTCTTTAATGATGGAAAGCACTGTAGGAGAAAAGGCAGCTCACTTAATGCACATGTGCAGAAAAACAAAACAGTGGTTCTGGTTCAAAATGGAAATCAGACTTTGTATTCTCATCTGCCATCCACACCCTGCTCAGTATGCTGAAAAACACCTTCCCTTACCCTCTATGGGCTTACAGCTGAACCTTTTCCCATACTCACGACACCATTATCTACCTTTTATCAGACAGAAAGGTTACAGCAGATTAAAGAGTAAATATTCTCTGTCACAAAAAGCTGTCATTTTTAATACCTCCCTGGAAGACAGAGACAAAATCTGTTTTTTAAAGCAGGCTCTTGCATGACAGTGCAGTACATGTATTATTTGGATATTGGGTCAGTTCAGTAAAACATTCATTATTTAAGAAAAAAATGTAAATAAGTTTTATGAACATTCGGCAGAGGCCAGGAATATGTGAATAGAAAATGAATTTGAAAAGGGTAAAAGCCAAAAGACTGGACTAAAAAATTGTAATATTTTTAATGTGGTATTCAGTGTTCTTTCTTCACCCCCTATACACCATACCAACAGATTTTAGCAATTTACATCTTGTCCCTCCGCTGAGACCCGTACCTCGCTGAGCTTCCGGTGCAGGTTCTGAAACTCACTGAGCTTCCTGGGAACGGTCCAGTTCTTAGTTTCAGCTCCACCAACTTCTTGTAAACTCACCATGACAGAATAACAGGGCACTTGTTCTCCATTCTCTTCTAAAACCTTGGCGGGGGAGAGAAAAAAAAAGAATACAGATAGGGTATATTACTCTGGAGGGAAAGAGTGGAACATTTGTGCTGCCAGAGGACTGGCTTGCAAATTCACTCATCACCATACCATGCTTGTTTCATTGACCAGTACCCTTAGTGGACTAAACTTTAGCCAGAAGGCTACCTTAGTCCTGAATCAGTCCTCTGCTAGCCATTATTTTAGGCAAAGCCCTACACACAGCTGTGCAATGCTGTCCATCAGCAATCAGATCACTGCGACATGTCTTCTCCCAGCAGCTGTAGGTATTATCTCAGCTTTCAAGGTTTCTGATTGCTTCCCAGTGCTTCAGCTCTCCCTTCCCGTGCACTTTCCCTGCCCCCTGTTCCTTCTGTTCGTTCCCAGTGCTCATGCTGAGCTCGCCCCCGCAGCAGGCCCAGCGGCGCTGCTGCAGCTGGGGCTGCCTCCGAGCTCTCACCGAGCCCCCGGAGCCCATCCTGCACGTACAGCACCTCAGTCCCTTTCCTCAGCTTCTGTGCAAACCTCTCCGGTTACTCACTGGTATCTATGGACAGAATCAGCCCTCAAGTACCCAAAGCAGCCTCAGGTTATTGGGTTTTATTTTATTACTTATTTTTTGCAGTCACAGCAACTCCAGAGCCTCAAGACAATGTAAACATTCATTATTTCAGGATTTACCATCTACTAGAGCGCCACAGATGCCTCGTCCACAAAGACACAAGGTCCTGAGGTGGACAGAGACAGACAGGAACGAGGATGTTAACACAGCCTCCTCCACAAGGAGGTCAGCTCCTCTCACCAGGGCCACGAGGAGTGTGCTCACAGCAATGAGCTTTCAAAGAAATATTGCAAAAATAAAGAACAAATATTAAATCTTTCCAGAAGAAGCTATAGCTATTAGCTGCAGCATGGAAAATTTAAACTTCACATTAGCAAAAGGTGTAAAACCAGCAGAGAAACAAGCTGCTGCCAAGGAAAGCTGGTGAATCTCCTGTAAGAAGCGCTAAGGCTGGCCCAGCCATCCACCAGGAGGAATTAACCACGAGCACAACTCAGGCCTCTCCTTCCACCAGTCAACAAGCCCAGGACTCAGTGCTAATGTGCTCAGTCTGAGCAGCTCTCCAAAATTGCCCCCCCCCAAAAAAACTGTGCAGCAGTAAAATAAAGGCTGCCAGACTGATGCCTGCAGCCCCCTTTAAGCAGGCTCAAAGAAGATGTACCCAGCACACCGCTGTTTTCCTCAACTCACAGGAAGCCAGCTCTCCCAACTCCCACTCAGCATACACACCCTAAATTCTGGTGTACTTAAATACATGAGTAAGACAAGCTGTTTTTTCCACCTTATTCAAATCTACTAACTCCAGTCTTTAAGAACTCAGCAGATTTAAAATAAAATATAGAAGTTATCCTCTGAAACAGTCTTCTTCAGACAGAGGAGACAGAACGTCTGCTAAAATATGAAACAATATGAAAGTCCAAAACCACTAAAGGGAAGTAAAGCACATTGGTTTACAGAGTTGTGAGTTTTAGACCTGCTGGTACGGGAGATGTGACTCAGAATTAGACAGTCTAATTCCAGGGGACTTGCAGAACGAAGGGGACCTTCATGGGGACCTTATCACAGGTCCCCTTCGTTCTGTATGTTCCTAGAGTCTTTTTTTCAACCTCTATCAAACAGCCAAAACACCGAACCTCCAAACATGTTTTTTTTAATCAGAAATGTCAGTTACCACACAACTCTTACGGGTTACACGATTCGTATCATTTTTATGTTTTTCAGATAGTGCATTTTTATGACTCAAAGCTTTAAAGGTTCACCTGAGAGAGAACACAGGCTAAGGGGACACACACACATTTTTCCAAGCCATAAGTAATACTAGATTTTTGTGCATTATCCATTAGCTACATTAGTAAATCACTTTAAAAGGTTGATGACAGGCTATTATACTTTCCAGCTCCAATTCTCCAGCAACATGTACTTTTACTAAGCCTCTCTGCAACGAACACAGGGCCACCAAATTTCTCTGTCTCAAATCACAGACCAAAACACTGGGATTAGCACGGGTGTATTTTGCAGATAGGAGGACAATGTCACCTACTCATGTTCCTGAAATCATCGACTGTGGCCAGAACATTCCCAAGCAATTAATTAACATGGAAAAGCACAACATTAATATTTTCTCCAGCCTACCCTTTGAAGCACAGAGCTGCAAAAAGCACAATTAATCAAGCCTACATTTAATTATCTAATCTAGTACCTCTTGTAAAATACAGTTAAGGCACTAACTCATTGTAATTTTCTCCCAGTTTCCCTCACATTTAGCAGAACCACATATTCCTTTAGCAATACAGGAGATACTGGGCAGTTATGTATTGAGACCCTTACCAGAAAGCTGCTGTTCCACAGTTTCGCTGCACGTGATGCTGCTGTTTTCTAAAACACAGCTTTAAAAGTTGCATAGATCACTTAAATTAAGAGCTTCACTGTTCTAAACAGCATTAAAACAAACCCAGAAGGTTACACAATGAGAGTTTATTTCTTAAAATAGCACATTGCCTTTTCAACCTGTTGAATTTCTTCATTTACAGTCAGTGAGTTTTGAGGCAGACCGAAGAGACAACTGTGCTCAAGCATGACAGCATGGTAATACAACATGAGGCAGTTCTGATGAAAAATAATGCCCTTAAGATAGCAAATTACCCAATGCCAAAACCTGCTCGTGTATATACAGGTATTTTTACAACTTCATTACAACAGAGTCTGAAGACTGGAATCATTTGTATATGCATCATAGTACTCACTTGGGAAAGAAAGGAGGAGCTCAGAAGAGGTTATTTCCCACCCCCACTCCTCAAGTAAATACGAAGTATACACAAAGGTATTAGGAAATATATACAGGTTTTTATTCTTCTCTTTAGCAAGTTTGAACTGACCCAGAAGACAAAACAAACAAACAACATACCTCGCCTGAGATTATGAAGGCTTTCCACATGCCAAGATTCTCACACCACCAGTCTGTTCTTGCAATGTGCAGCTGAAGGTCATTGTGCTCTCTCTCCATCAGGGTGATTTCATCCTTCAGCTTAGAAACAATCTGCAGAGGAAAATTCATCAATTACCATTGGTAAGAAAAAGCTTGTGTAACATGTCTAGTTATATCTTTGAGAACACTATTCAGAAAGAATAAACTGTACAAGAGACAGGAGAGAGAAAAATTCACATGGAAAAGAAAATCATAACTGAGAAAATCTATGATATCTTCTATAGACATAGGAAATAGATTAATCTCAAAGGTCAACCCCAATACTAAAATGAAAAACAAGTTAGAAAGACACGATTCTATCACTGATACTATCAGGATCAAAGAGGTACTTCAGATACAACTACATATTACACATTTTATATAAACTTGAAATTGCAATTATTGCAACAGCAACTACCAGAGACATCCTCCTTATCATGTTTCCCATTTCAGATATATATGATGTGATGAAAGAACCTCAGAACAGATTTCATTGCCAGTAAGTTAGCGATGGTAACAACCACCCAAGAAGCTACCTCTTAATTCATTTTCGGTTTGGGAAGAGGAGAATTTATTCTTGTGGAAACCACACATTGAATAAGAGATGTTCTAATCAAGATGGCTCACAGGCATAATCTCATAAAGGAGAAATAATGCATCTTAAAACATCAGCAAAAAACAAGTAACCATGCCTACTAGCAGGAGACAGTACAAGAAAAGGTGGAAATATACATATAAAATGTGACATTAGAGATGCAGCAGCAGAAGCTGACAATTTAAAAAAAAAAAAATACAATATACCACGCACCAATTTTATGAGACTTGGCTGTAAAACTTGTAGCACAAGTGGTATATCCTGGCAGAAGATTTTACAGAGCTATAGCAACTTCCTCAGAATTTGTCTCCTGTAAGATGAAAGACTGTCTACAGAGCAGCTATATGACAACCTTCCAGCATGTAACTAACCTTCAGGATACAGTAAACTCTCAGAATACAGATTGCTTTGTGGTCACCTTGAAAGATCTCCTATAAGCATCATCCAGGAACAATTGAAAAACACAGAACTTGTAAGGTCCCATCATAAGTCAACAGCTGCTATCGTTATAAAACAAATACTAAAATTTTATAGCACTACTGGCTCAATTTTATTATTATTCTGTTTCAAAGATATATATTTTTTCAAAGAAAAAATATTTTAGAAGCAAAAAAAAAGCAGGAAAATACCACTTTAAAAGAGGTACAATCCCTTCTCCCCAAGGGTACTGAAAGAATATAGTTATTTCTCAAGAACAGAAAGGGAGCATGTAATGCAAATGTAAAAAAATAAATAAGGATTTAATTATACAGTATGTCTTATATTGAAGAAAATATTTTAAAACTGTAATGCTACAGAAATTAATGGCATGACCTAACTCATGCATACACAGTAACACCCGCTTTTGTTTAGCACTTATTTAGTAATTCTTGTTGCCTTAGTAATTCTTAGTAATTCTTTACAGTTTAGTCATTCCTTTTGCCTGTGTTACAAATTTTAAATTGAAGTCTAGCTGGCTATACCAGCTTCTCTTCACCATCAGAAATAGAAAAGATCTGACCAAGTTTAAAAAAAAAAAATTGTCTCAAGCTCTATCAGGAATTATGTGGAAGTTGGAGGGATTTTAGTTCAAAGCAGTCCTGTTTCATTTCAGTAATTGTGTCATAGAGTTTATTCTGTAAACAAGGATTTGCAAGCAATGGGAAGCACTCTGAGTGGAAATGTTAACCTTTGCCTTGCTACTGGAGATAAGACTGAACTCTAGAAAAAAAAAACAGCCCATGCACATTTACAGTAGATGAGATGAGCCTGCACTCATGAACTAGAGGGGGACAAGCCCTGTGCTTCAGGCATGAGATACACACACAGAGGAAGTAGCACCTCAGTCACACGTCTCCAAAAATCAGGTTATCTTGTATGGCAGCAGCCCCTGTACAGAAGAGATGCTGCCCGAGTCTCCCTGTCATCTTCCATGTCATCTTCCTTGCTCTTTATATTCCACAGAAAGAGATGGAAGTAAGACTCCTCCCTACAGAGCATTTTCTTTTCAATCTAACAGAATCCCACATGCAACTCAAACAAGCAGTTTTCTTCCCTGACTGGCTGGCATCTGAGCTGAACATGGTGCTACAAGCCCCTTACAGACTTGCATGTTTTGCATGGGCCTCGCAGCAAAGGCATTTCAAAAAGAGAAAATGAACAACCAAGCAAGCTTAAGATTTATTTTTTTTTAAGTAATACAAAATGGGCATGACATTCCCCTTCATATGGCTTACAACTGTGATTTTTTTAAATTCTATTTTAACCTTCATATGACTAAGAAAGAAATTTTTACCTGCCATGTCCAGAATTGAAAAATAAAGTCCCTGTGACAAGATATTCTCACACTGCTGACTCAACAACTCATTTGAAAGCTCTACAGGTAAATGCTACTGTAGTATAACAGGCATAAAAAAATGGAACACATCTGTGCCCTTGCCACTCGGGAAGAAAAATACAGCTGAGGCCACACAGAGAGCAGAGCAGCTGTGAACAGGATACTCCAGAAGAGCTAAGGACACATTTCCAGTTGTCTGCAGAAACCTCTGGCAGAGGGAAACATTTAAGGGACAGAGGGTGTGAAGCTGGCCAGGGTGGTCTTGCACGCTACTGTCCATGACCACAAGCTCACAACACCTGCAAAGCTTGACACAGTTCTCACAACACTTTAAAAACATCTGAACAATGGTCCTGTAATATCATTCGGGGTAACAGGTTGGCCTAAGCCAAATGTAAATCCCCTACTTCCGCCTGAATGGGTTCTTAAATTGTTTAACTGCTGCATTCTGTAAAGGGAGAAGAAAAAAAACTGTTTATTTATTTTATGTTTCAAGCCCAAAGAACCAGAGTTTCACATCCCTCAGAATTTTTAGTCCAAAGAAAGTATGCCCTGCAGCTTTCTTCTGGCTCCTTAAAAGGAAATCAGTCACTATAACAAGTCTTATTTTTTCCCCTTTATTTAAGGGAGCCAATCACACATTTGGAGATTATGATACTGTGTTGTGCTACTTCAAAGCCAGCAGAGGGAGCAGAACCAGCACATCCCTAAACTGCAGTGCTGCAGATGCGGCAGGGACATGGAATCAGCTGCCATGAAGAATTATGCAGATAGAGATGGGTAGAGATGTAAGGACGAAACTCCGTTTGCTACTGACAGAGAAGCAAGGCTATGGGAGAGAGGTATATGATATAAATCATATTTGTAGTTTTATTTACAGTAACTTAAAAAAAAAAAAGGAAAAAAAATTAGTTAACTCCAGGCTTTGATTTCACTTTTGGTAACAGGCTGACTGAAACAGGCATCAGACCTGTCCAGAAAGAGCCTGAGATGACTGCATATTACATAAATAAACACATAATATTAAAAAAAATTAAAAAAAAAGACTGAAGACACCAAAAGTACTTACCTTTTTGTCGGGTTTTGGTGAATTACATATGGAATTTAGAGCCTGTTTCTTATATTCGAGCTTGTCATTTAGCTGACGAAGCTTATTTGCAGCATAACTGGCCTGTTCATTAATTCTCGTGCTGCATTCTTCTGTAGTTTCTTCACAACCGTGGCTCTAAGAATAGAGAATGGGAGCGACTGCATCATTAATGTGAAAAAGGAGAAATTTATTGTTTGCTCCATATGCATGTGTAAGAACATTTATTCTTGATATAGATAAACACACAGGCGTAATGGCACATCACTATAATAAATTCTAATAGATATTCCAGCCATCAGATCCTATATGAAATATGAGTTGTTATAAACAAAAAACAAAAATAAAAGCCTCATCATTTATACTGCAATTCCATATAATTCTTTCCAACTGTGTAAAACGACCTTCAAGCTAAGGCTTTAATATAAATGAGAGTAGGAATCAAAGTTTATCTTAAAAGCAACAACAGCTCAGTAATTATAATCAATATTCAGAGCCAGATAGAAAAGCAAACACTTAGCTCTGAGCTGAAAGATAACAAGACAGGGGAAAAAAATAAAACCAGAGTTCTAACAAACAGTCCTGCCTCCTACAAACCTTCACAAAATAGATTTATCAGGCTGCAGAACAATCTAAACCACATCCTTTCTCTTCATAAACAGATTTTACTGCTGTTTTTAGAAATGCTAATAAAAAAATGTGTCAAAAGCACATATGCTTTACTCCAAGCTCATAAATCATTTTCTCATATTCACTCAAACCAACTAACAGCTTTTTCTATCTTGTATACTGCAGACATGCCAAAAAAAAAAAAAAAAAGAAAAGAAAGAAAGGTGTGAAGTTCTGTGCCTTCCTCTTTAACACCTTTTGACATTTGTGTTAACCTCCCCTGACTTACTGCAGTTCCTCAAAGAGGAACAAAGACCTCGAGATCCATCAAAGAGCACTGTGATGTAACCACTGTCAGCAATGCCATCTTCCATGATCTTTGAGGTTTGCTTGTGACCAAATCTATCTTAAATTATCAGTGGGATGAATCTAATCCCATGAACAAGGGACAGAGTTCTACGTGATTTAATGATATTTCCACTAAATAACTTTTATCTTTAGTTAACATAAAGCTAAGAAAAGGAAATCTCATTCTGCAAGTTCTCCGAGTATCTCCTCAGTCTGAGGGTAACATAAAGCAGAAATCAGGAGTTCTGTGCTAAGGAACCCATGCCCTCTTCCAGCTCAGAGTTTGCCTGCTGTGTGGCTGAGCAAGTATTAGCTGCATGCCCTGTCCTTTCTCCTGTCCATTCTGCATGGACTGTAAACTCCTTAGGCCAGAGACTGCTTTCCAAGCATTTGTACAGCTTCACTCAGCTCACAAAAGCTTGTTGCTGTCTCCTGGCACTGTGATAATGCAAATAATAAGTATTAGCAACGCTGGACGTCACTCCTAACTCCACTGAACACAAGCATAACGTAAACACACTTGCTGGGAAGCACTGGGGTCAAAAAGAATCTGAGATGCTGGTTTTGACTCTGGAGAGTTAACAGGCTGGTCACACCAAGTTTTGCTAATAACTGAAGGGCTGCATTTAATTACAAACCAGTAATGCTCTGCTCCTGGGGGCAAGCTGCATGATTTATGTCATTAATGTTTCAGCAAAAACACTGCTGAATCTCTAGGTTTATCAGTGAAATGCTAGGACTACAGGACAGCAAGTTACTGCTATTAAAATTATCAAATGCATCAAATAAAGGATTACCATGCTCAAAGCTGAGATCATTTCACGTGCCTGCCCCAGCAGTAACAGCTCCCGTTTCCATCAGGGCTCCAGAACTTGGGGTTTATTATTTTAGCCATCTGATGCACACAGCACCAATGAAGGGAATGAGCCTGGTGGTTGCAAAGTCACTACTTGTCTCTGTATTTGTGTGTCTAGATGTGACCTTTTAAAGGGGTTTTGTCCACACCACAAAAAAGCAATGACAGATTAGAAGGAAGAGCAGCGAGCTTGTTCCACCTGCGGCCGAACCAGCAGAGCCTGCCCTTGCCTGGATCCCTACCTTCTGATTTCATTTTCCCACTTTTAATCAGGGCTCCCTCCGGGAGGGCACTGAACTGTTTTTTACCTACGCTGCTATAACAATTAAATGTATAGAAATTTAACACACAATGCCCATAATGACCCAGGAAGAGTGGACTTAGACTATCAAAACCCAAACCAAAATGAAAACAACCAGTATCTACTAACCATATGCAGCTCCCTCCTGACACACAACATTTCTCAGCTATGTTTTCCTATACATTGGTTAAAAAAAAAAGAGGCTACTAGCTAGCAGTGCATTTTGAGCCACATTTAAAAGCCCACTGGAAGCTTCAGAAGGAAGGCTTTGATATAATTTATTTTCACCTCCAAGACCCCGAAGCCTGGTGCAGAGCCATTAGGATTACTCTTAGTAGCGGGAGATGCTCTAACAGTATGTGCAGCTTCATGCTTAATTTGTTATTAAAAGAATGCAGAAAAACCTTAACCACACAGGCCAAAATGGCAGCATTTTAGTCTTCAAGGTTTCACCACAAATGCAGCCTTCAAATCTGACACACATTTAACCTAACACCAAGAGGAAGCACAGATGATGCTGATGTCAAAAATCTAATTTTTCAGCAGCTGTAGTAAACGTTATCTGACAGAAGACTGTCAGGCAGTCCTAAAGCATCGTGTCAGTTTTTCTTGGAGAATGGTTATTACTGTTAGGCTGAACAAAATACAAGAAAAGAATAGAAGTACAGAGCTCAGTATTTAGGAAGTTCTGGGCAAAAAGAGCAACAGTGTTTTTCTGCAAGTCCCAGTGACTGGAAACAAAAGGAAGGGAAATTTTTGAAGTACCTACCACTCCCAAAACATAGCTGGGTCAGCAATAAGAAAAGAAAACATGTCTTAAATCTTTTATCAAGGAAAAGAACAGAGGGAGAAATGAACAATGAAAAACTGAGGAAACTGAAAATCTGTATGGGAAGTGATTTATTTACAACAGCTCATCTTTGAAGATTTGCTGACAGGAGAACTACAGAGACTATAGCAGCTCATCTAAAGAAACAGACGTCGTATTTAAAGAGTAAGTATGAAAAGCCTCCGGTTTTGAAATAATAGTTTGTAAATGCTTAGGTTGACAGAAATCCTCTGGATTCTACTCCCATTTTTTAAATTGAGATTCAGATTTAGACAAACTCATACTTCACTGTGTTCCGAGCAAGTCCATGTGTAAAATGAAGACACTAACGCTGATCTGAAGTGGCAGCCTGAATGAAAGATGTTCGCTAGTCTGAGAAATGCCCTTGTCAAAGTGTTCTAGGATAAAAGTAACAAGTTCCCCCAACCTGACTGATTTAGAGAACCCTCTGAAAATACTTGCCCCAAGGGAGTGACCACTGGGTTATTGCTTATGACATTTTGAATGCTCTGTTTTAGTATTTCCAGGTCCAGTGGCATTTTAATCAGTTTAATCTTCCAAGATAGCCTATTAATTTATTTTATAAATTAATAAGAAGCACAAAGATTCTATTTATTGCATTACTTTTTCTCCTTTTTTTTTTTTTTGCAACTTTTATTACCTATTTAGTACCTAGCACACGCAGAGGGGACAGGAACAGAAAGTGTCCAAGACAAATCTACCTAACCAGTGAGATTTCCTTCAATTGAAATGTAATTGAGTTTGTATGAGGTATGTTGCTTTCTCTGATACTTAGAAGCAAAATGAAACATAAGGAAGACAAAAGGCTTATAAATATGAAATTATATTTTTAACTAATTTGAAGTTTAAGTAGTCAGCCATTTTGTACCGTTTTGTTTCAAATGGACTGGGACCATACCAGGTTTACCTGACGAAACTACAAAAGTGATGGTATTTATAAATACATTAGAAAAAAATAAAAGAATCCAAAAGCTCAAGGACAGAAGGTGCTTCTACACACTTCATGCAGGGTCATCTTCAGATTGTAAGAAGCAGTGAAAGAAACTGTCCATGTGACTCACCGCCTCATCTTTGTCCTCAGGAGCCAGTCGCAAAGAACTTCTTTCTTCTTCCTTCTTGATCAATCTCTCATATAAATCACTGACAATGAATGAGGGGTAGTATCTGTCCTTTAGAGTTTCGTAAACATCTGCCTGAATTCTGTAGAATACTTCAATGCCTTTATTGCCCACAAGACTTTGCTGTATTTCTTTATAAAGTGATTTTTCCACAGGTATTTCTCTGCTTTCCACAAAAAAGTTCTGATAAATTTCACTAACCAGTTGAGGTATTTCAGCCTACAAAGCAAGGAGAGAGAGGAGGGAGAGGAGAGTAATAAATAATATTAAAAAAAATACTAGGATGGCTCAGGATGCTGGTGCATAATTTGAAGGATGATCGAGTTAATTTCATGTATGAGCACACATCTGTGAACCTCTCACTGAGATCAAGAGCTCTGCCTGTGCATCTATGCAAAGCAGTCAATTTCACAACACTGATATTTGTTAAGTGCAGAAACAGCTGTGGTCTAAAATTATCAAAGCTTCCACACCCATTGATTTTAGAATTATGTTCCAAATGCATGTATTTAAAAAAAAAAAAAAAAAAAAAAAAAGCGCTGAAATGAGAGTCTGGTCACTGTTTTAAGTTCAGATAGTAGAGTTCAGCTGCATCAGCTCTCCTGTCTTCCGCTGGATAGAGTCAACTCTCCCAATTTATACGTGACTAATTAGTTCTGGAGAGGGAAGGGAAAAAAAAAAAAAAAAAAAGGAAGAGAAGAAAGTACACCAGAGAGACATTTACCAGAACAGGAGGCCAGGTATTTCCACTGAGCACAGAACAGCACACAAGGTTGAACTTTTCATTAACAAGCAGGAAAGAGAGGAAGTAATGCAGCACAGCCTATGATCATCTCTCTAAATTATCATCTCTAAACTGACCCAAATTAAAGAAGTTTTAGCCACTCCCTTAGTATAGCAGAATATGCTTGCTCGCCTTTTATTTATTTATTTTAAAATCAAAGCTGCTTCTGTAGCAGAGGACAACCCTTAAGTTCCACAGTGCAATGTAATTAAGGTATGTTGGAGACTTTCTAAAGCAATGGGAAATCTTGAATAAAGACACTATAAATATTCATCTGAAAATGAGCAGAGGATTCATAGCTGAAAGGTCATAAAATGCTTTATAGCATCTTTTCTAATCACGAGCAGTTTGCAAATCAAAACTAATTTATACAACTCTCTTCACGGTGCCTAACAAAGCCATTTTATGAATACTTTCTGAGTTAGGTTGTTAGTCATTTCCACAGATCCTATTAACGGTTCACTACTCATGCTCTACAATTTGCTGCTTTGGTTACAGGATGATATTTGTGTTTTCCAGCTGACTAGAATGTTTTTAAATAGGAGAGTAATGAAATGACAGTGAATTAAAAAAAAAAAAAAAAACATACTTAATAGTGAAATTCACATTTCACTTTAGTGTGAATCCTGGGAGTTTTCCAAAAAAAAAAACCCTTCCCAGTGCTAACAAATAGCAAGTCCTCTACATACTTGCTCTGCACCATTGCTCCTGGATAATTCTTGCAATGATATTTCCTATCCCTGTTTCAGGGTTCTCATTCCTACTTTATTTGAGCACAAATTACAAGGTAGTGTTTTTTTCTTCCCTTTAGCAGCAGAGTGGCATTACTGGAGTAACTTAGCTATTTGTATCAAAATTGAGCTGGGAGAATTTTTAATTGCCATATTATCTCCAAACGTTAAGAAGCTTAAAAAAAACCTAACAAATCAAAGCTACCTAAATTGCTCAGTACCCACCCCACGGTACTGCCATTTTACAAACAAGAAGCTAATGTCCAGGACACGTGGGCTTGCAAATTTTCCCACCTTGTTAGCACTCTTCAGGCACTCCACAGACTCCCAAAGACCAATCAAAGCCATCTTGTCCATCCTTTCCATATAGACTCGAAAGTGCTCTCGGTATGAAGGATTGGCCAAAATTTCTTCAAACTGAAGAATCTGAAGAAAAGAAAAACAAGTGTAAAACTTAGGAAAATACCCGACTGGCACTCAACAGCAACTCTTCATCATTGATGCACACTACTCAGGCAACTCAGGATAACTCAGGCAACAAAACTAAGTTTCTGAGGTGAACTTCCCAAGAACTTGAAGTCTTCCCCCTACCTGCCCACAGGTTTTAGCTGTATACACACAAAAAAACAAACCAGAAAAAGACAACTGAAGTGGTTTGCTCATCTGCTCTGAAAGATTTACATTCTTTCTTTGCCCACAATATCAATTCTGTGGATTCTGAGAAAGGCAAATGTAAGCCACCACCCCTTAATTTTAAGGAAGAACAATGAGCTTTCTTCCCAAGTCAACTCCCCAGTTTTCATGCCGAAAAGCAACACCTATCTCAACCCAATGGGAGGTCTGTACATGCAACAATTCAGTCTTTCCAGTTTCAAAGTGACATTCTTAGGCAAGTCTGTCTTCAGAAGGCCCAGAATAATCCCAAAATGCCATTTCCTCACATCATTATACGAACAATACTTCAATTACTCACAGACACTAAATCTCAAATTAACGTTTTCGCAAAAACATTTCTTCCAAGATGTTCTTTCAAATTTTGAAAACTCATTTCAAATGTCCAGATGTATTTACCACAGACCCCAGTTTCTCACTGTATTCCTAGAACATTTATGTTCATCAACATTATTTTGAAGTCACATTAAAATATATAACATAAAATATGTAACAGACACAGCACAACCCAAGCAGCTCATCTCATTTCTTGGCATCACATTCGACTGGTCAGCTTCTGCATCACACATCCCCTGCAACACGAACCTTTTTCAGATAAAACTATGTTCTTTTTTCCGAGCCCAAAGGCTTTGTTCAATCTTGCATTAGAATTCATACAAGTTAATATTTATAAAATAAATAATTTATGTTTCCAACAGATTCAAACTACTCTAATTCCTTCATATTACTCTTACCAGTACTTACACATGCCATCTGTACTTTATACCAGCAATTATTTTACATTTTATTCTAAAATAAAAAACAGACTCCTCAAATGTCTATCCCCTATGTCTAATTATTATTTTTTTCCTATGTTGTCACGAGAATATTTTTTATCTACCTGAATGTTCACATTGCATAAGGTAACACTTTAGATCAACCACAATGTAGATTTAGAGTATTTTGCTTCCAGGGTTTAAAAAAAAAAAAAGTGTCAACTTGGAATTTACGCTTTTTATTTCAGCACAGCATCCTGGTGCACTGAGACTCAGCATCTGATTCAGTCTAATAAATGAGATGATAATGTCTTTTCTCAACTTCTGCTAAGAACTTGTGTTAAGGCACAGCATTGCTCCTTGACATAACACATCCATTCAGAGGACAGTAAAGGAGTTCTTGCAATTGCTTTGCCTACTACAGTCAGGAATTATTTTAATCCCCTTGTCTCCAAACATAAAGCAAGGTCTAACTCCTTGCCTTTACCTCTCAAGCTTCTTCCCATTTCTTACAGGGAAAATCTCCTCAACTGATGTGCCCACAGAGCACTATGCATCCCAGAAACACATGGACTAAATTCAACTGCACAGACCTTCTACAGTTAAAGAAGTGTTGTTTCTTAAAAACAATATTAAAGAAAAAAAGTGAGTACAAAGAATTTACAAGATAAACGCATCCACCCTGCTGCCAGATATGGTTCAACATTTTCTTTCCAAAAGGTATGACTACATTGCAAAGGTCTGAGGTGACATTTGAAGTCATTCATGAAATTAAATTGCCAAAACTGCAACATCCAACATTCCCATGAGGCAGAGGAGCCAAGCTGAAAGAAGGCCAATCTATTTTTTGCTTGATTCAAACAAACAGCAGCACCAGCAGTTTCCACACCACAGGCCATACAGCTTCGAGGTGTATCTCAATTACATTTTGTTACCCTGGCAGCTAGGGTGTTAGGTGGCCAGCTCCATTCAACAGAGTGATGACAGAAATTGAGAAGCATCTATCAGAGATACAGACAGGAAAAAGTACAGGCTCTGATATGCTGCATCGGACTCCTCTTCCTGAGATGAAAACAAAGAGGGTTTAAGATGAGCAGAAAAGGAAATGAAACCCAGATTTCCCATGCCCAAACAAATGCTGTAGCCAATGAAACCTTAGATTAAGAAACCATTATCCCTTTCTCCTCCTCTACTATTCTTGTGAATCCAGGCCTTTTCCTTCTTTGATGAAAACTCCTGAAAACAAAGCATTTAGCCAGCAAAGTGAACAGATCTTCCCATATTGAACAAAATGAGTATTTTGCACATCTCATGGCCACCAACCAACCAACACCTCTTTCTTTGTAAAGAAACGCAGGTCCCTGAACCCTGGGGCTAATGAATCTTAGCTTCTCGTGACTTTACATTTCACAGCTAAGACATTTTGGTCCTGAACAAGATAAATTCCAAGAGAGATTAAGATATAAATAATTTCTCTAACGTGGGTCTTCCAATAGCTAGTAATACAATTCCGGCCATGTATCAACATAACTCTCTGGAAAAGCCATGCATTTTCCTAAGCTTAACATCTGAGACCCAAACCACTGATTCAAATTTAAGAAACATTGTTTGCTGAAGTCAAGCTGCACATTCACATGCCCAATTACTGATACAAGTCATTTTTTTTAATAAGCCAAGCTAAAGAAGGCTCTTTAAAAACTGTAGCCAGCTATTTTTGGCTGAAACAGCTCCTCCAAATTTTGAGCAGCGCTTAAATAAATTCTGTTTGTCTCAGTTGAAAAGCTCATTTTCATCTTCAAAGTTCCTCAGTGGTAGTCACGTGCCATTCCTCCTCTGCATCCTTAACCATACCAATACCATCTGGACTTGGCTTGCTCTGAGCTTAAGAGCTCTTCAGGTACATGAATAAAACAAACATCTGTCCTTCAGAGTTCACTCCTTGAACATCCTCCCTGAACAACACAGAGACAGATTTGCTGAAACCAGGCTTACTGTAATAACAGAGAATGTCAGTCTGTGAAAAAGAGGAACATAGAGATGGCAATTCAAAGACTAGTCTGTGGTTTAGCTATTTTTGCTGTACATCATTGAACTCTATACTTCACTCTACAATTACCTTAAAGGAGGCTTAAAGTGATGGCACACGCCATTGCTTTTTGAGTGAGAGGTCACCGTGGTCTCTTTGCCTACCTTGGTAGGACCTTGGTATCCCCACAGAGGCTGCCAGCAAGGAGGACAGTTAACAAACAACGCTTCTTAAAAGCAACTGTGAGTAAGTGCTGGGCAGGGAGCAAGGTAACTGCAGCCATCCCATCCCTCCCCTACTCCAGGGCTCACTGCACAGGCACACGATGGTACTGAAAGTGCTGGCACCTAACAGTGCTCTTAATCTTCTGCATGGTTACCTTGCAAACTATTTTAACAAAACGTAAAAAATGCACAGAAGAGCATTAATGCATCTTTTTCCCACAGAAATGAAACCTCACAAACTCTTTTTAGGCTTTTGCTTGTTTTAAAGCTAAATTACTCTGCAATTACCAAATAGATTACAAATGTTCGACTATAAGCCTTATTAAGAGGTCAGTGATAGCAAAGACAAAAGACTTGTTCAGGTTTGAAGCTGTAAAACATCCTAAGATGCATACGATCCAGGAAGGATTCTGCGGGATAGTCTTCCTTCTCTGATTTAAAGACCAAGATCCCGTGCTACTTTGTTATCCTCAGTGACTGATTTATGACTCAGTATCATCCTGGATTAGAGTATGAAGCATTAAGCTATGTTGGCACACGCACGTGCATTAGGGCATGTGTGCACCCTCAAATGTAATAGCCCGTTAGCAGATACAATCTTAGAATTACCAGCCTCAACAGCAAACCTTCGAGTCCTTTTAACTCAAGAGCAGCTTCTGCGTTGGTGGAAAAACAGCAGCTTTACAGCAGCCACATCCATTCCCTGCTCCAGCAGCAAAGTAACTAACATGCCACAGCTGGTGAAAGGCTTTGCCAAGTACTTGGAAGGGGTTAGAAATGTATTTTCCAGCAGGTGTTTTGACCAGCATCCCCAACAAAGCAAACAGAACAATTTTGTTCCTGGACCTCTAAAGTACAGAGACCTGGTCTTGGCAGCTCCCTCAAGTCTTTCACTGGCTGGACAGTCACAACACCTCTCTGGAGACGAACATAAACCAACTATTTAATTTGGAAGGGCTCGTTTATGCACCAGTTATGGCACAGATGCAGTGTACCATATTCCTGTGCAACAGACCATGTTCCCATTCACTACAACCACATTTGCATATAATGAGTAACTCTAGCAGCTGATAACTGCTCCACAGAGTCGGATCAGGGGAATTCTGCTTCACGTCGCAGTGAAAATCTGATCAATCACCAGTTAAGTCGGCATTTGTCCAAGGACTGTGGTGGCAGCAGGCTCTTCTGCAGGAGTTTCAGCCTAGTCCTTGATGGCAGAGTTAGGAACAGACTGCCTCTGTCTCGGAAAGCTTTCAGATGGTTTCTGGGTGGAATTTTCCTCGCTATTTCACAGCTAGTCAAGGATCAGATCGCTCAGAGCTCCTTTTACCACTGATGGTTCACAGAATGGCTACACTAAGGAGATACTGCAGCTCCACACATTGAGCATCACAGATGCTGTGATTTGGATGTTGTACAGAACACAACAGACCAAACAAATCATTTGCTAAATGAACACAGACAAGAAGAACTCAATTAACTTACTGCAGTACTGTGCAGGTACAGTTTCCAAGAAAAAGAACTAAAACTGCACTGACCAGGAGCAGATTAGAAGAGATGATTTATATTTTACACTAATTAAAACTGCATTTTTTTCTGGAAGCAAATCTGACACCCAGGGCAGAGTATAAATTAGTATCAGAGCTAATGACGGAAATCAGATTCAGATGGTAGCTGGTTTTGGTTTGTTTTTTTTTGTTGTTTGTTTGTTTGTTTTGTTTTAAACATTTGGTTATAATTTACACATTAAGGATAACGAGCTAATTGAAACATGCAAAATCTATACAATCCCAAGACTTTTACATACTTATCGAAGAGAAAACCAACACTGTTGTTGAATTACCTTTTGCTGTGAAAGGAATTAAAAAAATATTTCAGATCACATCTTTTTTGTTTCTTTAATCTGTAACTGGAGAACGCTGACAGCTCCAAATAATCCATCTCCAAATTTAAGACCACAATGAGAACACACATTAAAGACTTACCAGCAATGCTATTACTGCCCTGCAACCACAAGGGGAAGCTTTCCGTAGGATGCAGAAATGCAACCAAAACACACGGTTAGGCCACTAGTCCATTTGTCCTTTGCTCAATTAGTACCAAAAACTCCCCAAAGTTACTAATGCATTCAAACTTATGTACAACACTTACATAAAATAATAATTCAAACCCACTATCAGTAAATGCCTGTTTCTGACCTATTTCATATACGTTAAAAAAAGGCAAACTTGCAGTTTCTGCTGCACAAGCTGGCTACTCTGCAGGTTAAGCACTGGCCCAACAGCAAGCTGGCACACCCAGACTCTAAAGAGCAGTGATGGGTCTCCAGCAGCAGCATATCCACATTAGCTTATCTCCTAAACCCTTTTTGCTGTGAAAAGCCCAAGTATTTGATCAATACTGCCCACGTAGAAGGGGCCAGCATGCAAAGGATCACTGGCAGCCTTGAAGAGCTCAGACAGCAGCTGCTGGAAAACAGGCAGTGGATGGGAAGAAATGACAGTGGAGAAAGCCTCCCTTCCACAGCCCAGCCCTGGGCTTTCCTCTGTGCTCAGAGAAGACCATTGTGGCCTCTGTCTCTAATCCAGCTACCTTGAGCCTCTTTCCTCATCCCACAGAGTTAGGAATAACAGAACAAAGAAGCAAATTCCCTATTTACTACTTTGGAAGGTTCTAGGGTTTCTTTATAGAAGCACATACAAACCTTAGAGCAGCACTAGATCCCATCATTTCCACCACCAGTACAGTAAACACCCCTACTCAATGCAGCTTTATTACCTGACCCTGAACAATTGTTTGTCAGCATATATCTACCCTGGAAGGTACGTAACATCTCAGCAGGCACTGAAAGGTGTCTACATGGCAGCATAAGCAGCCCATGCAGTTCTGCCACATGCTTCTCTTCATCCTTTTCTCATTGGCACTACTGGCTACATTCAACCTGAGGAAACAGATCCAGGCTGCCTCGGCACACCATCTGAGGTCATGCTTTAAGGACAAATGAAAGGGGGAGGGAGCAGGGAAACAGCTCTCTTTCAGGTCACACAACAAAAAGAACATAAATATTGAGAAACACAAGAAAAAGTACAGAGATGTGTGCCACTAAGTTACAATTTTTATAAGGATGTAACAAAACTAAAAGATCCCTACATAAAGAAATAACTTTTTTTTTCTACCTATACAAAAAAGATAAAATCTTCTAATTGGAATACACAAATTGCTGTGCTTTGCCCAAAGGGGACAGAGTAAATTACACAAGGAAGCAACTAAACAAAGTTTAGCAAGGACAATTAGCCATGATTTTATTTTTGTAGCTGCTGACTAATACAACAGCAGTTATGTTTTTTTCAATCCCAGAGTAGAGTGATGTGGAGAATTAGCATTCAGTCAACAGCTCTAAAAGAGCTGTTCTGCAGTGACTGCCCTTAATTTTGCCAGTTGCCTTCCAGAAGTAAGTGTTTGCTTTTGAGTAACTCAGTATTACAAAACCTACAGGTATTTCCTACAGTAAATACAAGGAGGCAAAGAAACATTGCACGTATGTCGGTAATTTTTTTAGAAAGAAAGTTGCTACCCTGACCTTATCAACTCCCTGTATGCAATATGCCTGCAAAATTACACATGCTTATAAGCCACCCAATCCTTTGTGAAGTTCCACATTTAGCAACATTCCACCCCAAACCATCAGTAGTCTTCCCAGGCACTACAGTGTTCATTTCCCAAGATAAATAAAATATGCAGCAATTAATTTACACTTGGCTCCAGGGGGAAAGGAGGATTAACGACGGTGGGGTTAATACAAACTAACATGTTTACAATGACCTTCAGACAACATTAATGTTATTCAGTTCATACCTTCTGACTCTGAGGGGCACCACCTTCATCAGAAACTGCCATCTTCCTGTTGATCATAAGCAGGCCCTCCCAGGAGCCTTATTCTCTTCTCACATTGCTTCTTTGCCACTGTCAGCTGATTAATATACCTCTTCACGTTGCGAGCTCTCAGCAGGTCAGCTTTCATTGCTGCAGTTTCTTTTCCTTTTGAATCTGAGAATACAGCAAACCAAAGACCATCTTTTGTAACACAAAAGCATCTTCTTACCAACGCTTCTGGGACCTGCGTGATCACTGCATTTGTCATTCAGGAATCAACTGTGCACGTGAGTACAGATGCTGTAAAGTCTGTATTTGAAACGATAATTTTGAAATATTTTCCTGTGATACCTCAAGTGCTTATATAAAACAGTTCAGGAAAAAATCCACATTCAAATGTCCATTGAATGCTGATCCCCCCCCAGCTCTCTTGCCATAGCTTGTTACAAGACACAGATCTAAAAGTTACTACAGGTCGTAATTGCATTAGGATGTTACCTGCCGCCATAGTGGAGCTGATAGTTTACGTACCTCACTGAATGAACATAACATTGACTACTTAGAGTCATGAGAGACTGGACTCAGTCTGCTCCAGCCCAGCATTTCATATTCCCATGCACCTGATTTGTAAATCCAAATTTCTTGAGCTTGATGCGAACAGTACAACAACCAAACTCTCCCTCAGGTAACATCTACTGAAGCCCAATCAAAATAGTGAGATGGCTAAGAAGAATCATATCATGCCACAGCAAGACTGAATGATAATGTGAAGTAGTAAAGCACATGAGAAAGACAGACAGCTGAATAAGACTTGGTAAGAAAAGGTATGATGATTGTATATTCTACATTCCAGCTTCTTTAGTTAATCAATAGGGCCTTAAAAAAATAAAGGAGTAGATAAAATCCTACTGTGTTGAAATCATGCCTGTTTTATACCTGCAGGGTGAAATTGATTCATGTTTCTACACTAATTTTATTATACTTTTGTTCAATGAAAAAAATCCCGCTTTTGCAGACTGCAACTAGAGCTCTGTAGCAAAGTACCTGGCTTGTACTCAGTGCAGGATTAATTGACTGCTCAGAGATAAATGATAGAGATCTATTCTATGTTTTAAAACACCAAGCACCAGTAAAACAATGGGGATGAAAACAGCATTCCATCTCCAGAACACTTGCTGGAAAAGAACAACTGTGCAGCTAGGTTTGTGAATGCATACATCGCAAAAGAAAATCTCTTTGGTATGACTTCAAACAGGTATTTGAAATACATTTCTAATACACTGAGGTATCTTTCAAGATTCTTTGCAACCTTTTATTTTCCCCTTGAAGCCATATATAAATACTGCATGTGACTCAAATTTTTTCACTCATATACTGAAGGACAGCTCAAGGTATATGGAGCTTCCTGAATGTAATATGAACACAGATATCCTCCCAAAACCTTTTACCGTATTTTTAATCTTACTTTATTCGCTGCATGTATTCATGTATGTTGGTATGGAAGCTTCCTGATTCAAGGACTGTTAGTGTTTTATTGGATAAGTATCATTTGCATCTGAGCTGCCACGTAATAGTGAACTACAGAGATAATATTCACTGAAGCAAAAGATAAAATGAGTTTACCGTGAAAAAAATAAGCCATCTGTTTTCCTGGCATGTTATCTCCACAGGGAAGTCAATAGAGCATTTAATTTAGTGTTTCAGTTCCCTGACCAGAGGTACCAGTATTACTGAGAGAAAAGGAAAGGAGAACAACAAAAGGCAGGGAAAGACTGTAAGTACAAAAGCTCTCCCCCTCAATGTAAAATATTGAAGATTAATACAAATATGTGAATGGCAGTTTAGAGTAGAAGATAAAGACCAAACACTTCCCCTCCTGTACCTGACTCCAAGATGGTTTCTGTAAGTTCACGCTTCTCAGAATAGGTTAAATACTTTGGGTTCAAAATACATTAATACAGACAAGTGTAGATCTGACACCAAAACACTTTGCCCAGATCTGCCTCACCTCTCCTTTCAGCTACGATGCCCATAGGGTACACCCACACACTCGTCTCCTCTGTCTGAGCTGGGCTAATACATCTTGCTCCCTTATTCCTCTGCAGCCATAGCTATTACTCCACTGAGCTGACTGATTCCTGGGGCTTGAAAACCCACACTTTCCAAAGGTTTGGAGTTGTAAGTAAGTAAGTAAGTAAGTAAGTAAATAAATAAATAATAAACATGCAGAAGTCATCATGTCTACTTCACTTTAAGTCTTATCATCCTGTGATTGCAGAAGGTGTCCAGGAAAGATTAACAAGCCCTACGCTCCAACTGCTTCCTGTGATTAATTACTTTCTTAGCAAAGATCCTTGAAAAACATCTTTACACCCATAAAGAGCCACTCCACATCAGAAACACGTGGGGCAGAGAGATGAAGATCGCTCTGCCAGCCTGTTCCTGCGCCAGGAACAAAGGGGACTGCCTGGTCACCACAAAAGCCTGGCAGTGAAGTCCCTTTGCAAATAAAAACCAGGAGGCTCATGAGTGGCATTCCTGCCAATACTGTGCTAACGTGCTGCAGAACGAGACAGGCTGGATGCACAATAAACACTTAACATGACTTCCCTGTTCCACAGCAGGAAAATAAGCTAGCAGAAATCAGGAGGCACAGTTTCGTGTAAGCTGGGGAAGGCCAGGAACATCTTTTGGTCTTTCAAGGTTTTTGAAAATTCTCTGATTTTCATATCTAAACTGTTGTGTTTTGTTTTGTTTTTTTTTCATATTAAGCCCTACCAAAAGGCATTTTAAGCTATGAAGCCAACTTTATTTTTAATGTATTCTTTCCTGACCCCATCACCAAAGTACTGAAGTACAAATAAGACCCTTTTTGCCATTTCTGAGAATCAGTATATAAGCTGTTCTCTACGTTCACATACCATTGCATAAGCCAAATAAAACCAGAATGTTACAGAAGAGGCTTGCATTTACTTGCATACCCTTCAGTAAGCACCAACAAAGGAAAAAGAGGAACAGCTACATGCTACTAAGACAGACACTGTTCCATCACTGTGTAAAGATAGGAAATGCATCCTTTGAACACTTTTTTTTTTAACCACACTTTACAGCTTTTGGATAGACCGTTTTTCACTGCTTCATTTTTCACTATTTCACTGAGTGCCTTGCTTTCAGAAGCACAACCTGCAAAGAACAAGAAGCAAGGTTCACATTCTTCCTCCCTGTATAATTCAGCTGACACTGGAAAATATTAAAAATACAAATGGTCCAAGGTTCAGACTCCTTCCAGTAAGTTTAGGTCTCTCCTGTACATGGGGGCCCAGAACTGGACAAAGTTACTCTAGGTGCAGCCTCACCAGTGCTAAGTAGAGGACTTGCTCCACATGTACAAACAAGCACAACTGCAGCTCATTCAACACTGCCAACACACTATGCAAAAATAATTGTGTATGCATGTTTATTCCTGTGTGGAGGATGGGGGTGGTGGGAAGTCATCTAGGTTTGTCATAATTAAGTTGGATGGCACCTGTAATGAACTGGAATGCGGAAGTATCCATTTTACTTCATTCTAAATTATCACCTTGACAAAACCCACACATCACAACCCGCTCAACAAAGTTAGTTTGGAATCTGAGTTTCTAAAAGAAAAGTCCCTCTCTACAGCTGAACACTTAAGCATCTTTCAGAGCTACAGTTCACAAAAAGTCTACCCCCAGACAGCTCTGTTTCTGTACAGGTCTTCAGCTCCACTTACAGAAGCAAATATCTAGATGTATAGTGGGAATGCTCAGCAGGAGAAATCTACTGTAACACAGCAGACTTCTTCCTACAGAAATGGCCGCTTATTCAATCTGTTTCACAACCCCTGCTTGAAAAGGAACAATTTTCTCAACAGGAATGTCCTGTGGTCAATTACAGTGTGGTGCCAAAAAAACAGTTCTATCCCATCATCCAAGGATGGTTGCTGCTCATGCTGTCGCGTAAAAAGTGGAGGGCAAAGAAAAGTAGAGGGTAAGTCAAATAACTCCACTCAGTGTTGGAAACAGTCTGGTGTGACGTTTGCTTGGTTTTGGCCTAAGAAAAGTACATGCATTTAAGAGGGTTTGTCTGGTTTCTGTTTTTGTGTTGTTATTGTTACTGTTTTAAAAAGCATCTAGTGAAAAGGGGTCCCTGTAGGATCCTGTAATACAGCATCAGTGAGAGAAGAAACAAAGATCCGTCTGCTGAACATTAGAACTAGTGTAATTACATTACAACAAACATCAAACTACCGCAGCAACTTATTTTTGTAGTTAATTCATGATTGTCATTGAAACTTTTTCTTTTGAAAAATTAAGACCTAGTCTACCTTTCACAAGCTCAAGCCTTCTCCTACTCATGCCACAATTGCCTACAGATTGATCTTCTTAAAAAAACAGCTTTACTAGAATATGGTAAAAGAATTTTCAGATAAGCATTTGTAGTCTTTCGTAACATTAAAGATGTGACTTTTGCTAAAAAAAAAAAAAATCCTAAAATTTAGCTCAAATTTCATTTGGTACTTCCAAGAGATCAATCCTTATCAAAAGACAAGGTGAAGAGAGGGTTGAGTTTTTGTTTTTCAGAAAGATGTACGAAGCTATTATTCTTCCAACCAGAGCACAGTCTGATTGTACAAAAGAGCACAGTCCAAAAATATCACTAGGAAGAAACAAGGATGAGTGAAAAGCAAGCCTCCTCCTCCAGTCACTGCTGGAATGACCCTGACAGTCTTAGAAGAAGGTATGTAGAAGGTCAGTTAGAAGAAATAAAGCAGATGCCTGTATGCTAAAAGATTCAGCAGTTTTGGGCAAGTGTAAATGAGCGAGGTAGTGCAGTGCCAGTATGCAAGATAACAGCTTCTATTTACAGTGGCCTGCACAACTCCAAAAATAAACTGTCAACACCTCTGCAAACATTAATGCTACACGTGGTTTCTTATCATTCGGCTTTAGCAATGACCAAAAGCAAATCTCAAGGACACAGAAGTTATATCATCCATCCACAACAGGCATCATAGTCATAACCTCTCACATTATTTTGTCTCAACCTTTTAAGACATTTGACTCTCTCAGGGAGTCAAATGCAAAACTTACTGCTTAAAATGAATCAGATGCTTTTGTACGTTTTCCTTTGCTCTTCTAGGCTCACATGCCAGAAGATTCAAGAGATAGAAATCTGAAAAGAAAAAAGACCCTATAACATGCCATTTTTCACTAGAAGACAATGATGTTCAGAAGTATTTAAAGGACTTTTTGCTCATACTAGAGGGCTTTAACAGCTTTAACAGTCTGTAACTCAGCCCTCAGGCTACTCACCCTTAAATAATATACAGCTGATCTTTTTTATAAATTAAAATTTTTTTGGCCAGTTTCAAGAGACTTAACTATGTCTCCTCACTCAACATCATGGGTACACACTACTGCTCAGGCACACTTGCTAGTCATGCACTTGCACAGCATTGGCTTTATTTGGATAGTAGCTAAGCACTCACTGCTGCAGAGTACTGGCTGCTCATGCTACACGACCTGCTTCACATGGTTGTTGCTGTACCTTTTCCTATGACAAGCACTGCCCCAGGAAAGTCCCATGCCTCAAACTGATGGCAGTCAAGGCAATGTTTGTGTACACAGTATGCTATACTTGCTCTACTCTTGCACCCTGACACAGGATAGCAGGCTGGGCAGAGCCTGTTGTGGAATGGAGGTCAACACCCTGGCTACACTCTCACAACACAATTTTGCCATCAGCAAACTGGGAATAGATTGTAAGACTATCTATCACCAGGATGGAATCAAAGCCAAGAGATGTCCATGACACGAAAGGCTGATTTACTAGTAGGGAAGGGAAGATGCTCATACACTGACCACCCACACTTACACAATTTACAGATATTCAGCAGGTATTGAGGGAACAGATTTTTAAAAAAAGGAAAATGGGACTGTGCAAACACTTTCATTTTGTATAAAGCTTCTGTTTAGTTATTCACTATGAAACCTAGCTGTTGCAGGGTAGTGGTATGATGTGGCATTAAGAAAGGCAAATACAAAATGGTGACATTATTTATGTGGTGGTGCATTCTAGAAGCGTTCAAACATCTTTTGTAATCCTGCACAGAGCTGTGCTAGCTCTCTGTATGTGTATTTTTATTTTCAAGGAAGGCAGCACAGCTTTTTTTTTCCTTAAACTTTTCTTCCTAAAATTCAGATTCATTATCACATCAGGAAAAATGTTTCTACCTCCTTCAAGAAAAAACAAGACACAAAAACCCTTCAGGATTAGATTTTAGCCTGCTACGGATTGATGGTTCCTCTTAAAGTTTACTATATAGAAACTGAGACTAAAAATTTTGGTAGATGAAAGCCCTAGTGGAGAAACTGAGAGATGCGAAATCCGCCTTAAATGCATGTGAATTATAATAGGACTGTATTGTAGGGCAGTGCTAAACACAATGTTCAACACACATCAAACAAAACACGTCACCACTTTCTTCAGGCACACTATTTATAGAGAGGTTCTTTTGGAAGGGACCTTCAAAGACCATTGAGTCCAACTGCCTGACCACTTCAGGGCTAACCAAAAGTTAAAGAATATTATTAAGGGCGTTATCCACATGCCTCTTGAACACTGATAAGGCATGGAGCATCAACCACCTCACTAGGAAGCTTATTCCAGTGTTTAACCACCCCCACAGTAGAGAAATTTTCCCTAATATCTCACATAGTCTAATATCCAGTGTTGAATAATCATTAGGTGTTTAATAAATAAAATGACTAACCTCTATAGCCCTGCTAGCTAAAAAAGCCAGCAGCAGTCATCTGTCATCAGCTGAGCATACAAGTTTGCCACAGGACTAAACTAATAATGAAAGTCAATACCCAAACACAACACTTCAGTGCATCAGCTAGTGAAATTTTACCTGTATTAAAAAAAGAAAAAATCCAAAAGAAAATTCAAGAGGCCATAAAAATGCAGAACCATCTTCACCACAGAATAAAAGAAACTAGGTCTACTCTGGCAGAATGAATAGCACTAGCCTTTTCATATCCATTCTGGAGAGTCAGGCACTTGTAGCTTCAGAAAAACCTCTTCTGTTCACAGTTTAGAACAGTGGATAGTTGAGTGGATAAACTCCAATGAGACTAGAGAAGAGCATCAGTAATTAATTGTAGGAACCTAAACTGCATAAAAATATTCCCTAAATCAATTCTTGTCACAACAAAGACTAATGATAGCACAAATGGAAATATAGGCTTAGCAAGATTGATTGCTCTTGTTAACTCTACTCAGTTAACTTCCGTTTCATTTTATTATTTTATGAAGCCATCTTTCCATTAAATTAACTTTCATCTAAAAAACATCAGTATTTCTCTTTCTGTAATGTACGCTTGAGCAAAAACTGTTTACTTTTACCTCAGTTTGGCAAGCCAATATATCCTAAAGGAACATACATCTAGTTCTATTTTAGGATATAAAAGAAACATGTATCAGCATTGACAAACCCTGTACTTTCAGAAATTTAAGCACCAAAATAAAGTACCAAACTCTTCAGACTGAAAATTAGTGCGCCCCCCACCAATAAGGGGTGCTTATTTTCTCTGTTTCAGCATTTTTATTACACCTGAATCACTTTCAGAAGTGTGACACAAAGAACTAAAAGCAAGACCTTTTAGATGTGTTTACAAGCAAATCAACTTATATTGACCACTGCTTTTTATAGTGGTTTTGTATACCTTAAATTATCTGTCCAAGCAAAAATTTGGTTTGATACCTTTGCCATCAATATAATCTGTTGAAAACATACCACAGTTCCGATACATTGTGAGAAATATATCACAAAAATGAGTATATAAACTAAACGTAAGTACAAATGTAAAATGCAAGTGCTTGTGTATTTCAAAAGGCAGCAGTTGCCAAAACAGTGCAGAAGGATTTAAGAGCACTCTGTGTTACAACACAAAAACATAATACAAGGAAGAGTCAAAATAAAGTCTGACTGACAATTATGCTGCATCATTCCTTATTCTGTGTTTTGAAAGGAGAATAGACAGACTTCAGAAAATGGATTGTATTAAAAAGAAAGATTCTTAGCATAAGAATCTGCAGTGCCAGAAATCCAAGATGCAGAATGTTCGGAAAATAAAAGCATCAGATATGACCTTTCGACTCAATCCATCAGCTTAGCTGAAGGTAGTGGTGGGAAGGGTGGGGGAAAAATACTAACACCACAGAAGTGTGGAGAAGAATCAGACAAATGAAACAGAATTGAAATACTAAAAGCATAGCATTCTTCAAATCTGTCCCAAAATCCCCCACAAACTGATTGCATATGTATTTCTGGAGTTCAAATAGATTTCCAAAATGAAAACAACAGATGTGACCAGTACCAAAATGGATTCTTACCTTTCTGCTTCTTCACTTGGGGAAAATTGCTGATTGTGGTTGCCTGAACTATTTCCACTACAATCTGATACCTAGTTTTAAAAACAGTAGGGGATAAGGGCACAGGAGGAAGAGAGAAGAAAAAAAAAAACATGATGTTAATATTTTATTTATTTATTTTTATAATGTGTTCTTCAAAGTACAGCATACTTAAGAATCCATAAAATACAAAACACCTCATCTGGAAACTAGCCATTTCGCAGTACATATGCATTCTGAGAAGCAGTGCACACAGAGAGTAGAGCAGGGAAAAAGCTTGTCTTGAAACAAAAGGAAAACTTCTAGCTAATAATAGTAGTGCCCACTTCTCTTAACTGCTGCCACAGTACAGCTAATACCATTCAGTGAAGGCATGCTCCTGAACACAAGAAGTAAATCTAAACATCCTGTAGGAAACTAGGATGGCGATTCAGTTCAAGACCAATGAGCTGTCTGTTAAGGTCCCACCTAACACATGCAATAAATCCATGGTGCAAATGTGACTTGGGGCCGCCAGGCCACCACCCTCTCTCCCTGCAGGTTTGCTCTGAATATCTAGCTGCCACTCACCCCATGATGCTGGGTGAGTAAACAGCTTTGGAGTTTTTAAATGTCATGGATTAATTTTACTTTCAAAAAGTGAGCAGTATATGACAAACTCGACCAGTCACAGGCCCACGTGCACATTACTGCTAACTTCCCACTCTGATCTCCTCCCTCTGTTCTTTGTCTTGTTCATTTCTTTCCCTCATATCTTGAGTAAAAGATGATGTGCTACACCAGAGATAATGGTCTCTTGCCATGAATCATATAGCGACCTTTGGCTGCTATACTAATAAATAACTGATAAAATATATAATGCTGAAATTTAAAGCAGAATGAAAACTATATACTAGTTATTTCCTTATTGCTATTTACTCTGTGATGTTAACTCATTAAGTCTCATCTCCAGTCTTCTTCTGATAGCCAAGTGAATTTGTTTCATACCCCTTGTGCAGAATTCAGCTTTTCTTCCTCATTTGTAGCAGCCTTCCAATTTATCCATGCTAACATAAATCGGAGGGGAAATGAAGGTGAAATTTCACCACACAACTCTCTGCTCTTGAAAGAAATAGGGACAACACGTTTTGTGGAAACTTGATAAAAAAAGAATTAAACTCTGCCTCATTTCATGACAACAATGAAGTTAAACATTAGAAGGGGGGGATTTGAATGAAGTTCGTAGATAACCATACAGCATTCCCTGGTATTCGTTTGGAAAATACATAAACCAAAGACAAATTTTCAAAAAGCAAAGGTATGAATGAAAAAAATTAAAAAACAGCTCCTCAAAAAACTCAGCAAATGACTTCTTAAGAAAACAAACATCAGCTCTCCAAATGTTCCTTATAAGAATTGAAGGGATGTTACCACAAATAAAGAAAAATTCTGATAAGGGCTTAAATTACCAAAATTTAGAGGCCCAGTAAAGATATTAAAGAGCTGTGAATTCAAAACGGTCTCCAAATTAATGATAAATAGTTATTGTATCACTTAAATAAGTTCCAAAAATAAAATCCACGCAAGCAGTACAGAAAATCAATGCAGTATTTCTTCAAGGCAATGCTTCCAACCAAGGAGATAAAATAAGATTCAGAAAATCCTGGTACTGTTGATAGCCGTTTAGGGCAAGCCATTTGCAAGGCAGAAAGCTGGCACACCTGTTTACAAGGACGTACACCACACACAGCCTCCCACTCCTTTCTGATCTCCTGGCCATAAAACCCTTCACTTGTAGGTTCATCATGATTCTAGTAGGTTTCTGAGAATTCTTCCCTATACCAATAACAAATACCTGGTTCTGATCACAAGAGATTAGCAAAACTCTGCTAATGAAATCAGCCTGAAAAAATGCCTGCTGGGACTCCTGTGCTGTAACGTCACCTGCACATATCAGAGGGCACCCAGGAGCTTGAGCTCACAGACTGTTTGATTCAACAACACATTTTATGTTTATTTTACTAAATAGGCACTAATTAAATCCATCTTTAAAGATAAAGCATGGCAGGGATGTTTGAAAGAAATATTGAGTTTCCCAGCAACTGTAGAGCCTTGGGATAAATTTCCTCAAGGCTAAGCCTACACAGAAAATTGTTCCTACTTAAATCTGTTCTTTATCAAGATGTTACGTGGCAACATTAGGAGTAATAGAAAGAGGCTGAACATTCATAAATGCCATGTACCAGCTTAGAACAGGTGCTGAAAAATGATTTTCAAGTAAAACCAGACAAGAGAATTTTTGATCAATAGAATACCATTACCCAGAATAGACAGGTTTCCCAGCTAGATACTAAGTACAATGTGCCAGTAATTTATTTACCTGTAGGAAGAGAACTGGAAGCATACTTCTCATTCCCATTACTCCAGCAGAATCTAACCATGTTCCTCTATGCTAAATGCACTATACCTTATTTAGTTGCTCTGAAATGCATGATTTAATTCTTAAGTTGCTCTGTGTAGAGTCAGGAGTTGGACTTGGAGATCTTTGTGGGTCCCTTTCAATATTCAGTTTTTAAGTGATTCTCTTTAATTCCTTCCTTATAGATTTTTCCTGTGCTTCATTGTTGTGAATTACAATCCAAAATATTAATTTGTTCATATAAAATGCAATTTATTTTGTTCATCAATATAGAGACCACTGTTTGGCTTCCTTGACATCAATCTGCAAACTTTCACTGTTACATCACAAAAGCTTTGTGAAGTATACTACCTAACTTAGAGATGCCTGCAGTTGACCCATCTCCAAGTGCTCCCATAGTGCTGGAGGGCAAACAGAACAGGAGCTCCTCCTCCTTGCAGAGGAACACTCCCCTTAACTGATTTCATAGGGACTGGCTCTACACAGCAGAGGAAGAGCACAGCCCCAAAATCAAAAACTGTTTTTCCCTTTGAAACGAACAGATTTCTTTTTTTTCTTTTTTTAAATATTCCATGTAATCAACATTAATCCAATGATCAACATTACACTGGTTGTAGAAGAACACATCTTAAGACAATAGCAGTTGGGCTCCACAGACTAGAAAGCAAAAACCTAAGTGCAGCCAAAACCACGCTATTTCATAAAGCAAATTTGCTACCTCATATTAGGGAGCACAGTTTAAGGTGACCTATCAGCTAAAAAGAGAGCACATTGAACATTAATGTACCTGAACAACAACAACAGAAGAGCTGGGTTTCTTTTGAAACAAGCAGATCCATTAGTGTGATTATGCTAATAAATATGATGTCAATTAGGTTTTAGACAGAGTCTAATAGAGACTAATTTCTGCTCTCAGTAAAGGCACACTGGCCCAGAGTAAAGAGCAAATTTTACAGCAGATAAGCAATAAGTAGCCAAGCAACAAAATCATTTCACCATCACCTAAGTGCATTTTCCTGTCTCAGAAATGCAAGTGGTTTCAGAATCAAGGGAAAGAAGAGAAAGAAGTTATTTATGCAGCCCACATAGTCCATCCTGGTACACCATCACTTGGCCTGACCAAGCTGAGTCTAATAAAAGGTCTGGGTCACAACAGATGGCCCACAGCTCACCAAATGGAATTGATGTGCTTGTGTCTCTCAGATGCTGCTGCAGCCATTTAGGAAGCATTGTGGCAGCAATTGAAGGGAGTCAGGGAAGAAGAAAAATATCAGTTCTGGTTAGTGGCAACAGATTAGGACCAACACTCTGAAAATGTGTTCAGCAGTCCTCTAAAGCTTTGATGTGCTCAACAGAACCAAGTCAACACAGAAATTCTGCCAGAATAGCATCCCTGCTGCCTGTTTCCACTCACTTGTTCTTTATCCTCTTGCATCAGAAATCACAGGAGAAGCAGCTCACCCATAAAGATAAGGCAAGCATAAACATCATCTTGTACTTGGGCAAGCGGGCTCAAGAAACACGTGGGCGTCCTACGTCACGATGGAAGTTGGAAGAAAATTAGCTGTTGACTTTTGTGAGGGGGAGGGAAAGCTAGCAGGAAAGTGAGCAGGTACTGTTTGTTCTAGGAAACAGTAAAATGAAACACATTTGTGCTAAGTAGGAGTAGGTTTTCTTTGGGTCTTTAAGCAATTCTTCAAACTTCACTGACATGTTTAAAAAGGGTGCAATTGGGAAACACCTCCCTGCCACAGTCCAGGAAAACCTCTAAGTCAGTGGTAAAGTGTGCTGGAGCTCAAACCTTTCTTTCCACATCACAGAATCACAGCAAACTGCTCTGAATGACCAGTGTCACTGCGGTTCAGACAACAGACCTCTACAGTCCCCAGACATACTTCATGAAGGAGATATCACACAGTATTGGAAATGCAACATATTATTTTATCTAACTCCACTGAGGCAAGCTGTAAAAAAATGCCTGGTATGCCTTTCAACAATACAGTGACCTCCAGTATGCCACCTACCATCAGCTAAGTGGAATTAAAAAAAAAAAAAATTTCTACCACCAAACTGAGAAGTCAACTAACTATATTACAGATTTAATTAATGCTGTGCCTTATCATCTTTACTGTCTCCACTTCACCAAAAGCAAAAGAAAACTAAATTTGAATTTAAAAACAAAAAACACAGTTAATTCCCAGTAATGGGCTGGCAGAAGAAGCATGTTTAGTTTTAAATAAGCTACAGTGAAGCATCAAATACCTCAGTTGTTTCAGGAACTCAACATCGGAGCTGCTGTTAATGAGCTTGATGAACTCCTCATAAGAAGGAGCATATGTGTAGTCTTTCTTCTGATGTTCATTCATCTGTTCTCTGTACTCCAGCTGGCTGAGTAGCGTTTGGTTGATATAATCTGGATCACTCAGCAGTTCCACCACTGGTTTCAGTACTGGAGAGGAAAAATATTTTAAAACAAAATCCTTATGTTGAAGAATAACTGCTGTCCTTTGAGAGAATATTGCAGATAAAAGGCAAGAATAAATACAAAAATTTTTTTTAATCTCAAACCAGTCTTCTGGACTATATAGTACATTTGAGACTGCGCATACCTTTCTTCTTGATAAAACTGTGCTATTACACAAATTGAAGTACATTGACAAAGCTGAGCTCTATTTGGGCAATTTCAAATCTTTTTATTCTTTCTGCTCTGTGTCTCAGACATTATGACATTACAGCCTTTACAAATGAAAATTAAAAGTGAACTGAACTGCATAATATACTTGAGACTTCATAACTTCTGAATTTGACTTCAATTACATAAAAAATTATTTGTGTATTTATAATATGATTAAAGGGTATCTGATAAGAAAGCAAAATAGAAAATCCTCAATAAAAAAATACTGGATAAATCAATGACTAAAAAAAAAATCTGGTATCATGATACAATTATAATCAAATCCTTAAATCTATGGATTCTGTGTGTCTGAATAAAGCAGAACAGGTCAGAATTATTCATATAATCAATAAAAACTGTGCCACTAAAGACAGCAAAAGGGTTCCCCTGTGACAAAAATAAAAGAAAGGAATGAATAAAGTTGGGTTTTATCCCGAAAGATGCTAAACAGCCTGGCATCGAGTCAGTACAATCAGGTAAGTATATGCTTACTTTTAAAAACAAAGTGTCTTACTGGTCAACACAGTAAATTAAGTTTCAGGATTTATAAATATAGTATCAAGACATACAGAAAGATGTCTGTAATTACTAATACTGTACAGGTGCAAATGGTTAATCATCTCTGATCTTTGCTCTACCTTTTGTTGCAAGGATTTCTGCAAGGACTATGCGCAAGCTGACAGACTGGATATCCTTTGAGGGTAGGAGACAATACACCAGAATTTGAGAACATTTTTGCAGGAATCTTACTTCTTCATCAGAGCTCCTCAAGCACGGATGCAGCAAGAAAGGTCTCGGTGGATCTTCCTGCCTAAGAAAAGGAAAATAAAAAATAGAAAAGAGAGAGAGGGAAAGAGAGAGAGAACTTCCATAGTACTTGTGTTATGACTAACCACTATTTCTGAAAACATCCAAAACATGCAAAATCCATCATCAGGTTAAAAAAAAAAAATCAGTAAAGAAACACTTTAATCCATGTGCATTTTTTCAAATTCTGCTTTAAAAAAAAATAAATATTAAGACACATTTCCAAATTAATTTGTCCTGTCAGTGTTTTCACCCACCAAAATAGAAATACAGTATTTTAAAACTGTATCAAATAGAAAAAGCCCAACAGTTGGAGAGAAATAAGAGTTTCTCTGAATTAAAAAAGAAAAATAATTTGTTCCCTCATTGATCTTACAATGAAATCTTGTTTAGTTTCTCAAAAAAAATTGACAGGACGAATTCAAAAAGCAATACTTTCTTGTACAGCATACTAATTATAGACTTGAACAGAGTATTTGGGATCACTTCCAGTTTGAGAAACAGGTCTGGCTGCTAGATAATGAAGGTACGATCTTTCCTTTGTTACTGGCAATAAGTAAATACTTTTTATTTGATTTATCTGATTTATTTTACGTGTTTGACTTGGATTTCCTAAAACATCAATTTTCAACCTGCTACCTGCAGACTGCATCAAATTGCTCTGTGCAAGATGGCTTGATAGTAACATCCATCCACAGTGTAAGTGAGAAACTAAGTAACAGGATTAACTAAAAAAAGCAAAACAAAAAAACACCACAGAAAGACTGTGCTATCAGGTTGGCAAACAAAGGAAGAAGTGACTCCCAAAGAGCAAAGACACAGCCAAACAAGTCACCTCAGTAGGTCTGCAAATGGGAACTGAGCACATCATTAACAGTGTCAGTAGAGTGTATACAGTGTGTAAATGGAAAGCAGGAAGCTGCAGGGGATCAGTGGGTGTGTGCAGCCCCACTTTTGGGGCAATACCCTTGCGGGCTGCACACCCACCTGAAAGGGGTAAGAGGCCCTACAGGGATTTTAGGCACTGCTCACTGAGATGGGACTAAACCTGTACCTCCCAATTTTAGCAGTCACCTCTCCACCAAATCATAGATTTCCCATTTGTTTGAACCCGAGCACCTGAGGCATGCAGAGATTACAGAGACGTTCAGAGAAAGGATGGGAGAACTTGTCTTAAATTGAGTCCTTTGATCAGCAGCTTGAGGCTGGAATATGCAGCTTTTATACTAATAACCACCAGTGGATTTAATAATAATAATAATAAGCAGGGAACAAGCCTGGGAACAGAATCAGTTTTCCTCCATTGTCTTGAGTGCCTCAGAGTCAGGGTCCATCTTGCCAGCCTTCAGTGGAGGCAGATCCTGACCTTTTCAGCTATTAATGCGTCAGCTTCAAGAAGGGGCTGGAGATAACTCTCAGCCAGAACCCTGAGCCTGCTGGGGAAGGCATCCATGAGCATGCACTCGCTCACCAACAAGCCAGCTGGATACTGGATACTAAATGGATGGAGGAAAACCAAAATTCCTTGTTGCTTTCACGTTGTACATGGTGAGAGAAGCAGGCTCCTAACTTATGGAAAGTACACCAGGCCTGGAGTCAGTATAGTGTGCTACAGTATTGTAATGTATCATACTGATACATTCCTCTTTCTGCTACTCGAGGGGCAAATACACACACACAGCAGCACATCACGGTAGGTGCGTTTTGGGAAGATGGCACGAAGCCTTCTAGTGCTAACAGCCGGGGGTGGCCAGGCCACGGCTGCAGCACGAAGCATGAGAGCACAGCGTGCTACTGGCAGGCTCCCCACAGACAGCCCTTCTGATGGCAGCTCTGGAAGAAACAGGGAGCAAACCTTCCCTGATTTTGAGCCAGTACCAACCAGTCCATCTCCTCCCAGCTGCCAGTGGTTTTCTGGACTTCTCAGAGCATGGCGGCCTGGATGCACCACGGGAACTCCTTACTGGAGGTCACTCAGTACCTTTTATTTTACTCAAGAAAGGCTCTAGAAGCAGAGCTGGTGCCCTAGCAGTTCCTTCACGGCCACATGCCTGACATAGTGCAACCCCAGCCTTGTGGTTTAGCAGCACGGTGACCATGCCAGGGGGTACAGGGTGACAGACACAGTCACCTGAGAGGTGCCAGGGCAGTTCCCAAAGCCAGCCAGGACTGGTCTTCAGCAGAAGGCCCTGAGGTATTATGAAGGCTCAGGCCTTTCGTGTCTCACCCCAGCACCTCTTCCCATCATCTGTGATATCTGCTTCCTTCTCACTGCCACAGGTGGCTGTCCCGACTGTTACGCACAGAGCTCCTCAGAGCTGATTGCCCCTGTGTGTGGAAAAATGACCAAGAATTGTGTGGACTCAAAGGAGAAATTTCCAGTTAGACACCACTACATGGCCAGTGGAGAGAGGCAGCACTGCACAGTGTTTTTTTGGTAGTTGGCAAAGGAGGGAGCAAATATGTTGGCAGAATATCAGTATTATTATAACAGTTGTAATTCTGCTCCAATAATGGAAGCCATTTGTTTCAAGATGACCAACATCAGTTTTTAAATTCATTTTCAGGAGAACACGAATGCTAAAATGACATTTGGTTTTGATTTCACTGAAGCCTTTTATTGAATCCCAAATCAAATGTTTTATTTTCAAAGGTGGATAATGGAGAGCGCTTCAATTGTTACAAGAAAGACAAATTTCAAAAACAAGGCCCTGGGAGCAGCTTGGATGTGCATACTTTGTTTGCTCTTCTGAGGAGCAGCGTATGAAGATGATGTGTAGTTTTCATCATTACCCAGCACAGGTGGTAGGGCTGATTTAGCTCCAGAAGCTGTTTGTCTTGTTCTGGTAGGATCTTTTCCCTCCAGCAGCTGAATACCTGGCTATCTTCCTCAGTGCATTTCCATTCCTCTCACATCCTCCAGATACATCCTCCAGCCTTCTCTCCACCGCATCAAACACCCCGCCTCACATGCTCTCCCTAAAGGCATCCATTATCCAAAATCAGACATGTCCCAGGCAGACTGGCAGACAGAAAGTCTGGGCCATTTACGTACAGCCACCTCTTACTGGGAAGTGAAGGCTTCACCTTCTGGACAGGCCAGTCCACCCAGAGTCGGCCACTTCGAAACTCCGCCAGAAGCTCAAGCTGAATGCCAGAGAACCAGGTTTCGTACACAGAGCATCAGCTGGCTGGCAGCAGACTGACTTTCAGCAACCCATTCCTGGCTAGTAACAGCAATGATGGAGTCAGAACTGAAAGAAAATGGTGACTGCTTTTTTTTTTTTTTTTGGCCTAGAAACACACACAGACTTTCCTTTCTGGACTGCTTTACCTGATTTGTGGGACACGGTGCCCAGTTATTAGATCAAGATTTACTTCAGCATCTCTCTAAACCCATCCACACACAGCACAGATCTCCTGAGGAATGACGGTCTGCTTGGGGCTGCAGGCACCCCAGGGCACCGACTGCACCTGTGCTGTCAGGCATGCGGGAGAAGGGCTTCCTTAGACCCTGCCTCCCTGTTGTACACTGTTTATTCCCAGTCCACAAGCAATACATACAGCTTGTCTGAGCTGGACCTATGCCAGCACTCTTCTGGTACAGCCAACAGAACAAAAACAGAAAATTGAACAGAATAAACAAGCAGAACAGCAAATATTTGGTTCTTGTCCTTCTAATTTGTTTAATGCATTCCCGCCTAAGGGAATATGGGGGGGAAGGGGAGTTGCATACACTGCGGCTGTAAGAATAGTTCCCTTTTTTTCTGCAGTTATCTCCGTCACCTAACAGGACTTAAATCTCTGGAAGAGGGGCTCTTTCAGTCATTTTCCTAGCCAAACTGTAATTAAAATATCATTAAAAAGCAAAAGGGGATGAACAGAATCCCATCAGATTTTTAAAGGATGACAGCCAAAGGGACTGGGTGCCCAACACAAGGACATGGACCTGCTGGAGTGGGTCCAAAGGAGGGGCACAAGGATGATCAGGGGTTGGAGCACCTCACCTAAGGGAGTTCAGCCTGGGGAAGAGAAGGCTCCGGGGACACCTTATGGTGGCCTAAAGAAGGCTACAGGAATGATGGGGAGGGACTCTTGGCCAGGGGGTGTAGTGACAAGACAAGGGGGAATGGCTTTAAACTGAAAGAGGGGAGACTTAGATTAGATTTCAGGAGGAAATTCTTCACTCCAAGGGCAGTGAGGCCCTGGCACAGGCTGCCCAGAGAAGCTGTGGGTGCCACATCCCTGGAGGTGCTTCAAGGCCAGGCTGGATGGGGCTGTGGGCAGCCTGGGCTGCTGGGAGGTGTCCCTGCCCATGGCAGGAGGCTGGGACTGGGTGATCTCAAACGTCCCTTCCATCCCAAACCACGCTGTGATTTTTGATAAAAGAATAGAGAAACAGTCTTCACAGAACTCAATTCTGAACAAGCCTTGCATATCAGTGGCAAACAGTTGCAGCAATAGATCTTTATGTTGCTGTTGGGGCAAAAGAAACGAAGGGGAGTGGAAGACAAAGCGTGATGGAAAGTTTGGGGGGGATGGCAAAACAGCTACAAAATAAACTAAAACACCAGTGGTAAAACAGACAGTCAGGCTTAGATGCTCCTTTTTATTTATACAAGTATTATAATTCTATTTGCTTCCATATATACTTCGTTCAGCTTGTAGGGAAAACATGCTGTGCTTGTAGGGAAAACAAAGGGTCTGCCCAGCAAGCAGCATCCCTCAGCACTTGGGCTCCCCCCCTCACACCTACCTACAAGTACCAGGGTGGCGAGCAACCATGGAAGCGAGTAGTAGTGGCACGGCTGCTGTCTGTCCCAGAGCAGCAGCTGGGACACCCTGACCACACGCTCTTAATGCTTGGCATAAAATCTGCATCTTCAGCTCTATCATTACCAAAAGCACAGGAAGGTAGCGTTTGTTTCTGCAGTAACCGACAGGAACAGCAGAAGCTAACACAAAGCAGTGCCCTACATCTCTCCAGCGCCAATGAAGTTATCA